TTTCAATTCTTTCTTTCATTAAGAGAATTAAGCAAAAAAGGGTATACAAATACAACGCTGATTATATTGAGAAAACACTGAGAAGTGTAGAGAAGAACCGGTATGCATGTAAGAATTTGTGAAATATCGTAAAACATCTGTGTAACACAATACACTGATGCTTGCAGCGTTACAAATTTCCCGGCTTCGTATTGATAAAAAATCGGGAGTAAAATGTCTTTTAAGTTTTGCATATGGAAATAAAACAACACGGTATGTAGTTTTAAATGACTTTATTGTTTTTCGAAGTATTCTCCACGAAGATTAATACACATCTGCATGCGCTCGAACCAATTTTCGAAGCATTTACTCCACTCGTTTGCTGGCAGATCCAAAACGGCAATTTTGAATGCATCAACTGCTTCTTCTGGTGACTGGAACCTTTGACTACGCAGTCTGTTTTTAATTTTCGGGAAAGTAAAGAAATCGTTAGGACTGAGATCGGGACTATATGGAGGATGGCCCGATAATTCCAAGTTTTCTTCCGTTAAATACTGCCTTGTTTTTTAGGCTGTGTGCGAGCTTGCATTGTCTTGGTGGAGGATGCTTCTTCTTTCGGGGTTGATTTTTCGAAGCTCGGTGATGACTTTGGGCAAACAAATGGTGGTATACCAATCCGCAGTAACAGTTCTTTGCTCATTAAGAGGAATTATTGACACAAATGTCGCGACCATCTTTTTCGAAACACTTCGAGAACGGATGACTTTTGTTGGCTTTTCTTCACCTTGGAACACCCAAAGAGCCGACTGTCGTTTATTTTCTGGTTCATAACAGTAAATCCACGATTCATCACCACTAACAATGCTGTACACATTTTTGAGTTTCCGGAATTGAAACGGTCGAGCGTTTTTTGACACCAATTAACCCTGGCTGCTTTCTGCTCTTCAGTCAACAGGTGGGGTATCCAACGAAAAACTTATTTTCTTACTCCTAATTCTTCATGTAAAATTTTTTGAATTGAGGTCTTTGAGATCTTCCAGGACGCCTCAATCTCGCGATATTTCTATCTGCAATGATGAGATTGCGCACAGCATCGACGTTTTCCTGGGTGACTGCCGTTTTTGGTGCACCCAGCCTGGGATCGTCGCTAAGACTCACCCGTCCACGCTTGAATTCTCCTTACCAACGGGAAATTGTCGACTGATGTGGCGTTTCGTTGCCGAAAACAGACAGTAACTCAGCAAGGCATTCTTGTTGCGATAATTGTCTCTGAAAGTTGTAATAAATTATGGCGCGAAAATGTTCTCGGTTGAGTTCCATTCTTCTAATGACTTGGTGACACTTAAAAATTCACTGTAGTGAGAACACTGCACGTATGTTGTGCAACTTTGAATTTAAGTTTACTAAAGAGTGAGATTAGGATTCAGTACTGACGTTCGATCCGCGCGGCCTACTATGTGTCTATATGCAAAACTTAAAAGACATCCCTCGTACAATATTCAATACTATGAAGGAAATACAGAGTAAAACCATATCAAGAAATCGTAGAGTTGGCGTGATAAAATAAATAATTCAACGATAAGTGAAACAGGGAGATTTTGTACAAAGCACTTCCGGAAAGAGAGGGAAAAACCGAGTTTTCCCAAAATCGATTAAATTTTTTCCTGCCTTCATGGCAATGGGATTTCAAAATAAGTTGCACATTTACGTTGTCACGTTTTTTCGTGTACGAGAGGGCATAATTACAATTTCAATACCTATCACCTTTGGTATCTTGTCCTCTAGCATCAGTTTTAATTTTTTTACGGACGCCATATTGGGTTTTTACACGGGTTAATAGAAATTTTAATTCTGTTTCCAGAAATGTATAATACGTCATACATTGGCATTGACAAACCTCAGTTATTAAAAAAAGCTGAATTTTCTAGGTAGGCCTTGAAATTATCCCAAAATCACTTTTATTTTTTCCTGACTTTATTTGAGGTGGGATTTCAAAATAAACTTTATGTTGTCATTGTGAGGTACTTATTCTTCTCTACAAGATGGTGTAGTAGAATTATCAATTAGACATTTTTTCTTTAGAGTTTCATCACCAACTTCGTTTTTTCATATGGATGCTATATTGGGATTATGTACATGTAAAGGGACTTTTCAGTCCTAAGTTCAGTAATGTATTTCCTTAGTTGGCCATGGATTTGTTGTTGGATGAAATTATAAGGAAATGAAAAGCTATGGTGGAACCTGAACATTCTGTTGATGGTAATAACAGTAATAATCATAAATAAGCAGAGGTAAATCATAGCAGATGTTCAAAATGTTGTTCGCTATTTTGTAGGGAAAACCTGACACTTCACTGTTCGACTTATTTCTCTTCTTCTCAGTCTTCCAAACTGTTTTCCATGGTTCAATTTGATGTCTGGTCTGGTATACGAAACAGATGAAATATGATAATTTCAAATTTCAAGGCCTGCCTAGGAACCTATGTTTTTCTGAAATAACTAAGGGTTAACAATGCCAATGTGACATATTATACATTTTTGAAATCAGAATTAACACGTTCACCGCGAGCATCTCTACTAATAAGAGCCTTGTGTGCCACGTGTATTTTCAAAAGTAATTTCAACAAATCTTTTATGAAGTAGTCTAGGTTGACTGTTTAGAAGTTTATTGCACCTTAAAGACAAATACGTCATACGAAAGGAAAAAACCCCCCTCGCGCGTTTCACTTTGAATTGTGATTTCAGTTTCCTATGGCAATGTCAATAACAACGACAATAACATTTGAAAAACAAAAAATGTAACATTTGCAAATAAAATTTACATAAAACACAAGAATACAAATAATAAACAAAAGTGAAACCTGTATTACTAAGACAAGTTACTTTCTTAGAAATAGTTAAAACGACGCACTTGTCGTTCCATTTACTGACGAAGAATCGCTTCTTTGTATATCGGGAAACACATTCTATTTTTTTTTTAACTTTTTAGAAATAATTTCTTCTGGATTTCCAGCTTAATTTGTTCTGTGGTGTATGTTTTCTCTTGAAGTAATTGTTCCGATAATGCGACACTATTATAAAAATTGTCCAGATAATGTCCTACACCATTTTTGTATTCTAATAGGCTATGGACAACTTTTTTCTGTATGTTTGTCACCACCTAGGATTGGATCTGCAGGTCCTCCATAAGAATAATAATAAACGACTTTTATTCAGGCGAAGTTTAGTTACAAGCTCTTTCACCACTTAACCCTTGAACATAACTAAACCATAAACGAGAATTTTTGAACTAATCCAGCGGCGTAGCATGGGCGTAACAACTAACAATGGATTTGTAAGCCCATCAATTAATGGTAACAACATTCAAACAAGAAACCGCGCCACGAATTTATAATTTTTCAAAGTGTTTGTTATGTGCCGCCAAACACTGAACAATCTACTCGACGGGCCGGTAGAATATGAACTGCTTTAGTGCATATAAATACACAAAACTCGCTAGGCGCGTTGGTAGCACCGAACGTAAACAAGACTGAACGCGCCTGGCGCGTTGGGAGTGTTAAAAACTACATTCATCTGCGCAAACATCCAATATGGCGTCCATAAGAAAAAATAAAGTTGATGCCGGAGAACAAGGTGGTGCTCCAGTTCCCAATCAACGAATTCACACGGCTTGAGTTCTTGCGTCAGCTGAGCCTTGTACGCATGCAAGCACAGATCTTTTGTCAAATATATTCGTTGCAGAATGGGTCTGGCAAGGTTCAATTCTTGGCCACGATGCCGACTGGAAGTGCCTGGATTCTCGGCTACACTTCCCGCACTGCGACTATATTTATTTCCGAGGGACCGACCAGGATGGCGACGAACACAGTGGTCTTCACATTCATCAACGTGAATTTTGTCGCAAATTTTGTAATTAAAGGGCGAACTGTCGACTCATTTGGCGCATTATTGCCACCGAAAATTGTACGTAATTTGCGAACTGTTTCCGCGTAATTTTCTCCGTTTTTGTAGTGAGTTTTCACAACAATTAAACGTTGCTCGTTTAAATACTGCTCCATGACGTCTAATCGCGTGGTGTGGACATGACAACTGTCATCAAGTAAACAACATACCATTTGTACAAAAAAAATGGCGGCAAATTCAAATTTGGCGCTCTTGTTGAGAGACCCTTTATTACAGGTTCCAATCTTATCGCGTGGCAGTAAAAACATTGATTTTTGATCATAGATAATGTTAGTTATTCACTCGTGAAATAATGTTATACGATGAATAATACCCTACGTGCGGGGTATGCCGAGCGATCGTTTTGAAACAAGTTTCACTTTTCCTACTTATAATTAAAAAAACGTTACAGATCTTTTTTATTTTATTTATTTTATTCTCTACAAAACAGATAGTAGTGTTTTATACTCTTAGATTCACAGTTTATCCATTATAAGCGAAAATACCATTAAATGTACATGTACCTTTACCGTTAAATTTCTCGTAAGCTGTTGACTATTATGACAAATTTTTATGGATGCAAAATAATAAATAATTTAATTTCCTACAAAATTGCTTCTATTATTCTATTTTACGCAAAAATTGTAGGAAAAAATCACCTATTTGGTGGTCTACTCTCTACGTCTTGCCACAATTACACACTTGTTTTTTTAATGTCTTCTTGCAATCTACCATCTGGCGTAATACCCTTTCGAAATAAAGTTGATTTATTGTTTTCATTTGAGTTTTTATTAGTCAAACATTTTAAGATTCACCATTGTGAAGTAATTAGCGATAGTATGTGAAGAGGAAAACCAGTAGATGGAAAGGGTCTTACGAATGTCCACTTTTATAAATTTTAATAAAGTCGTGAGTGACGATGTGATAGAGAATCGCGTATTATTATCCATAATTTTTAAGTGCTCTCCTGTGCGACACACTTATTGACGTTTTTGGGGAATGATCTCTCATTAGATTTTAAGCAAACAACTTTTTTCAACATTTGCACTCAATCACCAAGGACCGTCTATAAAAGTGACCCCCAAGTAATTAAAACAATTTCATTTTTATGAGGTTTAATGTGTACTTATTGGCATATTTTATAACTATTTTAACTTACCGTCAACTTTGCCCATGGCCAGAATGCTGATGGTCTTGATTGCGGGAATGGCCCAAGCAGCCAAGTGGAAGTATTGAGAATTGGCCTCTATGGCTTCATGGCCCCATTTTAGGCCAGCAGCCAAGAACCACGTTAACGTCAATACTACCCACCAGATACTTGAGGCCATACTGAAAAAAAAAACATTCTTTATTGTATTTGCATTTTATTCTTTCTTTTCTTTTTTCGCGATATGATTTTAGCTTTTATTCCATCTTGTATATGAAAGTGTACGTGATTGTAAAAATAAATGAAGTTTAGCATTATTTGTACATTCAAAAATCAATGGCGGGAAAGCACAAATTAGACAACATTAACCCTCTATTTACCCTACCCTATAAATATTTGAACATTATAATTCACCAAGAGAAGGATCCTAGGCATGCATGATATTTTGGAAAAACTAAAATTTGGTCAAATCGTTTTTATTTTTTTTTCGGATTTTATTTTAAGAAATATCAAAAAACTAATTAAGCTTTTCCACTGCCACTTTTTAGGCACTATATGATGATATTTTTAAATTTTGTGTCCGCGACGGTTTATTTTTGAGGAACCATCAACTTTATTTTTTATATGGTCCGAAAACAAAGGTATATAATAGCATTTTTTTATAAAATGCGTTTTTTCTGATTGTTGCAAACAAATGCTTGACTTGACGTGAATGCCTGTCACCGAGTATTGTTACTATTGTGTATTGTTAATATTGCTTTATCATCGTCAAAGATGCCAGGCGGTCATGTTAGCAATGACTACATTTTAAGCTACAAAAATACTGCAGAAGTGTATCTTGATAAATTTCCCGAAGGAAGTAAGTCCCTTTTCTTAGAGTTGGCTCGAAATTTAAATGATTATGGTTCATTCAAAAAGCTTGTTACGCCTCGAAAGAAGGAGTCTTCAGAGGAAACTCAGAATAGCAGTTGCTGAGAACTCTGAGATATCAACTAGGCAAATTCATAATAAGTAGGAGTAGCCAAATCCACAGCCCGATTTATTTTAGGCAAAATTATATATCACCTCTATAAATTCAGGATTTGCCAAGGACTTAGAGCAGGGGATAGCGTACGGGCCAGCATTTTTGTGAGGGTGTGAACGTGTGAATATTTTAATTTCCCTTCAAAAATAATATGGTCCGACGTGAGTATGGTCACTAATAATATCGTTCATCGCCGCAACACTGGGCTCAAGAAAATCTGCGGGCTAAAAAACTATCCAGACATCAAGAACGTTTTGGGTTTAATATGTGTTGTGGAATTCTAGGAACCAAAATATTAGGTCCATTTATTCCCCACAACTCATTAACTCCAGAACGGTACCTCAATTGTTGCAGCATGATCTAGAAGACTGCCTGGATACCTAATTTACCTATGACACAGGTTAATGGCTGTTGGTTTCAACAAGACGGTGGTGCGCCTGCACACAACTCTAGGCAAGTTCGACAGTATCTTTCTCAGCGATTTCCCGGAAGGTGGATTGGTACCTCTAGTGAAGTGTGAACCTGGCCAGCGCGTTCCCCGGATTTAACTCCTCTGGACTTATTTCTTTGCAGTTTTATCAAAAACCAAGTTTGTCAGCATATCTTTGAAACTAAGCAGCAGTTACGATAATGTGGTAATGGAAGCATTTAGTATGATTGCACCAGAAATACTACGTGATGTTTTAAATTCTACTGTTAGAAGGTCATATTTATGTTTAGACAATAATGACAATATATTTGAACACCTTGTGAATAAAACAAAAATAATGTTAAACATGAAATCGTTATCCTGAATATCACAAGATTAAGCACTATTTTATAAAATTTTACCCCATCATATCATTATGTAATATGTACTTTTTTCGGATTTTATATGAAAAAATAAAGTTCCATTAATTATTTGATACTTTTGAAATAAAGTCAGGCAAAAATTAAAACGATTTGACCAAATTTTTGTTTTTCCCAAACACCTCAGCGGGCCAGAAAATTTTTACAAGCTTCTCAACAGCATATGAATACCCCACAAAGAACGCTGCTTTTTCCTAATTTAACCTAAGCTGTATCTCGCACTGGCATTTTCGAAGTACTTATTTAACTCGTTTGCTGACAGATCCAAAACGGCATTTTTGAATGCGTCAACTGCTTCTTCTGGTGACTGGAACCTTTGACCAGGCAGTCTGTTTTTAATTTTCGGGGAAGTAAAGGAATCGTTAGTACTTAGATCGGGACTACATATATGGAGGATGGTCCAATAATTCCACGTTTTCTTCCGTTAAATACTGCCTTGTTTTTTGGGCTGTGTGCGAGCTTGCATTGTCTTGGTGGAGGATGATTCTTCTTTCAAGGTTGATTTTTCGAAGCTCGGTGATGACTTTTGGCAAACAAATGGTGGTATACCAATCCGCAGTAACAGTTCTTTGCTCATTAAGAGAAATTGTTGCAATATGACCCGCGTTTGACACAAATGTCGCGACCATCTTTTTCGAAACACTTCGAGAACGGATGACTTTTTTTGGCTTTTCTTCACCTTCGAACACCCAAACAGCCGACTCTCGTTTATTTTCTGGTTCATAACAGTAAATCCACGATTCATCACCACTAACAATGCTGTACACATTTTTTGAGTTTCCGGAATTGAAACGATCAAGCGTTTTTTGACAACAATTAACCCTGGCTGCTTTCTGCTCTTCAGTCAACAGGTGGGGTATCCAACGAGAAACTAATTTTCTTACTCCTAATTCTTCATGTAAAATTTCTTAAACTGAGGTCTTTGAGGTCTTCAAGGACGCCTCAATCTCGCGATATGTCACATGTCTATCTTCAATGATGAGTTTGCGCACAGCATCGACGTTTTCCTGGGTGACTGCCGTTTTTGGTGCACCCACCCTGGGATCGTCGCTAAGACTCACCCGTCCACGTTTGAATTCTCCATACCAACGGGAAATTGTCGACTGATGTGGTGCTTCGTTGCCGAAAACAGACAGTAACTCAGCAGCAAGGCATTCTTGCTGCGATAATTGTCTCTGAAAGTTGTAATAAATTATGGCGCGAAAATGATCTCGGTTGAGTTCCATTTTTCTAATGACTTGGTGACACTTAAAAATTCACTGTAGCGAGAAAACTGCACATATTGTTGTGAAACTTTGAATTTAAGTTTACTAAAGAGTGAGGTTAAGATTCAGTACTGACGTTCGATCCACGCGACCTACTATGTTTCTATATGCAAAACTTAAAAGACATCCCTCGTAGGATCCTTATCTTTGGCACCCTGTATACCGGGTGCACTTAGGCAACTAAGAAAATGACATTTGAAAAGTGTCGCAACTCCGCGTATATCCCGGGATTGACGAAAGAAACTGAATTTTCCCAAAATGGTTTGTATCTTTTCCTGGCTTTATTTGAGATGAGACGTCTAAAGAACAATTACATTGACATTTCTGCCACTTTTTTTCTCTACAAGATTATATAATTCTAATTTCAATAAGATCATCTGTTGTCCTCAATCATCAACTTTACTTTTTCTTATAATATAGTCATATTGGAATGTTGCACATATAGAGTTTTTAATTCTGACTCCAAAAATATATAATTTGTCATAGATTGACATTATTAAGCATTACTTATTACGAAAAACAGAACTTCCTAAACAAGCCTTGAAATTATCAGATAGTCATTTTGAAATAACTAAGGTCTGGCAATGTCATCGTATGACACAGAATCATTTTTCATATTGAAAGTTTAATTGTGCCATCTTGTACAAAAGAAAAAGCAGCAATGTTAATGTACTTTTTATGTTGAAATCACATCTCAAATAAATCCAGAACAAATGAAAACTACTTTGGGAAAATTCGGTTTATTTCCTCTAAATCCGAACATATTCGGAATTTCGAAACCTTGCCATTTTTTAGCTACCTAAGGCCGTTTTCTGATTTGTCGGTGCGGTGTCTCCGCGGCGGCGGTATGCTCTTTTACCGAATCAATACCGCATTGCTCCCATCTACGCATTACTCGGTATATTCTCTGCAGTACGGCTCGTTTTGCGGAGAGATGTCGTCTTCGAGTTCCAGTGATGATGATATTTTGAAAATAATATTAAATGTCGACTATTTGTTGCAGGAAAAGAACTTTCACATGATGATACAAAATTTTTATCTATGTATAGATTGCCAAAAGAAACATATCAACAGCTTTTGAATCCAATAAATAATTAAACAACACAGGATGCTTTTCAATTTCCAGTACTAAAGTTAAATGTATTTTCGGCATTTTGCAGTGCACGTGCGTATACTTGTGGTGAATCCCGAGCGCCGCCTGGACGAGCCTGCCGAGACGCGGTAAACCGAACGGATCCTTCCCCGCTTCCGCACAATCCGCGCTAATCAGAAAGGACTCGTTGAAATATAGGCGCTCGGTAAGTTTTCGTTACCGCTTATACCGAGCATACCGCCGCCGCACCGATACCGCACCGACAAACCAGGAAACGGCCTAAATGGTGAGAGTCGAGTTTGAAGCACCCGGTATAACAAGCAATATATTTCGTTTAGAATGTGCTATAATCTTATCATTCAAGGCAGAATAACATTTCTCCCATGTTATTGGCCGATGCAATTTGTAGCAACATACACAGATTTAACATGCACCCAAGCACATAATTATGATTGTTATGGGGTTGTCGAAATAAGGGTAGACTCCACATGACTCACATAGGAATTAATGGGAAGTAAAAATAAGGTAAATCCGCAAAATTGTCTTCATGCAAGATCTGAAAATGGATTTTCATTTGATACCCCTGTGTTCGTTTCAACCATATCTCATATCGAAATAAAATTGTCTTAAAATGCGAAAGGCGGCCATCATCTAATATGATTTAGTTTGTGTTTGGGTTGTTGAGCCGTCGTAAAACATTTTTACTTGACGTTTCGCCAACACGAGTGGTTGGCATCTTCTGAAGAACAAAAGAAAAAATGTCTTGTTGAGTTGATAGATGGAATTTGCATAAACTCGGACATAAAATGGGCTAAGCAACCGCTGAATCGATTTTGGTGAGATTTGTGATGTTATATCCGAATTCCATCCATCCATGATTGCCTAGCCAAATAATAAGATTACTGCCATGCCAAGATAAAAGCTTTATAGGTTTTGAAGAACGGTTCAGTTGAGGTGGAATTATGAGCAGAAAAGGAAGAATTTAAGATCGTTCTCAAACTCCGATTCTCTGTTTTTCGAACCCTTTGACGCTTTTGGCATTTTGTAAGATTGTATTTTCAAAAACTTGTAAACTCCGTTTATAGATGTTTTTAAAATTCCGGCTCACTTTAGGTTGTAATCAATTTTCGCTTACTGAACCATTTTTTGGAATAGTTTATTTAAATTGTATTTCTACGTGATTCTATATTAATCAAGTTTAAGCGCAAATGAAAAATTGTTTTGAACAGATTTGCCTGCTTACACAGGGCATCTACCAAGGTAGGAAAGATCAAAATATCTAAAAAAAATGTTTTCTACAGAAAGACAAATGTCTAAGGTTTAAAGAGTCAGTCATTCACAGATGACGTTGAATGTGACCTTGACCATGATCTTCAATGTCATTTGATGGTCAATAAAGTTTTCCTAAATATTAGCTCCTATTTTTGGTACCGCGTAAATGTAAAGAGCGGGAAATTATGTTTCCAAGTATGTTGTTGCCTCTGTAGCTTCTTTGCTGTACCTTTCACTAAAACATCATTTCACTTAACACTTCACTATAAAAAATTTAAATCTCAAATTTACCTGAAGAAATACAGCGTCATGAAGAGTATCGTGCACAGCTCGTTCTTAGTCCCTTGCGTGATAGTACTTTCCGTTTTCACATTTTGCTTGGAGGGATACGGTTCCCTGCACGCGATCGAGTCCCCCGCTAAAAAACCCATCACGTACGCCACTGCCACCATCATATAACACACGGAAAGGAATATAATAGGGCGCTCGGGGTAGCGGAACCTGTTGGTGTCTATCAGGAAGGTGCACACGGTAAACAAACAGCTCACTAAGCACAGAAAGGCCCAGGTACCAATCCAAATTTTAGCAAAGGGCCTCTTTGTTTCGAAAAACATCATGTGGCAAGGGGCCCCGCAATTCCTTTCCACTTTGTTGCCAACTTTAAAGGAGTATTCCAACACATCTGGCACTTTGAATTGCTCGGGACACACAAATCCGAAATCTTTTCCGTGATAGGGCGTCTTATTCTTTTGTTTATGACTGTGGGAATTCTCTATGGCACTTGTTGTATTCACTGTCATTTTGTTTTGTCCAACGCACAGTTGATCTGGATCAGGTATGTTGTTGTCCGGATTTTCCGGGAAAATATCACAGTTTAGGAAGTCGGGCCATCGAAAGTCAAACTGGTTCATGAGGCCTTCACAACCGAGTCTCGCCGAGAGGCAGAGCGATCTGCAAGGGGGCAAAGGCCGGTCTAAGATTGTACACACTGGGGCAAACACCGAACACAAGAAAAACTGTAAATCCACACTGCAGTTGATCTTCAGCAAAGGGAAATATTGGTGCACTTCCATTCCCGCTTCTTCTTGCGTCAGATGGCCCAAAATGTTCGGAAAATACGTTTCGTTGTAAGGAATATTGTTGCAAAAAGGAATTGTTATTGTCTGGCATTTTCCGTGTTTCGGTATCGAGTCTTCAGAATCTGTTATCCTGGTGCTTGAGTGAAGAGCTGACAAACATTGAGTAAACAGAAGTGTAAACGACAACACCTGGAGCATTTTGGCGGTTTTGAAGGTAGGATTCGATATCAAATAAACTTCCAGTCATTCATTGCGGGGGAGGTTAAGAAGACAACGAAAAAATAACAAATCACGCGGAGAAGCGGCGACATAACCCTCCCACAACAAGTACCGGAGCTCGACTGATCATGAAACACCAAAACAAATGTTTTGTATGTCTGAATGACAGACGAATGTGATATGGAACATAAGACGCACAGATGTGAAAGAAGCAAAGAGGAAATGTCATACAGAAAATAAATGTTGTTTAGGCCTTTTTGTTCCAACTACCACTATTAGTGTGAAAAATGGAATTTAACAAAATTTAATTCAGATTCTAACTACTAATACACATACACTAAAGCAACGACAAGTAATTATGTATTGATTCCCAAGGATAAATATGGCAGTCAAGTTAGTTGGATGCGCTGAAGCTTTGTCGTTTATTTCTGCCTTACGTCATATGTCGCTGTCATTTTCGAATTATTTGTCAAAAGTCAGTCAACAAAATTCTTGTTTTTGACGCCATATTTCTCGCCGGTTAGGTTATAAAACAATTACATAAAATTAAATAGGTGGAAAGAGCATCCGCCCACGAAAAATCGTCTCGTTCACGATAAGGCTAAAAGCCATGGCGTGCGGCTCGAAGAAACGCATCATGGTGGAAACGAAAAACCTGTCTAAAGATCCCCCTCCCGGTATCAGCGCTACCCCAGATGAGCAAAACTGCCGGTATTTCCATGTGTTGATGTCGGGCCCCTCAGGGTCACCCTACGAAGGAGGGCTATTCAAAGTAAGTATACGAAAACTCAATAGTTGTCCAGGAAAGTAATAAAGATTTGTGGGTGTGGAACATTCCCCACTCAAAAAGTCTGTACATAGAACAGACAGATAATCGTAAGAGGGCCTCCAATTATATATTTTTTTCTACCTTACTGCCTAAATCTTGAAGGCACAGGGTGTATAGTTCTCAAATTAAGAAGGTTCAAATACATTTTTATTATATGTACCAAGTCAAATTTGATTGTTTTCAAGTTTTAAATCTTGTCGCAAGAGTACCCGCAAAAAGTGTAATTAATTTTATAAAAGAAGCTCTTTGTAAATCCTACATGTTGACCCATATCTGATTAGCTCTTAGGCCCTTATGTTGAAGATTACACAGTTTAGTTAAGTAGCAAATGGGAATTGTTAGTTTGACATTCAAAGTTTTCCTTATTTGAATACACTACAAACAACTTGACCATAGCTTGAATAATTGATTTTGAATTAACTTGAAACATGAAACAAGTTTTGCTACCAAACTTACTCTTTATAAACTTTCTGTGTTTTTTTCTGTCAAGTTGGAGCTATTCCTGCCAGAAAACTACCCAATGTCCCCACCAAATGTCCGGTTTCTAACAAAAATCTTCCACCCCAACATTGACAAATTGGGCAGGATCTGTATGGACATTCTAAAAGATCAATGGTCACCAGCATTGCAAGTGAGGACTGTCCTTCTGTCAATCCAAGCATTGTTAAGTAGCCCAAATCCAGATGACCCTTTGGCCAATGATGTAGCCAACATGTGGAAGACTAGAGAACAGGAAGCTGTACTCAAGGCCAAAGAGTGGACCAGGTTGTATGCGATGGAATAATGAAGGAGTACCACTGTTAAGTAACTGTACAGGGCAGTTTTGTATGTTATTTTTTTTAGTAAAAAGAACAGGAAGTTTATGTTTAGTTTTGTTCATTACTGTCACTTTATTGATTTTTATTTTTAGCTGTTTCTTTCAAGCTAACATTGACTCCTAAAAATCATATATCAATTCAAAAAAATGAACTATTCTTTGGAGGCAGATTTGCTTAAAATTGAAACAGACTGGTTAACTTGTGTCTTATAATTAAATTTTGAGAATAAATAGTATTTCTTTTTATATACAATTGCATAAATTTGACATAGAATTGCTTTGTGTGGTTCATTGTGCTAGAATCTCTAAAAGCCATTTTATATAAGTGCAATTTTAATGCATGTAGATATATGATAAAAATATGCACTTTATAGTGATAAAAAGTTGATTTGTATTAATTTCATCATGGACCATATCAAACCTAATGTATTTCAAGGATGTTAAAAAATATATATAAATAAGATCTTTGAGTAATATATAATGCATGCACACATCAATCAAAATAGGGTTTCCAATTTAATTTTGATTCTTATCTATAAAGGTACTCAAATTTTAATTATTTTACATTTATGTGTATAATCAATGACAGTTGCAAAGAAAAACAAAACCAAAAATAAAGTGAAGAGAAGGCAAATAACTCACTTGAATATTTCTAATGCTATCACTTGATATTTTTGAAGCTATTTATGCAGCAGTTACAAGTATGAATGACAATAAGAGTTCTGTTTTTTAAATTTCGCAATAAAAATGTATTAGTGTAGTAGTATCCTTATCCCCTGTACTAAAATTGTTTTATATAATATGGCTCTGCTCTAGTAAATAAAATTAATGCATTTCTGCAAATGACACTGGCCTATGAATAGTATTTAAAGATTATATGTACCTTCGTATTTTTGTTACTGTCAGAATGACTGACTGTGATATAATGTGTTATATATTGATATAAATGGTATGTACCTCGGTTCCAGAAAAATAGTAACTTGCAATTAAGTGCTAATTCCAGCTTTGGTTGATGAAAAAGGGTCAATAACTTTTTAGCCTATTTGCATCAACTAATTCAGGTAAAATTAATCTGCTATAGCATATTAAAGTATCATGAAACAGAGAAAAATATTTAAAAATGGACATTTCTTTCTTACTGGACAGTATATTTTGGAACCTGTGGTAAACTTTTACCAACCAAACTTACATCTTGACAAATATCTTGATAAAAACCATAACTAAATTGTGGTACTGTCAGGTACCATGCCGTTAAATCCCTTTTATATGTACTCAATTTTTGTTTTGTAGTGTGTAAACATTCCTTAAATTATCCTAGGTATTATGTGATTATAATCTTGACCTTGAAAATGTTTAATCTATGGATGCGAGTTGCACTTACGTCTGAACTGTTAACTGTAGTTCCATTGTGTGAAAGTTTTATATAAATATTTTAAAATAGATTTCGATTTTTATTTGTGTAAGCCAATAGCCCATGCAAGCAATTGTAGATTGAAGCATGTAAGAAACATTCTTTCGAGACAACTCACTTTAGGGGTTAACTGTTTTGGTTGGAATATATACCCTATTTCACGAGGTATCCATCGCGCTTTGACGTCTACTGAGGTAAAAAGCTGATCAGCCAGTGACATCTTTTTTGTTTGTTTTTTGTATGCAAATGGCTACATGGCGTTGTCGGATCCGTCAGAATTGTGTCCTTGTCGATATGGGGAATTTTCAAGTAGATAACCAGCTGCCATTCAACCGTGATGAAATAGGCTATAAGAATGATGTGCCAGTAACTGAATTAAATACATTGATATAGTATATAAAATATATTTTATAGATTGTACTTTCAAATGATAACATTTCAGATTATGTTCAAACTAACATTGTAAACATGAATGGTTTATCACAGAAATCCAAATAAAATCAACAAAAATCATGACAATATAAATTACATAATTGATTCTTACATTGCAAACATATACCGAGGAAAGTCTAAAAAAAGCAATACAAATATTGATTCCTTCTTTTTTACATATTGCCCAAAACATAAACTGCTTTATTTGTTTTTTGGAGGTCGTTTCTTGGAATAAAAGGCATCTAAGAATAAGGCTGCAAATACTATGATTGTACCTGACCATTGCCTCAATGTAAGATTGTTTCTGAATATTATCACTGAGAACAAAACAGTAAAAAACTTTCTTGTTGTTGTTACCACAGACAACACCAATGGTCCAAATTCAGAAACCTATAACAAAATAATGAAATTAATAATAAATAAATAATACCTTGGGCAGCCATGAGGGGAGGCTGCAGTGTGTAGCTCCCCTGTAGTATTTAGTACCCTTTAAAATCCAGTGTGTTTTTGTACAATATTTTTTATTTTCAAGTTTTGGCTTCTTGGCGACATCATTAATTTTATTGGTGGTGGAATATATTTTTGCTCTATTGCCAGGAGTAAAACTTTCATACTTTCAAAATGGTTCGAGTCATGACCAAATTATTACCTAATATCAAGATTAAACTTACCATATTATAAAGGAATAATTGTCCTACAGAAGAAGTCAGCCCCAATATTAATAAATTAGTCAGTACAAATGGATACCTGAGCACAAAGTCATAGAATAGTATATATTCTTTTGTGACCAGTATCATGATTGTTAAGAAGAAAGTACTCCAAGCATTCCCAACAAACATCATTTGCAGGCCTGTGGGTCTTGTTTCAGCTCTTATCCTATCCTGAAATAATAAAAATTGAATGTCACTGCAACCACAAGTCATATTTTCTTTATATTAGTAAAAAAACAGTCTGGAAATTCCTATTTCACAGGCTACAGCTTAAATGGCTTGATGGACTTTGCAATATGAGGTGTCCCTAGATTTATCTTGACAGAGCAACTGATACTAGGTATACTAAAATTTTATAACATTAAAATGGCAGATGGTATTCAAAAATTTCAAGCTTGAAATTATTTCATCAGCTACAGATTAAACAACTTGATGTATTTTGACATGAGTTGTCTCTAGATTTGTCTTGACAGTGCGAGCTGCAGTGGGTGACACTAGGTATACCAAAATTTCATAAAATTAAAATAACAGATCTTGAACTTCAACCTTGAAATTTCCATTTCACAGGCTACAGCCAAAGTGACCTGGTGAATTTTGACACATGATTTTTCCTTAGATTTGTATTAATAGCACAATTAAAAATTCATTCTTATCAGTTACTGTAGTTGGGCTTTATTACAAATGTACTTGTTTTAGTGTTATAAAAAAACTCTATACACTCACTTGTATAGCTCCCGTTAGCCCATCCATAAGCAAGGATAGGAACAGTAGTAGTTCTCCAACACCCACACCTGCATCTTCAGTCAATACCTCAGCTTTATCTTTCAGCATAAACAGAATAATACCTAGTACAATCATAAACACGAAAACGTACTTTCTAAGTGGGTAAGACATTTTCCCCAGCAGCACGCCTAGTATCATCACTGGAATAGGCTTAGCAGCCTTGCCCACAACCTGTGTGGGGTAAGGCACCCACTGCAATGCCATGTTAGAACAGATCATCCCTAATAGATATGTAATAGACATACTGGCATAGTACAATTTGTGTGTTTTGTCCTCACCTTGGGGCCAAATGAATGTCGCTATTTTAGCAACAATAGTATTGATCAGACATTGCACAGCTACTAAAATTAAAGTGAACGTGAACTTCTCTGTTTTGGATGCTGTTACCCCGTTTTCTTCGATTGTCGTAGTGTATTTGCCTCTGGTTACTTTTTCCTGCATGATTCCATAGTAGAAATATGAGATGAAGATTCCTCCAGCATACACTATGAACTTTTTGCGGTGAGATGCTGATGAAGTGGTCGGCATTTTTGGAAGCAGTACTTGTGATTTCGTTGGTTAAATTGTATATTATCATTCAAAACATTGTCGCGAAATTCACAAAAGCATATGGTCAAAATTTGGGACGTCAAGAGTTTGTTTTGAAAACGTTAACCTAGCTTTATGAATGCCTAAATCCTATAATTTAAAATTTATAGCCAATCAAAGTCAAGCATATTTAACGACGACCAATCAACCACTTCCAGATAGGAATAGTAAATTGACCAATCCCAGAATAAGTACGTGTCTACAACTCGTGTAGAGTTGAGTTATAGTTGTATGTTGTATGCCCATATATTTTGTGGTTGTGGATTTGAGCGAGCGTTGGTCGAACCATAGCCTTCATAACTGCTGGCCTCGAAAATATATTCATATTTAAATAGTTTGAAAACATTTACTTCGTGTGGCCCACCGCTGAAAATTAAAAAATACGCCTATTGTGAAGCATTTAAGAGATAAATATTTCAATAAATAGAAAATCGTTGTTAACACAAGAAAACCACGTAACTCCACTTTATATGCCGTTCAAAATAGGAAAAACACGTAATTCCTAATTTTACCTATTTTCCATTTTTGTTTTGAAAATTTCAGCTTTAAGTATTATTCAGAAACTGCTCAACTAAACTATAATATTGCATTTATCACAATAATACTATTATTCCTAAAACAATATAATGCATAACTCAATTTATCTAAATTTCTTAGAAACGGAGTTACCATTTTTTCTTATATCATCGACGACATTTGAGTTCAATAATATTGATTTTTCAAATCTCATCTCTACTGTCGACAAATGTCATTTCTTAAATGCCAACCAGAGCTGCATTCTCCACTCTTGCTATGGGGACAGGGTTGTCACATTTCAAAATTTGGAAGATTTTTTTATGTACGTTGGGGAATTTTTCGGTGATAAAATGTTCTGGTAAATATTTTTGGGGATAAATAAAATCGTTGGATGTTTGCCTCTACACCTTTATGTGAATTGTAGGTTGGTGGACATGAATCTATAGTTATAGAACACAGAAAAATAGAAGTTGTGAGCGACCGGTTGATTTTCCTATCTTTGTCTCACTCGCCTGTTTCGGGAGAAAGAAGTAGACGATGACTTGTCTTCTCGATTTTGCACAGATTTGCTCGCCTTGTAGGTAAACGGGTAACTAGCGGGTATAGTCTTTCCTCTCCTTCAGAAAGGTTGGGATATTTCTAGATTTCTACTTTCTACTGTTCCGTGCCAGCGGTCTCCTATTGTTAGGCTATTTTTTCTTCTTGGATTATGTTATATTTTAGGCTATATAACAGATGATAAATCAAAAGCATGAACAATTTGATGCAAATAAATATTTGTAACATAGCCTCAAAAGAGCGCTAACACCGAATGGTAGACAACTATGAAAATCAAGGAGGTCATAAAGGTGTCCTAATATTGTAGGAACGACTGACGATAGGTCCCTAATGCCCTTTTAAGATGATCCGGCGCGCGCCTGAGAAGCGTGATGTATTCACACGAGGTAGGTTTCGTCCGACGCGCGTCGCTCCTCTATTTTGACTGTTCAGTTGAGTCTAGCTATTCGAATGAAACAAGAATGGCCGAAAAACAACGGTTTGAACTCCATTTTGACCACACAATGGCTCTCGAATTCACCCGACGCGAATCCAATAGATTATTCTATCTGGGCCATTTTGGAGAGTAAAGTTTAAAGTAGGAAATCCACCAGCCTCGCGACACTGAAGAAAGCCATTGTCGGTTAGTGGGCCAAAATATCGTTAAGTCACATTCGGCATTCGGGCAGCTTGTGATTCGTTTTTGGGCCGTCTCAATGCTATAGTGAAGGCCAAAGGTGGTCATATTGAGCCAATGTGAATCATTTCGGCATTTTCGAATATTTTCACACATTCTGTACTTTGGAATAAACAAAAATCATTTTCCAAACCGAATTTATGGCATTTTGAGTGCCGGACCTTGTAGAGACCTGAGCTGTGCGGCGTAGAGCAGTCCGGCGGGAATTTGTGCACCGCGCGGCATTTGTGCCGTACGGCGCGCGCCGGATCGTGTGAAAAGGGCGTTAAATCTACAATTCAAATTAAAGTTGTCAAATGGTAATAACATTGCAAATATTAAGTTTTATCTATTAGAAGTGTATTTAGAAATGATGTGTGCTCCTGAGTACAGCTACGTTGAAGAAATATCAAGTCTACTATTTTAGGCGTCGCTGGCAAAAATGCTAGGTGACTGAACAAATATCATTTTAAAATTATTGAAACATATAAATTTGGGATTGCTTACAAAACCAACAACCAGAACAGCGACAGTTTTGGCTTTGTTAATAGACTTGTTTTCTGGTAGAACACAAGTGGCATTCGACTATATTGTTTTCGAAACATTTTCATACGATACGTACCAATAACAGTGGAAATGGATCTCTAGTGAAAAGTAAACTAAGTAACATTCCTTTTCGACAGATTTTCAATTAAAAAAAGTAGGAAATTCCACTAGAAAGGGACTACGTCCACCACATTTCGTGGAAAAATTACAAATCTGGCGGAAAATAATTGTATTGGCAACCCTGGCGACGCCTGGCGCACCATTGGCTTGAATATTCGTTAGCTCGATATCGAATCATGGATCCATCTCTATTAAAATGTGTTGCCGGTACTTTATGTCAATATTTTTAGTTGTCAATGTCAACTGTCATTTAGTACTTTACGTCAGTGTATATTTTGTGCTTTGCCTCTCAGTCTCTCAGCTTGACGTGAGAAAATTGTTTATAAAACTGTTTTCCTGATTTCTGGAATGTACTGCATCAATACAAAAAAACTACCAAAATTCATGTGATTTTTAGCTACTAAAAGGTCCACTTACATCATTACTGTAAGATGCCACCACTTTAGGTTAATTGATATCGATTTTTGCATTACATAAAAATCTGATTGTTCAAAATAGTTTGAGCTAAACGTTATCAGTTCGTTGTGAGTCACCATGGAGGCGGTCCCCAGGCTACCTATGCTTTCATTTGAGCTGAAGGTGTGCACCGAGAATACCCAATTTGCCCCCCAACTCAAACAGGTATGACCACCAACTCGGTGGTATTTTATCCAGTTGATACGTGGATTATGTTTTTAGTACATAGCGGCTTTTTACAATGAAGATCCCGACTCGTACCTGACGGAAATACATTCTCTAGAAGCCCTCAGAGCTTCTGCAGTGCGTCCTTCAATGGATATTAGTGGGGTACAAACTTTGAAGAAATACTATTGCCAGTTACATTTTCTCAAGTCGAGGTTCCCGATGGAAGAAAATCAAGATGCAGCAGTACAATTTTCATGGTAGGCAGGTCTTAAAGTTGTGTATAATTTTAAGGCAAATCATTAGTATTTTCCATCGGTATTGATCTTAAAATGTGATATCTGACTGTGCATATATACAGGGTGGCCCATCCATGAGTGGATTGAATATTGCTAATAAATCCATTTTGGAAAAACTATTTATGGTATGTTATACATGACATTTGAGGGCACATTTCTAAAATATTGGCAATTATACAGAGTGTACCAATCTTGACATATCAAAGTTGTGAATTTTTGAATGGAATGCCTCAAATTTTATTGCATATTTGGATAAACCAATTCAAAAGACGAAGATTGATATAACATACTATGGAGTTTTGGTAATTAGCTACTTTGTCCAGAAAAACCGTCTCATTCGACAACCCCTCAATCCGCCATTTTGAAATTTAGGATGCTGAATTTTGTATCAAAAAAAACTTAAATACCTCAGCTTGTATCTTATTTGTTCCTTTTTCGAATTTTCATTTTTGCTCATACAGGGTACATCACCCAAGTTTGGTAATAAGGTTTGATTCAGATAAAATCACTAGATTTTGAAATTGAAACAAAAGGCAAACAGTGGGCTGCAATAAAATTTGAGGCGTTCTATTTGAAAAATCACAACACTCTGTATAATGGCCAACATTTTAGAAATGTGCCCTCAAATGTCATGTTTAACATCCCATAAATAGATTTTCCAAAATGGATTTGTTTATGAGAAATATTCCGTCCACACATGGATGGGCCACCTTGTGTATATATATATATTCAGGGCATCAGTATCTATTGATGTATAAGGTTATTTAGCCTGTTTATTGTGTAATATATACATTTTGTCAATTTTAACAAACAACGAACCATGAATGACAAGAGACAACACCCTTATTCCGAAGGTTTTGAACACATGAAGAAAAATTTACTTTTGACATTCCAGAAGGATTTCTTTGTTCTAATTTGATCCGCATATAACACGTAGGTCGAAAAATTACGAATGTTAAAATTGTTACAGGGTCGTACAAAGTACACTGTATAACAATTTACAAATGTATTACCAGTATTTATTAATCATTCCATCAATATCATTGAATTTCCACATAACCCTAATAAACCAATAATAACTAGAATTCTGACTACATGGTTAATGAATATCAAATTTATGATAAATACTCATGGATCACAATAAATACCCATTGAGTTACATTCACTACATTTTCAAGAATTCATGCTGGCTGTTTCTGGGGTTGAGATTCAAAATTATCACGATGTTAACACCTCTGATCATTCTCTTAATGGGATGAATTAATCCTCACAGTAAGTGGGATTCCCTTTTTGAAATTTTGATACAAATACCTTTCTTTTAAAATTACAATTACAGAATACATATCATTGATCACAATATTTAAGAAAAATATTAAGTTTTTCACTTTGTCAGATATTTCATACTTATTAATTACAGATCCTAAGCATAAAAGTAAAAAAGCAGATGTTTTGATACTATACTGCTTTTATTATCTGTATTACACAAGTAGTGTTTTTTACCATTAATAACCTATTATGATGTTTACTTCTTTAGTTTTTTTATTGTTATAAATAATCAGTTTTGCAGCAAAATAATAATTTTGAAAGATATTCTTTGTTTAACTTAACATACAAGAAAACTTGCTGTTTTTGTTTTAGGCTTCAACAACAATTGTATACTGAAATCACATTCAAATGACTCTCTATAAAATCATGTAACTTTGCAATATTCATTCACTTTTGTTGTGCCCTAATAATAACTACTTATTTAGTTTGAAAAAAAAACAATTTTGATCTCAATTTTCTCAGACTTTGATGTTTATGTTACTGCCTTTTACTTAAGTATGGCAGTATTGATATAAACACTTTTATCCAATTATATAATTTCTATGGACAACTTCGCCAAGCAGATGGCACTTGTCATCTTGGCAAGTATTGAATGTGGATGATCCTAGGCCCAATCCACTATGCTATAAATGCCTAACTTTTAAGATTATTTAAATCGTGAATAAATTCTAATCCTATTCAATATATAAACATAGTAATTTGCATGGTTGAGGTTGTTAGAGAACTCTCAGTTCCAATTGGAACCAGAAAACAAATGATTTATTGTACATGACAGTGTAATTTTTGTTATAAGATCATCTTATTGCTAGATCTAGATTAATTGCCTTTAGATAATTTGACATTGTGTATAATTCTTTTTTGTAGGAGAGATAATCAGCTTGAAGTAAACTATAGCTCCAATGATATTCGCTTTGAACTGATGGTAGTGATGTATAATATTGGTGCTTTACATTCATATTTGGGTGCTAATGAGTCCAGAAGTAATCCTGATGGAATGAGATTAGCTTGTACACATTTTCAATGTGCTGCCTGGGCATTTCAAGTAAGTATATTCATAAGGTGTATCTGTTTTACAACAAAGATTTCTCAAAAAATTTATTTAGTTGGACTTCTTCAAAGTCATCCTGATTGTTTTGCACTACTTACTTCAATGATTAATCAATAATATTAACTTGACAGTACCTAGTTTACTTTTTATATATTTTAGCCATATTCTAGCAGAGATTTTTAAATTACTTGCAACTGGTAAATTCAGTTGACCAAACAAATTTAAAAAAAAGTGACACCTTTAAGCATCAAATTGAATTAGTCAACTGTCCACAACTGTCAGAAATTCATTGGCAGAACATGCCTATTATGGTTTTGATCATGACTTGAGTCTTGCAAATGGAAACCATGACTAAATACTGTTGTTCAAAGTTCTATACATGAAAAGATATTCAATTAAATGGAATGGACAATGAGGTTGTCATCATGGAATTTGATGTCCAACTTGGCAAAAATTTGGGCAGGTTCTAATTGTGTAAAGAAATCCATGAAGATTTTGATGGATTTATTTAACATCAAATTCATATTTGATATATTTGAAATTTGGCCTTGAACTCATTTTGTGTATACATACATTCATACTTTTATAATATATGTATAATTACCTATATAGCAATCGAACATGATATTCCTCCTTTCTAAATCTATTTAATAGTAGTTAGATAAGGCTGTAAGCCTCCTAAAAACTAAGGCTAATTCCATACAATCTGTGTTCCATCAGTTTTTTTATACTTTTATAGAAGTCTATATCTCACGCTTTTTATTTTAGTGTGTTAAGGAAAAGTATCACCAGTTTATTGTCTGTATTTCATTGATTGAGTTGGTACACTTTTTCCAACAAGTCTGTTTAGCACAGGCCCAGGAATGCATTTTAGAGAAAAGTATGTTGGATAATAGAAAAGCAACAATTGTAGGTAAGTTTGTTCAACAATCTTATCTTTGCAATTTGAAGTTACATTTATTTGTTCAATGCCATGTCTAAGAGTATAGTTTTTTATTTTTTCTCAAGTATCTTCATTAATTTTTTGTTTTTATTGCAGCTAAGGTAGCTGTTCAGGTATACAACTACTACCGCCAATCTCTAAGCATTTTGGAATCATCTAGTGAAGATTTGTTCAAAGACAAAAAATACAAGGAATGGATCAAATATTTAAACTTTAAAATGGCTTATTACAAATGTGTGTCTCTTTTATACCAAGGTCAACAAGCTGAGGAACAACAAAAAATGGGAGAGAGAGTTGCTTTTTATCAAGCAGCTTGTGATAGACTTGAGGAGGCTAAAAAGTGGGCTGGATCACTAAAGAAGTGGCAGGTAAGTATATTTATTAAATATTGACAGCACATACTCTCATCCCTTGTGATTTTTATAGCAAGAAATAAATGAAAGTTTAGCTTTTACACAAGATGTTGCACAAGGCAAAAAGAAAGCTGCTAGCAATGAGAATGAATTTATATACCATGAGGAAGTTCCAGATAAAGATCATCTTGAAGAAGTTAAAGGAGCATCTTTAGTTAAAGGGATTCCATTCAGTGTCAGTGATGTCGAGGTACATTAATAATATTTTATACCTGCATTATAACATGCTTATGTTGGAAATATACTCATATATTGCAAGACGACAAAATCGGAGTTTTTAAGCATCGAGGCCACCAAGTATATACTAACTTACCCCACTATGTCCATATTTTGGAGTCTGTAGATGTTTGCCTTGAACATCTGTATTCTTGTGCTCTTGGAGGTCAATGTCGCACTGCATACTGAAACTTGACCAAAGGCTATCAAGCCTAGAATTTTTTTTTATATAGAAGTCTCTAGATCCTGTTTAACTTCTGCTAAATCTGTCACTGGCCGTTAAAATTTATAGGCGAGGATAATTGGTCTTTGAGCTGCACCTTAGCATTTGTCTCTGTGTGCCATTTCAGCACAGTGCTCGTTAGAAATTATGCTTAAGCTAATGTGTCTTTATTCATGTTATGTTTTTTTGTAAAACGCTTTTAGATTTCTGGACCTGACATTTTCCAGAGACTAGTCCCAATGGAAGCTCATGAGGCAGCTTCACTTTACAGTGAGAAAAAAGCTCAGCTTTTGAGGCAAGTTGGAGATATGATTGAAAGCAAAGATCAACAATTAGTTGAATTCATGTCATCTATGCAGTTTGACGTTCTATCAAAGGTATGAACATTGATACAGTAAATGCATTGTTGAACATGTTTCAATCAAGAAGTGATTGCACTTACTCTTTTATACTTAAACCACTACAAAGGCCCAAGGCCTAAACACACCTGGGTACCATGGGACTATAGGGCTATAAATGGGAATGGGAACGCCTTTGAAGTTTTATAATGAAGTAACAAAATCTTATATTAAACATTTTATAGAAATTTTTGTTAATCCATTTTGTAGGTGCATCAAGCTACCGGACTTCCTCAAGAGATTATAGATAGAGCCGCAGCAATGTCAGCAAGACCAACAGCAACCCAAGAACTTTCTGAAGCAATGAATAAATTATCTAGTATTTATCAAGATGTTGAAGCTAATCTCAAAGAAATTGATGCGTTATTGAAGGTAAGATAGTAACGTTTTATGAGTATTTAATTATTTTCTCATGATTGGTAAAGAAATGGGGTAGGTGAAAATGGCGACCTTACTACTCTTGAGGATACGTCCGTTTTATGATCCTTAAGGGACCATTCTCACCAAAAGCAACTGCCAACTAGGGATCGATGGATACTAATACATATACAGGGAAACCAAATATTTCTGATGGTTTGAGTTCAATGTGTACGATCTCTCGTAGCGCGAGAAGTGTGTATCAACACATGTTAGAAAGAGATAGAATCCGGCTGAAGAGCGCAGGTCATCACCACATTGACTAGCAATGGTGACGCAGAAGGTCGTGCATTCTGCCGCGTTACCAGAAAATGTTCGCACAGGCGGCTACAATAGGTTCGGTTACTGTCAAACCCAAGAAAGAGGTCTATTCGAACAATTAATTTAGTATTTAGTTTTCATTTTGATTAGAATTATTTATTTTAATTTTGATGCGACGTGTTTTAATTTATTTTAGAATTGATTTTGATTCCCACCAATGGTGATAAAATCTACATAAACTGAAATACTGGTACATTTTGTGACAGCAATTTTATGATTGGAAAATCAATCGTTTTATGAATCTGAGTTTCACGCACCTGGTGCAATATCAGCTGGTACGTATCGCTGGAGTTGGTTTATTATGTCAGCTACCAGTAGATGGCTCGGGGAGTAGTATAGTGTTGTTACTATGGGGTCGGCAAAGAGGCTTACTACTATTCCTATTACTAAACTTTTAATTAAAGTAATTTCAATTTATTAAACCGTTTTGGTTAAAATGAGTTTTAGATGAGGGAAAAAATAAATGAAAGAAATAACCTGTGTTCTAAATGCACTTGATTGTCTTGATTTTTTTGGTGTTATTTTATTGTGGTTCTGCTGGCTTTGTAGTCATTTGTTGTTCTCCGTTTCCATGATTCTAAACCTATTAATCTCTTGTCCAATTTGTAAACAAATATTACTTTTGTGTGAACAAATTACTAGAACTATCAGTAATCAGTGCTGTCAAATTACCACGGTTCATTTTAGCAGTCATAAAAACTCTTGTTTTTTTAATGATAGTTATATATTAATTTGTTATCGCTGTCAAAAATGTCGTAAAGGAAGCTTCAACGATTCGTTATTTGTTTCAGTAAAAACTCTAATATTCAAGTAATATCTTTTCATATTTGTTATGTAATTGGAGTTTTTTGTAAATAAAAATGCTACATATGATGATTGATTTGACTATTTATACTCCGCCTATAGTCATTGTCAACGCCACCGAAAGTCGGAATCGAGATGAAATCGGGTTGCCGTTGGTTTGCTTTCGGTGAGAATAGCGCCCTACTAATACTTTTCTGCCTGCAGGAAGAAGAGGAAGCTGAGCAAACCTACCAATCTCTAATGGGCAAGAGACCTCCAAGCATAGTCTCCATGGATCTCTCCCGTGAGGCAGCCAAATATCGTGAGGCCCACGTAAAAGCGAATGAATCAAACCAAACCCTACATAGAGCCATGACAGCTCACGTGGCCAACCTGAAAATCCTCCAACAGCCCTTGAAGCAGTTGACCCAACAGCTGCCCTCCATTGAGCTTCCCAATCCAAATGTGGACGATAAGGCTCTGAAAGGATTGGACACCTTGGTGGCCAAAGTTGACGAAATGAGGACGCAAAGGGCCATGCTGTGGGCTCAGCTTAGAGAGGCTGTGCATCAGGATGATATCACCAATTCTTTGGTCACCAAACAGCCAAATCAATCGTTGGAGCAGCTATTCCAGCAGGAGATTGAGAAGCATAACAAATTGGTGAGTTTGACCATATATTATCATCTTTCACCAAAAGATACCCAACTGAATTAGCCTGTGTGAGAATAAGTTATCGGATTTACCTTTCACTTGTTGAGAAATTCTGAGAATACGAAATTTTTGGAATAATTATCGGGTTGGATAATACATAAATAGGAGCATATACAGGGTGGTCCATAAGTCCTTTGAAATTTCAAATTTGAATAAAATTTAACGGGTGAGCGTGAGCGGCGCGGGCGAGGTGGGGGCAGTATCTTCAGTGTCTGGGAATTCAGTCGCCATGGAGTGTTTCACTGGAGCGGATCGTGCTTTTTGTGTGCGCGCGTTTTATCAAAATAATGATTCGGCAACCATTGCGCGGCGTAAATATCGAGAATACCACAATTTGCACAATTTTACAAAGTGTCCAACAGCTCAAACGATTAAGAACTGGGTTGCTAAGTTCAAAGAGACTGGTTCGACGTTAGATAAACAGCGGTGGGGTCAACCAAGGACAACTCGTATTGAAGAAAACATCAACATTGTGGCACAGTCTGTTTGTCAAAATCCTACCCAGTCTACTCGTAAGCGTTCCAGTGCACTAAACGTACCCAGAACATCTTTACAGCAGATTTTAAGGAAAGATTTACGTCTGCACGCTTACAAAATTCAATTAGAGCAGGAATTAAAAGATAATGACGCTATTCAGAGACTAAACTCTGCGAATGAAATGTTGAATCGATTTTCTTCGCTCAATAATGTGTTGTTCTCGGACGAGGCTCACTTCCATTTAAACGGGCATGTAAATAAACAAAATTGCCGTTATTGGAGCCCCGAAAATCCAAGGCGTAAGCATCAGAAGCCCTTACACAGCCCTAAAGTTACAGTTTGGGCTGCTATGTCAGCGCATGGCATCGTAGGCCCTTATTTTTTTGAGGACGACAGAGGTCGCGCATTAACTGTTACTTCGGAGCGGTATGTAGCAATGATAGAAGAGTTTTTGACACCAGCGTTGCAGAATTTTCCAGGCTATAATACGCAGACCTGGTTTCAACAGGACGGAGCAACTGCCCATACCTCCAACACTTCTATGCCCGTCGTCTGTCAACTTTTTCCCAGCAAAGTAATTTCTCGAAGAGGAGACATTTCCTGGCCACCACGTAGTCCAGATTTGACCCCAATGGACTTCTTTTTATGGGGCTACCTCAAGAGTAAAGTGTACGACACCACTCCGCGATCAGTTGATGTCCTGAAAGAAAATATCCGAAGAGAAATGGCAAGCATTACAGTGTTGACTTGCCGCGCAGTCATCGACAATTTTAGACGTCGTTTATATGAGTGCCGTGATCGTAATGGATTGCATTTAGACGATGTGATTTTTAAAACATAATTCCCATTCAATAAAGATGATAACAAAATATAATAATTCTTCATAATGTAACTAGTTTGGTTTTATTCCTTTTTTTCTAGCTCAAAGGACTTATGGGCCACCCTGTATAACTTTATAATTTTGTTTAATTATTCACGGAATAATTAATCAATGTCATTATAGTGACCATTATTATATCTCTGAGAGGAAATGCCCTTGGGGCATTGTCATGGAGAAAAAACATTTTGTCATGTTGTGATCGATTACGCAGTTTCAGCTCTAAGTTGATTACAGTACACTGTTGTAGTAATCGTGGTATTAGTAGGAAACATTCCCTATTATATTACTCTTTATACAAACCACCACATCGAGAGCGTCACTTTCTCAAGATATAAATTTGCCTGGTTCATTGGGGCCCAACTACAGGGTCTACCAATAAGAATGATATACGTTAAAATTGCTAAAAAATAAAATTTCTATGATTGATGTTTTATTTTGTAGTATATTGCGTAACATTATGTTTTGAACAAGATATCATTAAGATTCCCACCTCGGCTGCGGCGGCACACATTTATACGATAAACCCCATTTTCAATGACTTTTCCAAGTTGAGCTGAATTTCGCGAATAACTCCGGTGATGTTAACTTTCAACTCGTCGATGGCTTGAGGATTGTTAATGTACGCCTTCGACTTCACATATCCTCAAAGAAAAAAATCCATGGGAGTAAGATCACAGGACCTTGGTTGCCAGTTGATAGGACAATGTCGCGAAATTATTCGTTCCTCAAAACGCTCCCTTAATAAATTAATTGTGTCTCGAGCAATGCGTGATATTGCTCCATCCTGTTGAAACCACTTCTGTTCCAAGGCTCCACCATCAATTGCACGCCAAAGAAAGTTTGTTATCATGTCGCGGTAGCGCTCTGCGTTGACTGTCACAGTATGCCCCTTTGCGTCATCAAAAAAGTAGGGACCGATAATTCCACCGACACGCAAACTACACCATACAGTCACTTTTATCGGGTATATTGGCCTCTCGACTAATTTCTGGGGATTGTTCCGACACCAGAAGCGGCAATTTTGATTATTGGCAACGCCACTAAGCGAAAAATGCGTCTCGTGTGAAAAGATGATTTGTTTACCAAAATCGGCATTTTGTTCCAACTGCAACAGGGCCCAGTCGGTAAACGTTCTTCGCAAACCATGGTCGGCAGGCTTCAGTTTTTGAGTTAGAACCATCTTATGTGGTTATATGTCCAAATCTTTCTTCAAAATGCGCCACATTGACATCGGTGAAGGGGCTAATTGCTGACAACGTCGCAGAACCGACACATTAGTATTCGCGGTGACACTTTCTCTTGCAGCGGCGATATTTTCAGCGCTCCTTGCATTTCTTTGTCGCGTTGGTGGCTTATTATCCAGGAGAGTTTACTCCTGCTCAAACTTATCAACTGTGTGTCTTATTGCAAGCTCAGAAGGCCGTCGACGTTGGCCAAAATCTTCTCGAAGAACACGATAACAGGCTCTAACCGATCGCGCATTTTCGTAGTACTTTTGTACAATAACTATACGATCTTCTGTAGTTAAACGATTCATGGTGGAATGACACAGTATAATAATCACAACTGACTGATCCGCGTTTTGACAAATACCACTGTGCGTACATGGGCTACTAAACTTCTATCACTCCTATTGGTAGACCCTGTATAGATACTTTTAGTCTCCAGAAACGAGATGTTGAATGTATAGCGAAGATAAGTCACTTGATCTTTGCTCCACTGGTGTGGTACGAAAACATAAAACTTTGTGATCCTACTTGGCAACATCGCCGTGACGTTGAAAAGTCCATATACATGTCCATATGGTTGGAAATTTTCTTGGATAATTTTATTTGAAAAATTGTCAAAATGCGGCTGTTTTATATATCCACTCCACAACTCACTCCGCTCTCGGAATGTCCGGGTGGAGGGTGGGCTCGAGGGAACAACATCGAAGGTAAAATTTGTTTTACAAACATCTGCGGGATTAACATCAACATTGATGCTGTTCATCACTACCTGCAATCCAATCGTCCCGCCATGCTTTTCTTGGCGGAGACAAAAATCTCAGAGTCTTCACCGATTATCCATCTTAACTTCCCAAACTACGATAATCTGAGAAAGAACAGGGGAGTTGTGGCTTTTGTCTGCAGCAGTCTTTCCTGCTCCACAGATGTTTCTTTGGAATGAAACCGGAAGGACATTCTGTGGCTTCGCCTCAACTCCAAAACATCACCCAAATTTATTTGTTGCCTTTATCGCTCTCTCTCGCACCATAACTGGGATGACCTACTGGAATACCTTCGCCGTCAAGATCGTCTTCCTGCTCTTACTCAAGGGCTGAGCCAGCTTGTGACGAGCCCTACTTTTTCCCCCCGCATCTCGTCACATGCCAGTAGCCTATTGGTTTTTTTTTCTGACCACGCATCCTGTCCCTTATAGCACTGCTGTCCTGTCTCCCCTGGGTAACTCAGACCACGGTGTTGTGGAGGTTGGGTTTCGATCAGAACTCGCTGTGACAGCAGAAAATCGTACAGGCCGCAAAACTTGGCATTACGGACATGTCGACTGGGAGGGGCTCGGAGACTTCTTCTCTATCTTTCCTTGGAGAGATGTCTGTTTCACTGACGCGGATGCGTTGGCTGTCTGTTCTTCGATAACCGAAATTATTCACGTCGGAATGGAGAAATACATTCCTCACACAGTGAAAGTGCCTAAATCAGGGTCCAACGCCTGGTTTAACAAATCGTGTGACACTGCTCGCCAGCAGAAGATCAAGGCACACAGAACCTTCTTACAAATCCCCACTGTAGAGAACAGACAAGCCGACGTCGAGTCCAGAAACAAATATAACGAAGCGGTTCGCAATGTCAAAAACCAGGACGATATAAATGTTAGGCACAGGGTAATGTCGCAGCGCAATGGCAGTCAGTTTTTCTGGACGCTGGCCAAGCAGATTGAAAAGAACTTCTCACACAGTAGCCTCCCACCACTTACGTGTTAGGATTCGACTTAAAGGCCAAGGCGGAAGTGTTAGCCAAGATCCTTGCTGCCAACTCCACCATGGACCCCATCGCCCAAGTGCCGTCAATTCAAAGGGTTCCCTACACTTTGCGAGAGGTAACATTGAGGCATAAGACCGTAAGACGAGTGCTTTTGTCGCTCGACATCAACAAAGCTTCTGGTCCGGATTTGATTCCTGCCATTGTGCTGAAGAAGTGTGCAGCGAAGCTTGCTCCAGTTCTTTCGCGTCTCTTCCAGATATCTTACGAATCCGGCACCTTCACAGAAAACTGGAAATTTGCTCATGTCCAACCCATCCCAAAAAAGGGATCTAAGACCGACCCTTACAACTACAGGCCTATAGCTCTGCTTTCTGTTATAAGTAAGGTGATGGAGAGGTGCATAAATCGCGAGCTTCTGGACTACCTCGAACGTCACAGCTTGATTAGCGACAGGCAGTATGTTTTCCGGCACCAACGATCCACAGGGGACCTCCTAGCTTACGTCATGCAATTGTGGAGTAAACTCATCCAGTCCTATGGTGATTCCCATGTCGTTGCTCTTGACATCACGAAAGCGTTCGATCAGCTGTGACACGCTGCCCTCTTAAGCAAACTTCCATCCTATGGCCTCCCAGAAAAGCTTTACAGATGGGTGGCGTGGCTGACTTTATCTCTGGCCACAAGATATCCGTCGTAATTGACGGGTTCTCCTCTTCATCCTACAACGTCAACGCGGGTGTTCCCCAGGGATCGGTCTTGGCTCCGACACTGTTTCTCTTACATATCAACGACCTCCTTTCCTGCACGATCAACCCAATCCACAGCTTCGCTGATTACAGCACTCTACATGCAGAAATTCACAGTGACAAGCCGATCTCTGCCACTGAGCTGGAAAAAAGAAGGCTAGCGACGACATCCCCTCTGACAAGAGACCTGGAGGCTATCACTGCACAATCTTGTACAGTTCAATGCTTCCAAAACACATTACTGTACTTTGACGAACAAAAAGCGTCCTAGCGCTCATCCGATTTCGATGGATGGCCGAGTTCTCTCAAAGAGCCATTCATTTCGGCTAGTCGGAGTCCAGATCACCGAGGACCTGATCTGGCACGAACACATCTCACCAATAGCTGCAGCTGCTGGGAAAAAGCTAGGCTATTTGTTTAGGGCTAGGAAGCACTTTTCTCCGCAAGACCGTCTCACTCTATACAAGTCCCAGATAAGGCCTAGCCTCGAGTATTGCTCACACGTTTGTCCCGGGAGTGTCGAGACTGTGGAACCATCTACAAGAGGAAGCAGCCGCGGTGTTCCGGCATTTAGGCTTCTGCCTGCGCGGCTGCTTCGATATAAAAAAATCCTCTGATATTCTTTAGATTCTCACTTTTTTTTTTCATTACTAGACTACCTTGATCGAACAGAATCTTGCCGCGCAAGAAAACATCCAAAAAGCGCTGGTAGACAGCTATGCCAAGGCAGTCAACACCAGAAGGTACATCCAGGACATTGTGCAGAAACGTCAATCGACTATTTCAGCTTTGGTCCAGTCATCTGATTCTTATGAGGACCTGTTGGCTAAGGCTAATAAGGGAGTAGAGTTTTACACGAAGTTGGAAACGAATGTGTCTAAATTACTGCAGAGGATCAAAAGTGCCTGTAAGGTGCAGCAGGAAGAGAGAGAACAAATGTTGAAGAAGGATCTGGCCAAGAATACACCAGAAGCAGATCCAGGTATGTATTTTAAAAAAGATGAATCCAGGTATTAAAAGGACTCCCTGAACTACAAATGTGCCATTTTTCTATAAGTATTATTATTGACGTTCTTAAGATTTTGAAGTTTGAACAAATTGAACCGGAAAAGTCTGACACTAAATTTCTATAGAAATTGATAAATTATTGGATTCGATCATTATCAACATAGTCTCCAAGAAAATGCTCAACCCGATACTGTATTTTGACGTACATATACAATTTTCATCGTCACAGCCATGTTGCCAATTGCCAAATAGAATAGTACTAAGTGAAATCATACTATATTCGCGCATGACATCAACCTCAAAAATTTGATAATGAAAAAAGAAATCCCACAACCTGTCTCAATAGTTCGAGAGGTGCCAATGCAGGCGCTTAGAGAAAGTGGTTGACACGTATATAGTTAGAAGCATAAATGGTTGTTTTCGCTACGGTAGGTGCACTTTGCTAGCGACTACACATAGTCAGCGATACGACTGCGCGTTAGTGTTTTGTTGCTCAAAAACCGTGAATGAAAAAATCGTATGAGATCAATCAATCCACATTGTATATGGACTTTTGTTATTAACCAAAAACTCCCTATTCATAGAAAATATATTGGTTTACGAACGTTTTGAGGAAAGTAACACTTTATACGCAAACTGTAACGCTATTTCCTCAGGGTCACTAACTGGCGAACTACCTGCCTCTCAAGTTCAGCAACTCCTCGGACGCCGGCCTCCTGTTTAAAATGTGGACAGGAACAGCCACCCTGGGCAGCTTCAGTGGAGAAATTAAGACTCGAGATATTTACTTTCTACTACTAACTTCTCATCTTTTTGTATCTCTTACTTCAGCCAGGACGGAATTTATGATTAAAAGCAGGATTTAAAACACACATTGGTATATTAGCAGCAAAATATATACACTCCATACAGGGGGACAATGGGTTAGCTCCAGGTCGAACGGAATCAAAAGCGGTTAAAAAGCAGCGGTTGAAGCGTAAGCGGTTTGCGGTCAAACTAGCAAACGATAGTGGTGCGATGCGCAAAGCCCCAAGCGATGAACAGTTTACAGCAACATGGATATGTTTGGGCGAAGAATAAGACGAGGCGTTTAGTTTACCCGCGTCTACTTCGAGCGCTGTTTGCCTCGTTTTCTCTTGAATGTCAATCTGCACCTCAAGGAAGTAAGCACACTGTAGACAAAGATGTTCCTCCCTGACTTGCTTCTTGAACCCCAAAGCAATTATATAATTGCTAAAATCAAGCCGCGTGCTGTCGTTAATGTACCTTTAAACTAGACTAAACTAATAGCCTCCTCATGATGTATTTACCAGACCTTAAAAAAAATATCGGAGTCGCAGTATTTTGTGACTCAATTACTCATCCTATAAACATTTTTATATATCTGGAACTTTACTGGGATATACTGAACAAATATTATATATTATCTATTAATCACAAAATCAACCAAAAAGAAAAACACCTCTTAAGTTTGATGCATACGTTGTGTTTTGGCATGTTCCACACAGACGCCAGGTGTACCAAGGGTCGACTACGACGCCACCTAAGATTATTTAAAAAAACTTCAAAAAAACGACGAAATTCATCTTGCAGGCTATATATTCTTCAATTTCAAATCAAAACAATTCACACACTATGTACCTAGTGCCGGAAAAACCCCAGTCGATGCAGTTCGGTATCACGGTACAGACGGCCTTAGTACCCAACCCTTATTGGTACACCAAGGAAATGAACCAGAACTAGTATAGAACTAGGCTAAGTCCAAATGGAATAAACAAAATATTTCAAAATACCCTCATATATGCAAAAAATCACTAAAAATAAATTTCAAATAGAAATTTTGGAAACGCTGGTAAACTCTATCATAAAGCTTTGTTCTAAACTAAACGCTTCTCAAAATCTAAATCAAAGTTATTTTTTTCAGCAAACTAGTCCAGTCAAAATTCAAAAATCGTTAAACCAACTCTCTCAAAATTCGTAATCCAAAAATAGACAGTACACTACAATGTTTATGTCTAAAGAACAAGTCAGTCCGAAACATATAATCTCTCTCATGTTCTGGATTTACGCGGCAAGCAAAATTTCCAAAAAGTAAATCCAGAATCTCAAAAATACTTTACTTACAGTTAACAGAATTACCTCAATCTATCTACTAAAACGGAACACCCTTTAAACTCGCCCCCTTACATCTTGGTACGGCACAGTATTGTTGTCGGCTGCTACCTGAGAAGAGAGGCCCGGCGCACATACGCCCGCGCTTTTATAGCGCTCGCCAACGTTCTAGAAGAAGATGAAGGCCTTCCGCTCTTTGGTTCATATTCAAGCCTTCTGAAAATGCCTTAAACCACCGAAAAACCTGGGCTCTTGACAAAACACTATCTCTAAAGGCCTGTTCAAGTTTAGCAAGCGTTTCCGTTGCTCTGTGCCCAAATCTGAAGCAAAAATTGATAGCACACCGTTGCTCTAAATTGATGTCACTCATTTTTAGAACATAATAGAAAACACTGTTTGACAAAAAAATCGCTACGGATAACCAAATTACTCGAACAAGTTCAAACTTGTACTGAAGGCGGATCACATGTTCACCTGTCTCCACACCAAGCCCGACGTGTCCAGTGTTGCCAAATCGAACGCATCGTTTTCAGTCTCATCACTTAATTTACAGACCTCGCACATTACATTAAGTAGGATTTTTTTTTTATATTCCAACTACCACGAAGGCCTAAGGCCTAAACACCCATTGGGTACCGAGGGGCTATAGGGGGATACAGGGTAAAGGGGGAACGCCACACGGACTCTGGCGAGGGAACACGTGTGCATGCAACATGCACACATTCTGGCTCCGCCTACGAGATCCGCCGGGTGGTACCTCCACGTTCGACAGTCAGAGACCATCTACCACCTACGGACAATCACAACATCCATAGCCAAGAGAAAAATGTCTCCTGGAACGGGACTCGAACCCGCACAGCGCACGGCGAGTGATCAGGAGACCGAAGAGTCTACTACTGCGGCCACCGCTGCTGCCTGTATATCGTTAGCTCAGTACACAGTATATAATAGTTGTTTGATATTTATTTACGTTCTTATCATCATTTGTTTCATACCTATTTAAAAACCCTAAAGGTAGGAATGCATTTCAAAAACGTTCAGTATAATACTCCTAATTAGTTGCATAAGAAGTTATTTTTATAGATTATAAATTATTACAGAATAGTAGACCTAGATACTTCTAGGGTTTGTGAGTTCTTTTACACATTATTCCCAATATTTGAAATTCGCCCCTCAGTATTGGGATCTCGGAAATGGTAAGTGATACGAAGTCGCTTGAATGGAGGCAAAATTGCCTATTCAGGTAACTAACAAAGTACCGCTTGGAGAGTTTAGAAATTCAAAGTGCTTTTGGAGAGCGTCAGAAAAAACGAACTTTCCCAAAATCGTTCTATTTTTTTCCTGACTGTATTTGTAGTGGGATTTTAAAATAAATTCCACATTAACATTGGCACCTTTTTTCCTCTACATAATTATGACGTTGCGTCTCCTGTCCACCAGCATCAACTTTATTTTTTCTTATAGACGCCATTTTCTCTGTTCACGTAGATTCCCATAGTTGGGCAATTTGACAGCAATATATGAAGAACAGAATGTCAAACATGTGTAGCATTATAGGTTATTATGTAAAAAAACCTATATAATGTAAAAAATAGGTAAAACGTCAACATGTGCACTAGGTAGCCGCTAGTTCATTCCACGCCTACTATTATAATAGGTTGTCCAATAGGGACGCAGGAAAGTAAACGTCAATTTGACATAGACGCCATCTTTGTTTTCTGTCACCGACATGTCATTTTGTTAGTTGAATGTTTACCATTGATCGCTATGGAGTCGTATTCGATTGAAGACCGCATTAAAGTTATTCAAGAGCACTACAAAGATGGTGCAAAAATAAAAAACACGTTTCGCGCGCTTTGTGAATATTTCGGTCGCAACAACCGCCCAAACGAAACAACCATCGGTCGTCTGGTGCGTAAATTCGAGGCAACAGGTTCTGTGGCAAATCTGCCAGGCTCTGGCCGGCCAAGGAGCGTTCGCGCACCGGAAAATATTGCTGTTGTGAAGGAGAGTGCGAGAGGCGATCCGAAACAATCAACAACGCGTCGATCCCAAGAATTGGGCATTTCGAGAACCAGTTTGCTCCGCATTCTCCACAAGGATTTGAATGTACACGCCTACTAGATCCAATTGACGCAAGAGCTGCGTCGGGCCGACCATTTTTCGCGCCGAAAGTTCTCAGATTGGCTCCTTGAACACCGCCAAATTGATGCCAATTTTTCATCAAAAATCATGTTCAGCGACGAAGCGCATTTCACTTTGAATGGGACGGTGAACAAGCAAAACTGCCGCATCTGGGCGAACGAAAATCCCCGTGAGTATCAAGAGCAGCCGATGCATCCTCAAAAAGTGACTGTGTGGTGTGCATTGTGGTCAAAAGGCATCATCGGACCTTACTTTTTCGAAAATGCGGCCGGGGACGCCGTTACCGTCAATTCTGAGCGATATCACGTGATGATAGAGGACTATTTTTTGCCGCAACTTGAAAGAATGGATATGGACGATGTTTATTTCCAACAAGACGGTGCAACATGCCACACAACCAACGTCAATATCCATCGATTGCAGTCCTTCTTCGGTGATCGCGTGATTTCGCGCAGAGGAAATGTGCCATGGCCACCAAGATCGTGCGATTTGACTCCCTTGGACATCTTTTTATGGGGATATTTGAAAAGCAAAGTCTACGTCAACAATCCAGCCACCCTCCAAGAACTCAAAAACATCATTGCCGAGATAAACGCCATAGAACCGACCATGTTGCAAAATGTCATTGAAAATTTCGACCATCGCGTGGACGTCTGTAAATCCAGTCGTGGTGAACATTTGAGCGATATTATTTTTCACACATAAATGGTATAAATGAACCTTCAAAATAAAGTACCCAACTTGATTTGAATATCAATCTTTCTTGTTTTAATATGCGTTTACTTTTCTGCGCCCGTTTTGGACAACCCCATATAAGTGAGCATGAAATTTCAGCTAGTTAAAAGGTGATATTTTATAGGACAACCTACATATTGTCAAAAAACCTACAAGGCATAAAAAATCTATCTAATCTCACTTTTTAAGTTACGTATGTTGTTGGATACTATATTGCCGCTAGATAATACTGTAAAAATGTTGCCCGTTTGGAAGCTCCTTTAATAAATGATTCAATAGACTGTTCTACCTGCTTTACAGATTCAACAAGTGCCCCTGCTGCGCCGAAGCTAAAAGACTACTTGGACTCAAGGAAACGCAACCCAATGGCCGCCTATTCGGACACTAACCTTCAGTACCCTCAACAACCAACCGTCAACTATGCTCCCATGGAACTACCTCCTGGCGTAAGACCGGCACCACTCGGCTCTGAAGTCTCAGATATCGCTAAACTAACAGTTAGTGAGCAGTCTTACACAGGAAACATGGGATATGGCTACAACACCAAGCCACCATTCGGTTATCAGCAGCAGCAAGTACCAGAGGATGGGCTGTCAAAGAAGATGATGAATCTATCTACGAATCCCAAAGATGAATCGCAGTACCATCCGCAGAGCTATAGTCCTTACATTCCGCAGGATTACACACCAACGTCGTATGCTTATCCAACTCAGGTCTCGCTTCCAGAGGTATGTAATAGTTGAATATCTAGTAAAAAAATAGAGAACCGTTTTGGTGCAGGAGAAACACGTTTGACATGAAGCATTGCTTTCGCTTTGCCGTTCAGATGAGAGCTTTTCGACTGATTGATGACACTTCTGTAACGTGCGGTCGGCGGTTTGGCTCCCTTACCGCTATGTCAAAGTACTTTGCTCATACTAGCTCTCCTCCATGAAGACGCCATGCGTTGATCCTACCAGACGGATCTGCCAGACTTCTGCGTCCATCATTTGATTTTTTTCAATGTTAATCGTGATTTAAATCAAATTATAAATTACTGTAAAACAAGTCACCGAAGCAAATAACTTAAATAACTCCTCAGGAGATTCAAAAAGGAAGATAGTTTATTTGAAACTAAATGTTTACATAGATAACTAATCCTCATAAGTCCAACGTAAATATTCATAAATTAAATTTAAGTAAACACAGTTTATAACAACAAAAACAGTTTATAGTTTATAATTTACCTGCACGAATAAATAATAATTAAAATAAAAATTATTAACGGATTCATATATGGTATTGTAACATGTACAGCGAACAAAAACATTACTCAGGCTAACATAAAAAAAACTTAAACACAAAATATGTGTTTAGTAAAACAGCTGTAATACTTATACGGGAAAACTAATTTAGCGACTTTTTTGGTTTCCAAGCGATTCGAAGTTTGAAATGTACCAAACCAAATGTCGAAAAACACTCTTTCGACTTATGCTGTAGAAGGTAGCAGATAACAGTTGTTTAATGGTAGGTAGTAGTTTTTGTATAGCATCGACATTCTCTTGGGATTTCTGCCAGTTTAAAGCTTTTGAAGTTTTGAGAGTTTCTTCATGGAACATTATGTTGGTAAAAGAATCTGATTTTGACAGGAACTGGATTATTCGTGGCAAGAACCCACTGGGAAGTAGTTCTTTTGCGATTCTCAAAGCACAACTCTTTTCGTCGTCTGCTAATATATGTTGTGGTTTTGTCGGATCAAAAAGGAACAAATGATATGGAGTGATGCACTGTTCATAACAGTGTATACATTTTTGTATTTGACTTGAAGTAAAATCTGTCTCCTCAATTCTTGTTCGACATCAGAGAAGGTTGCATTAGTTCTTTGAAGCCTATCAGTGGTAACATAAATAGGCTTCAGAATCGCAAAATAGTATTCAGCAGATATTTCCAAATAGATTTCGTTTTTATCAACCTCACTAGTTTCCAGAAAAATTGTCCAGTGAGCTCCACCTCACGTCATTAGGTAGAACAAATTTCGAATTTTTTTGTTCCGACAGAAAAGCCGCGGCATGCGCACCACATGTTAACACAAGTATTTTTGTATGTCGTCGAAGAGATTTTCTTACTATAAATTTAGACAACAAATATTTTTGGGCGAATAGAGAAGAATATTGAAAATAAGTTATTTCAAAGTTCATTATTGCCATATTTAAGAAAAAAATCAGTACAAATCGATAGAAATAAAAAAAATCACGATTCAATCGAAAAAACTAATTTTTTTTTTGATTTTCTCAAAAAAATCGTGATTTCTTGCAACGCTGTACCGAGGGTGTCGGGATTGCGAACAATTTTTCTTGAGGTTTTTTCAGCTTTACTAATTTTCCGCAGTTCAAAAATCGGACGAAAATGTGCCTTTAAGCTCCCTATAGCAGTCGCGGTACCCCGCTATTTAAATTTCATCCTACGCGACTGCATCAGTATAAAAACAACATTTTAAATGGCCTCCTTTTATTGCAGGTGCCTCTGTCAGTAGTATACGACCCCAACAAAGCATATACCACGACTGTGAATTCATACAAACCATACTCTAAACCAAGCATACCAGGTAGCGTTACTGGCCCTATGCAGTACCAAGCAACCCCTAGCGAGAAGTACCAGTACCCTGTGCACGCATCTAATTCGTTCACCCAGCCGACCCCTGCTCCTTCAACTAATAATAGTACATACAATGTGAATACGTACTACCCTGCAGGGTACGGCCCGAATACGACTCTTACTGGAGACGATACTTCCCAAAACGTACCTGCGAGCCCGTCTAGCAATCAGTACCATTCAGTGGAGTACGCAACGTCAGTACAGCCGAATAACGTGGTGTACAGTTACAGTTCAACGTACTCCTCGCCTTCGCCGAATTTGAATACTTCGGGGTACTATCCGAATACAAGTGGTAACGAGTACTACAATGCTAGTGAGACGCAGCAGCAATATCAAAGTCAGTATCAGTATTATGGAACTCAACAAGGAGCGGGTTATATTCAAGGTACTAATGGTTCGAATATAGTTCCTCCTGGTGGTATTTCACCTTCTTCTGTAGTATATGGAGATGGTACCTACTCCTACACATATGCTACCACTACCCCGCAAAATGCTTCTGCTACAGTGGTAGGATATGGAGGTACTGCTTATGCTGCAAATAGCACCCCAGTATATCCAAGCGGTACAACCAATGCTACTAACACTTATCCAACTGATAATGCTGGCAGTACTCCAACACCTTCTACGAACAACACGGGAACTTATCAGACAGGCAGTACTGCTGAGTATCAAGCAAGTACTACTACAGTATATCCGGCCGAGCATTACTCGGGATATTATGGGCAGAACTATGCGACGAATTACCCTGGGTACTACACCGAAGGAGCAGCTTCTCAGGCAGTACAACCTGCTCGGCCTACGCCTGCAGTACAACCTGCTCCGCCTACGCCTGCAGTACAACAGCAGCAGGTACAAGCTGCAAATACCGCGCCTACAACAACGAAAGAGTCAAACATCGATTTATTGAGCGGTTTGGATTTCACAATTAGCCAAGCGCCTTTAGTACCACAACAAAATGTGTCGAATACCAGCACAACAGATACAATGGTAAGCAATACTTTGTTGTGTCTTTGTTAAAACATTTATTTGCCAACGTAAAATTGTTTTTCAGCTAGAAGGATATTTTAATCAGGAGTAAGCAGTAAAAAGCCTTTTTTGTCACTAAAAATGACCTTGAGCATTTTTTATGGCATTTCTCGGGCCCGATACTGATTTAATTTCAGCATTTCATAATATCTACTCGAGTCCATTTTGTTAATCGTCAAAACATTATACTTGTCATGCATCATTCTTATTTGTAGTTTTATTTTAAAAACCGTGAATTTACCATTTTTTATTTTCAAGTCTGCCGCGCCAGACAAATCGGAATCTGCAACCAATACTTCCACAAAAAAAGAAATTGAGGAGAAAAAATCATCACCAGAAGTGAAAAGGCCGAAAATGAAAATCATACCAAGCAAAACGATTGACAACGCTGATATATGCAGACTGTTCGTGCAAGAATTGGACAAGTTCGAAAAATGCGTAGAAACATTGCCGAACAAAACGCTGAGTGGACCGACGAATCTCGACTTGAAATGGAAGGAAATCCAGGATAAACAAGATTCTGATGGGCAGAAGAAAATCATTTCTGTGGCAAGGTGCTACCCTATGAAGAATAGATTTCCGGATATTTTGCCTTATGATCATTCCAGAGTGGAACTATGTACTACCAAGGATGACTATATCAACGCTTCTTTTGTTAAGGCAAGATATTTTTTGTCATAAAGTAATTCTAAACATAACTGCAGGCAGGTGGAATTCTGAAAATTTAGAATTTTTTATGGATCCGAAGGCAGTCACATCAAAATTCGAAAGCACGAATGTATGTGACTAGCCGTTCTTTCAGTTTCAGATGAAACTCCAAAGTATGGTTAACTGGACAATTCGGACCTTCAGAGCATTTCCCGTTTTTTTTTTATAATCTTTTGTGTCGTTTGAAATTCTCAACCTATATTTGAGGCTTTACTATATACAGAAGATATTAGAGATTAAATTCTGATTTATAAAGGTATAACAAGATCTATAACTAAGTCGAAGCGTTTTTTCTTTTGTAGGACGTGTCACCATATGCTCCACTACTCATCATTTCTCAAGTGCCGCTGGCTTCAACTATTTCTGACTTTTGGGCTATGGTGAGAGAACAACAAGTCGAATTGATCTTTTGTCTAGTGAATGACAGCGAGGTAAATTATATTATTTCTAATTCTCACGCCACGCGAAATTTTTTGTAAACGAGGTATTATGTTTTTTTGATGTTATAATATAGGTAACATGTGCATCACAAATAACTGTCACTCATTTCCATCGGTTTCGCAGGCTGTCTGTCTATAACTTCGAATTTCCACAAGGCTGTATGTACGCTAAGAACGAAAAAGCTTTGTAGTAGATTTTTATATTAAATTTCTGGTATAAATATAAGGTATTTTTTTGTCCATAAAGCTGATTGAATGTTTGTACGTTTTTCTTTCAGATTGGAACCGATGTGTACTGGCCAACAGAAAAAGGTCGCAACTTAAGCTATGGCAATATGATCCTCTCCCTGCAAAGTGTCATCACAAAGACCCATTGGGTGGAACGTTTGATTTCCATCACTATCAATACACCAGATAAAAGAGATTCTTGGGTGGTATTTCATCTGCAGTTTACTAGCTGGCCAGGCAGTTTGTGCCCAAACAGCCCTGAACCTGTAGTGTCTTATATCCAGGAGCTGTTGACGTTGTATAAGCAACAGGTATTATCTTTAAGATCGTTGATTAACATATTCTCCGAAAAGATGCCCGACTCATGCTGCATTTGGACATTTCCGTACAATTTTCATTGTCACAGTATTGTTACTAAGTAGTGCTGCAGTGAGTCTCTCAAGGTGCTTGTAAACTGGCGTAACTATATCTGTCTTGCTGTCACTACATTGGATGACACTGTCGGTCACTCATCCAAGAAAAAAATGAAATTTGTACTAATGGGAACTAAAAAATCATACGTCTAATTTATCCAATTTTTTTAAAGCCCATACTTTGAAAAATACACGACTTAGATTTTTTATATTTTTCTGATAACTATTATGACTTGGCCAAGCATAGGTATTTGGCGGTGATACAATCTTATGCACCTTTTCGCGCAGGCAACAATTTCAATTGAATTGGGTACCTTCTGATACAGTTTTTTAGAAATATACGAAATACCGTAAATCTCGATTGCATGACTGTTTACTACACTGTCCAGCAACGACCACCACGACAAAATTAAATCGAGAAGTTTTGATATTGACTCATGACTGGACAGCTTATACCTTGTCACTCCTTAAAGTACCATTATTTTTTGTTTCAGCGCGATCCTGGTCACCCAGTGGTGGTCCAGTGTCCTGCAGGTGTGGGTCGAAGTGGAGTTGTATGCACAGTAGCAGCGGCCATTTTGGAAGCGGCGAACAACGCGAACGTCCTACCAGATCTGGCAACACTGGCTGCTAAGATATCAGCTTGTAGAGCTAACGCTCTTCGGGACAGGGAACATCTGAAGTTTGTTTATGAGTGTTTCTTGGGCTACATGAAGCAAATTGCTGCAGCAGGTGATATATCTTTTTCTCGTTTGAAAGAAACATCTCTTTCCCGATTAATATTTGTTTCAACTTTTATTTGAATACCTACATCTTATGCAGTCCTACGTCATGGAATTAGTGTTGGTAGCATACATGATGACTGATTGTTAGGATTATTAAAGCTTAGGGCCTTGGGTTATACTATTGTTAGACTAGAGGAGTACCTAGAACAAGTTTTAATTGAATACCTGTTAACTATCACATTCTTTATTTTCTTACAGATAAAATGAAGAGGAGATTGACTGAATTAGTGCCCAAAGTGGAAGAGAGCGTTCAACCGCAGGAGAATATTAGTGAAAAGAACGTCGACCCTTTGAGCACCTTGGATCCGTTTTGGGCCAACAAAAAGTGATAAATTTATTATATGACTAATATATACTTACATATGTACTTTTTTCTTTTATTTATTAGCTTAGGTTATCTCAGTTAATATATTCTCGTTAATATTAAGATTAAAATTATAGAACTGCTTATTTTGTATAAATGATACCCTTTGAATTTTAATATATTTATCTTGCTGAGCATGTTCTTACTCTTTGCTCCTGATTAAGTTTGGTGGGAACTTTGAATTTCTCGCTCACATCTTAAAGTTATGTGATCCTCACTTTTGTGTAGTAGAAAACAGCGCTTCTGACAAAATTCGGTGGATATGAAATGGCTACTAGGATCGCAGAAAGACGAGGAGGTATAGAAAATGCGTTTTACTCCTGATGTGAAATTGGCGGGACATTTTAATTTTTCGTACCTCTCGCCGCTTCTGTAGGCCTGATACAGATTCTACACTAGTGGAAAACAGTAAGTACCTCTGACCAGACTCCTCTTGCCAGATTGTACAATTGAATATGAATGAGATTGCTACTAGGATCGCAGAAACGCAAGGACAGATGGAAAAGATGAAAATCCAAACTGTTACTTCTTGTCGCTTATGCAATCCTAATACAATTTTTTTTGGTAGTACACTTTCGGACCACTTACTCGATGGATAATATGGAAAATGGGTTTTGATCTTGATATGAAATGAATGGGAAATTTTAATCTTTCACACCTGTCGCCGCTTCTGTAGTCCTGGTACATATTCTACATTGGTAGATGTCATCCCTCTTGACCGGACTTCTCTTGCCAAATTGGATAGGTATGAAATTGCTACTAGGATCGCAGAAATGCGAGGAGATATGGAAAATGCGTTTTGCTTCACCTATAAAATTGGTGGGAAGTTTCAATTTTTCATACCTCTCGCCGCTTCTGTAGTCCTGATACAGATTTTTCAGTGGTAAAAAATAACACTTCTGGCCAGACTTTTCTTGCCAAATTGGATCGGTATGAAATAGCTACTAGAATTGCATATACGCGAGGAGGTATGGAATGGGGCCTGGCACCTGATATGAAATTGGCGGGAAAATTCCTATAATGATCATGAGGTATCAGGAGCGTAGATTTTTCATTTGTAGAAGACAATACTTCTGGTACTGGCGTCCCTTGCAAAATGAAACAGGTAAAAATGTGCTACCAGGATAGAGAAACGCGAGGAGGTATTGAAATGGGCGTTGCTCACGATATGAAATTGGCGGGAAATTTAAATGTTTCCTGCATTCATTTCTCGCCACTTCTGTGATCCTGGTACCGAATATTTAGTCAGAGAAAACATCACTTCTGTCTAGACCTATCTTGAAAAATAGTAATTCAGAAGAGTATTAATTTGCTATCAGCATAACAGAAACGTGAGAAAAACGACACTGCTTTCGGAATCATATTGGCGGGAAACTTTGATTTTTGATACATTTACTTCTGGCCGATTCTGTGACCCTGATACAGATTTTGTGTGGTAATAAAAAACACTTCTGACTCGATTTCTCTGATAACAAACGCGAGGCGATAAGGAAAACTCCCTTTGCTTTTGATACGTTTTTCAGGGAGGAGAAGTAAAACACAACAAATAGATTTATCATATCTCTTTAATGATTACCTTTCATAAATATATCACGAAATATACTTAAATAATAGGAATCACACACACAACCACACGATATATATTATAAAAAATAACAATCTCGATAAACTCACAATATAAATACTGTTAAGAATTTACAACAAAATAATATTCTCAGTGCTAAGTGACATCCGAAGTATTACACCCAGAAAAAATACTTAAACTGATTTTTTGGCAATGAATAAGTCTTACATCAAGAATGAAACGATAACATTCTCACGAAATTTTATGAACAAGTGATAAGAAAAAAATTAATGTGTTGTGCGACCCCGCAGCTTAATACACTTCTGTATACGTCTAGGCATCGACAAAATGAGATGATCCATGTCTGGTTGTGGCACATCATTCCAAGCACCTCAAACTTCGTGGATTAGCTCTGGCAGAGTCTGTGGCGGGTGCTGCAAAGTGGATAGGCTCCCCCCCACCATATCCCACACATGTTCGATGGGATTTAAATCGAGTGAACGGGGTGGCCACAGCAAAACGTTAACGCCTGCTTCTTGAAAAAAGTCCGTAGTACGACGAGTAATATGAGAACGTGCGTTGTATTGCTGAAAAAGGACGTGTGGACGGCCCTCTAGATACGGCAGTAATGTGGGTTGTAGGACATTATCAACATAACGCGCAGCAGTCGTATTGCCTTGAATAAAGAGAAGGGGTGATCGACTACCATAGGAAATAGCCCCCCAAACCATTACTCCAACAGTAATGTGTACATGCCTCTCAACAACAAATCCAATATCACGCCGTTCTCCACGGCGGCGTCTTACCCTTCTACGACCATCGTGCGTATCTGGACAGAATCGCATTCATCGCTGAAGATGATATTATGCCATTCTGCCCCCAATGTTGCAGTTCTCTGCTCCAGTTCAAACGTTGACGACAGTGGTCCGCAGTCAGAGGGAGCACTAACCGTGGACGGTATGAAAAAAGTCCAAAGGTTCGAATGCGATGCTACAGTGTACCCATAGTAACAGGTCTACCTTCTCCAAACCATTGGTCAGCGATCTGATGCATAGTGGCAAAATGGTCTCGTAGGGCTAGTTGTCTGAAGCGCCTATCTTGATGCTCAGTGATACGCCTCAATGGACCAGTTGACATTCGTCGTGTTACTCTACCTTCTTCTATCCACACAGGCGTTACCGTCATTACAGTACAATTAACGCAGCGGCCAATTTAACGATAGGACAAACCAACATCTTGATAGGCAATAATTCTACCTCTGTCAAAGTCGCTAACATGGTGATACTTTGGACGTCTTCGAACTCGGGGCATTTTGTTATGCTTAACACTAGCAAATGAAAGGACAATAACTAAAAATATACGTAATACTTAGCTCTCAGAAATTGCTTTCTTCAGAAAAAATATTTTTTCTGGGTGTAATTCTTCTCATGTCACCGACTATACGGATGAACGAGAAAAATTACAAAAATCGTTTGTAGTCATAATTTAAGAAATTTCAGATAGTTGGTCAACATCCGAACTGAAGTTTCTTTGATGGGATCCTTGATATTGATATCAATGTATTTATAAATTATGATTATTCACTTTCTGCATGTCCAATAATTGAAACCTCATTTGCCGCATTTTTGACATTTTTTTCAATTACGAGTTATGGCGATAACTGTACAAAGAGTATCAGAAGCTCCAATATAAGTTTTAAAGCAAGTAAAGAACACTTTATACAACGTCTGATTTCGACAGATCATTGAATTATATATATTTCTACGCCTATTTCAATTTATTTTGAATGGCAGGATCTAATGTCACATGTTTACACCCCCATAAGACGTGAAATGTCACTTCTCAGATGCTCAATGTCTCGTCATGGGGTATGATACTTCTATACAAACAAGGAGCCATACCTTCCAGTTCCCAACATCAAGCCATCTTCATATACGAGTAAAGGTATTTCGTCAGTCAAAGACCGTTTACCACCTACGGACAATCACAACATCCACAGAAGAGAAAAAAATTCTCTTGGGACGGGATTCGAACCCACGTAGCGCACGGTGACTGATTAGTAGACTGAAAGTCTACCACTATGTCACCGCTGCTGACTGAATCACTACATTCTTTCGGTTAATTTCCAAACCAGTTTCTTCTGAAACTCATAGATACCTCTTCAGTATATAGGTATTTTCTTAGTGATTGTCTTCCGACACATATGACAAGTCCTCAGTGTGTCCGCACATCTTGAACATGTTCCATGTCCACAGAGAAAAACTACGTTTCTTTTACGTTCCATACATATGCTGCAAGCATGACTTTCTTCAATCTCTGCGATCTTGCTCTCGAGATATCGCATACGTTCTGCACTTGGCTGGCGGCCTAAGGGTGGTATCACTCTGCCATCTTTCGTTACCTGCAATAGAATATTCTATATTAAGAATGCGAATCTCTTTAAACTGGAATATAAACAGTTTTACAATAAAGGTGTGTTGATGTTGAAAAGGAATATGCCGCGACAGACACCACTTCGCCAATGTCATATTGAGCCATTTCCATATTTTTTTTCAATTTTATAATCTAAATATATTCTTTTACTTCCCAACTTCTCACGCCATTGAAAACTTTCGAAAATGAGATATGTTCTTTTGGTCCTTATATGACACCTACATCATGAAAAACCATCCGTCGGCCTGTATGTCTGTCCGCCAATGCGGACTTGACAAGTACCACTTGGATTTGATGGAATTTTTGTACAGGGTTAGGATGCCAAGAACAAAACAGCTTTATAGTTTTTAAAAGTCGGTTCAGTAGCAGCGGAGCTTGGGGCAAGACATGAAAAAAATCGCTAAAACCTGGTTTGTTTACATTCCAGAGGTTCCTGATCATTTTAAGAAAAATTTTTGAATGAAATAGGAATAGGGTTGTTCTTTCAGCGTATATTTAAATGCTCCCCCTCACACATCAGAAAAGTATATATGGAGACGGCAGTGTAAACACGTGTGTTATGAGCTCCTGCTAAAATTCCAATTTTTTTATGGTTAAAGTTAACAGTAAATTTTTAAAAAGTGCATCACAGTATTGTTACTCATATGGTGACCTGTTGCAGTTGTTTGATTTGGTGGAAATAGGTGGTTTGCGAGATAGTATCCAGTAAATTGCAATTTGAGCTGCTGGTTAGCATTTTATTTCTTGGTCATGGCGACTAGAAGCCGTACGGGTTGTAACACAAGTGGATGTGAAAGTACAAATGATCCTGAACAGCTTATAACTAAGGTATGTGCCACATTTACTTCCCAGTTAGAAGAGAAATTCAATGTAAAATTTGAGAAAATCCATGACAGACTTTTTGAGATGTCTAGAGCTCTAGGTACACAAGATCTGACTGTATTGAAAATACTAAAAAGATACAAAACCTCGAGCCCAGAGTTGATCACTTAGAGCAGTTGCAGAAACGAAGATCCTTTAGAATGTAGTATTTAAACGTTAGCTGTGAAAGTAGGGATGTTTATGCTGTATTCAGGGTTAAGGGCACCGAACGAAACTCCGGACCTCGTGTGCTGTTAGTAATATTTACTACGTTATTGCTACAGCAATCTGGGATGTCCGCTAACAAAGCTAAGCTGAAAGGCTCTTGTCTACGAGGACCTATCCAAGGAGGTTTATCAGTTGCTACGCTTGACGAAAAAGATGTATGGTCCAAGGAATGTTTGGTCGTCATCTGGCAAACTGTTTGTTGAGTGTGGTGACACCAAAAAGGTTATTTCCAGCCGTGATGATATTGTGTAACCCTTTTTGCGTTTACTCTTGTATTACTTTATCCCTTGTAACGCAGTTAAGCTTGATTTATTATTATTTTTGGAATTGAATAATTTGTTATGAATTCATTGATTTAAGGGTGAATCTCTTGATTTTTATCGATGTGGAACATGAAATTATTGTACCTTTCATTCTTTGCTCTCACAGTTTTGCTAGGGATTGTTTTTTGTATACTGTTTTTTTTTTGTAGATTTTTATGTAGATATTTTGTACTTTCTAGATATATTTCACTTCTGTAACTGGCGCCATTTGTAATTTCTTATGTTTCATTCATTTCGTACATTCCTTATATTTCATACATTACACATACACAACTTTTTCAGCATATTCAGGGCTCACCATGATGAACACACTATCACGCCAATATCAGAAGGAAAATGTTTTTCGTTTGCTCATTTTAACGTTCTCGTTTACAGGGTTTGACTCTTTTTCTGAATTCATATGTGCTTCCAACTATTCTGTGGTTGGTCTTTCAGAAACATGGTTAGACCTATTTGTCGATGCTGACACTTTTAAGCTGCCAGGCTACAATTTGGTAAGAAAGGATCGTGGTACTAGGGGTGGCGTTTTAACATTGTTTATCATTTTCTTTAGTTAACTCATCAATCTCACCCGACTTGGAACAGTCAATAACTTTTTCAACGAGCTTGAAAATGCTATTACCTTTGCCAAGTCAGAATTTGATGAAACACTTTTCGGTGGCGATCTTAATATTGACCTTAGTACAGCCAGTCATATAGCCATACAACTTGTTGAATTTTTAGATGAATATGAGCGGTCTCAGATTATAGATTCATGCACTCGTCCAACCAGTGCTAGTATACTAGATAAGTTATTACTTCAAACATTAACATTGTTGCATCTCATTTTGTTATTAACATGGATGACATTTCCTATCATTCCTTAGTTGAATGTAATACGATTTTCGTTGCTGATAGGTTCGTGCCCATTTTTAGAACATACCGGGACTTTTCTAAATTTCATTACAATGATTTTGTTAATGCCCTACCGCAGATAAACTGGCAAGCAATTCATCATATGCAAAATATTGATGACATTATTTCATTTTGGGATATTAATATCTCTAACGTCTTTGATTGGCATGCTCCGTATAAAACTACTAGAATCACTAAGAAACCAGCTCCATGGTGCCTTACAACTTAAAATTGATGTGAAGCTTAAGAAAAAAGCTTTTTTAACCTCTCAATACAGTCTGAAAAGAAAGCATTTTTGTAGTCAAAATCAAAATGATCTTCTAAGGAATTTTGGAATATTGATTATCTCAATATTAGAAACAGTCCCTCTGACATTAATGGTTTGCAGTACGACCCAGATGAACTTAACAACTTCTTCATTGATGGCGTTCCTTCCAGTGGTACCCAATCTAGCGTTGGTGTAAGCCAATATGTATCTGATCGTAATATAACAATACATTTTCGTTCCGTTTTGTGAGTGCTGAAGATATTGAGCGCGTATTAATCTCAATAAAATCTAATTCATCTGGCGATGACAAGATTGACCTCAAGATGATTCAACTAGTTTTTCATTATCTAAGTTACATAATTATTTATATTGTCAATTTTTGCCTTGCTAATAACACTTTCCCATCCAACTGGAAATATTCTAAAGTTATCCCTATCCCAAAGATTGGTAATCCAAAGAATTTTCTCATTTTCGCTATTCTACCTACCTTTTCGAAAATATTGGAAAAAATCATAGCTTTCCAACCAAAAACATTTATTACATCTAATAATATACTTCCTATCACACAATCGGGCTTTCGCTCTGGCCATAGTACTACAACTGGACTTGCAACCGTTACAGATGACTTATTCAGAGCATGTGACAATAAGATGTATAGTTGCTTGATTTTGCTCGATTTCAGTAAAGCTTTTGATACAATAGGTCGTTCAATCTTATGTTCGAAACTTAAATCTCTGGGACTAAGCAATATGTCTGTAGATTTAATAGCTACCTGTCAGGCAGATCCCAGTGCACATAATTTAATGGGCACGTATCTCAGTTTTGAAGTATTACCAGAGGTGTGCCACAGGGTAGTATTTTAGGACCTTTGATGTTTTCACTGTATACATACCTGTACGTCGAATTTGAAAAATCAGTTGGAATTTTGCAGTACACATCAATATACACAATTGTATTACTCTTTCAAACTTGATGTTGCTTATGTTGCCTGCATGTGTATCAATTCTGATCTTGAGTATTTATCTATATATGTAAGAGCCCACAGCCTTGTATTAAATGAAAATAAAACTGAATTGCTTATTTTTGGATCAAGACCGTGTGAGGTTACTGACAACCAGAATTTTAGAATCTGCATTAATAACACTGTATTACAAGCAAGCAACCAATTCTACTGAATTCAGGCTGAATCTATGCGATTCGTTGATATTGTCTTCCTTGTCGTATGCTGATATTGTATACTGGCCTGCTCTCACTACTAACAGACAAACGTTCTATTCAAAAAATTCAGAACTCTTGCATTAAATTTTCGTACGGTTTGAAAAAATATGACCACTTCAGTGACGAATTTCGAGCCTCTGGCTGGTTCAACATGCATGAGCGCTTTTTGATACATCTTGCTTGCTTAACTTACAATATTAACAAAATTCAGCTACAACTTTACCTCTATACCAAACTTGTTATGAGATCGGAGCTTCCTGATAGGGAAACTTGTTCTTGTAATCTCTATGAAGTTCCGTTCCATAGTACTGAACAGTTTAAAAAGTCATTTACTTATGTTGCATCTACAATATACAACTCATTGATAAGTAAAAGATTCGATCTTACTCAGCAGCTTTCGCAATAGAGTCAAATCCCATGTGAAAAGAGCACAATAGTTTTAGTTTTGTTGTATTAATTACATTCATCATTATTCTCCAATTGTTAGTATAGTGTTATTTACGGGGGTTGCATGGAAGAGAAACTATATTGAATGCCGCCTCGCTCATCAAACGAGTTTTTTTTCTTTGTTGTTCTTTTAATTAAAAAATAAAGACATTATTTTTATTATTATTTTCCCTATAACTTAATATTTTCAAATTACTCGTCGGTGTTTGGTAATGGTGGTTGCCATGGTGGTGGCGGCGTGGCTGATATAGTAGGGGCGAGCGTTAGCGAAGTTAGTCAGCAATGTTGCCAGACGGTCAATACTGTCATTAGGGCAGGGAAGAAAATTCTATGGACTAATTGTATGGGGCTGTTTGACGAACTTGACACGTTTAATTTTTATGTTATACTCCTTTATGAACTATTGAGAGATCCAAGCGCAGAGTGCACCTACTTGACACCATTTTTTTGGAAGTAGCTTTACAAATTTTAAGAAAATCAGTATTTTTGAAAAAGAATTATGCACTTATGGACGGATTGGTGGTGCATCCAACCACTTACCCTTACAACTATATACATACGTGTCAACCATGGTCTTGGTCATGGATTGTTGAGGCAGGTTATAGGAGTTCCTTTTCCGTCGTTGAGAAATTCTGAGAATACAAAATCCAAAGAATAACTACGATGGTCGTTCATGGGTCATCTTTCTTGAAAGGATGATGTTATGTTTAAGAATAAATTATTTTCTTTAAAAGGAAAATCTAGTTGGAGTTTTTTATTTCTACTAAATACTGCGAACCTATATGGTAACACTGCTCTGACGATGGAAATTGTATATGAATATAGCATGGACATCTTCTTGTAGAATACGTTGATAAAAAGTTTTAGTCTATCCTGGATTTGGATATGGGTTAGACTAGGCAATAGTTCCGATCCCGATAAGACATATTTTCAAAATTATGTTCTTTATTTGCATTATATAATTTAACGTTAGGTCTATTATTTTGAATCATATTCAGTCGCGCATCTTTAGGTAATTAACATTATGTAGTGCTTGGGTATGTATTTCTGCAGAGGTTTGATATTTGTTTAGATTTCTGTGCACGTATCATATGACTTCGAAAATATAAATTGATGCAAGTGATATTGTTTCTAAATTTTTGAAGCTTTTGTAAAATGAAAATTTGCACCTCAAGCTCAAATAAATTTTTATTCATGAAAAAAAATATAAGACACTCACACATAGATGGCATACATAGTCATGATTTTTCAGTTTTAAACACCCCCCTGCAAGTTTCATTGAAATTTAGTCCCTTTAGCAGACGTACTGCTCTTTTTTGAACCACAAATTTTTTTTGAATAAACCTATTGCGTCCCCAGAAAATAATCCCATACTTTAGAACACTTTCAAAATTAGCATGGTACAATATTTTCATACTCGTATTATTTAGTTATCTTGATATTACCCTAAAACCATAGTAAATGGAATTGAGCCTCTTCAGCAGTTCGAATACATGTGTTGTCGAATCTAAAAATTCATCAATAAGAATTTTACACTTTCACTCAACTGCAGTTGATGATCATCTACCCATTACAAATAGGTAAAAGGTCAGAGGTGGTGCCCTCAGTGCTTACATTCTGCTTCCTATTTGACAAAAATTGGAACAAAATAGAGCTAGCTTGGTATTTTTTATGCTATGGTCTTGATTTTTTCCAATAGTATACAGGATGTGAATTGACACAATCAAATACTTTCGTTAAGTCACACATGGAAGCTATATTATTAGAGTTATCTTCTACATTATCCAGTACCTCCTCTAACAAGATGAGAAGTGCTTTTATTGTGGTATATTTTTAGAAATCCAAATTGTACTACAAATGGGATAGATTTACCTTCTCAGTAGCTTGCTAATTTCTTGATACTTACTAATCCCACAACAGCCTATTTCAACTTGAGTTTAGCATCAAAACATAATTTGAACATAAAACTCCAGGATTCCCGGTTCCTTTGACAACTAAACGAATTTCCGGTTCTCCATTTCCTAGTTTAGACAAAACCTAAAAAAATGACAACTTACCCTCTTCTGCACCGTCTGTCCACACTGGAGGCACTTTTTCAACCTACTGGAGCAATCCTCGCACGCCGGCCTATGACCGCATGGTTCCAACTTGACATTCTCCTCTGACAGATCCGAACACACTCTGCATTCAACAGGTCTGTTCGACGCACAGTCCAACTGGTTATCGCTGTTTGACGGTTTGTGATTGGGCGAATTCTCCGCTGAGTTTGTGCGAATGTTGAAGCCTCGACTGCGGTGTTGTCGAGGTTGTCGACGGGCGCTCTCTGTCAAATCCACTGCTTCGATGCCGTAGGTCTCCTGGGAAGTGGATTGAGTGGGAGGGTTATCGGGGTTCGTAGGTTTGTAGTTGGTTAACAGGTCCTGAAAAGAGATAAAAATACTATAAATAAAGGTACGGGTCGATCTGTATACTATATATTACCATGTGACACGTGACTTTATTAAGCATATTACTCACAATTGACTATTATGAGCCCAAGACGAGTCAATATTGAAAAGAAATAAAGGAACCAGTGCGAGGTATTTTTCATTTGAAAGGTGCATGTACACCATAATGTGTGGAACAACGTCAACACGTCAACCGCGATAGTTTCACCGAAATAGTTAACGAGAGTTTAAACCAATTATACGTGATGGATGACTTCTTCGATCTAAATAAAACCTTTGATTGTGTGCATGATGTACAAAGCTTCCGTTTTATTCTATAGCACCATCCAGCGTGAAGCTCCTCAAGTCTTATCTGTATGTAAGTCACCAATTTATGGAATAAAAAATCGCAGATCTACTGTCACGACAATTTTGTATGGGGTTCCTCAAGGATCTGTACTTGGACCATTGTTATTCTTGTTATACATCAATCACGGTACTAGTAGCTATTTATCTGATATGTAATCTGAGAAATTCAGTGTCGCAGAAACCACTGCTCACCAGTTATCATGCATACTTCCACAGTAGAATGACTTATACCACTCTGGAATGGGGTCATTATCCACACATGCCTAGAGTTTTTGGTCTATAGAAAAGATGTATTAGATACATGTCAAATTTGAGGTACAGGGATCCTTGCAGGAATGAATTCAATTAATTGAATACCATGATGTTACCATGTGTATACATGTATGCTTCCCACACACAATTATGCAACTCATCAAGATATACATAATTACAATACCAGAAACAAAGATAATTTGTGTCCAAATCGTCATCGCCTTTCCAAAACTAGAAATGGTGTTAACTACCACGGGTTAAAATTCTATAGCCTATTCCCAAATAAAATAAAATCTCTCGATGTTGATCAATTTGAAAAAACTATGAAATGCTTCCTACTATCTGAAGCTTTTTTGACGTCGAAGACTTCCTGACCTTTAGCCTGACATAATTTTTATGATAATTAGTCTCCTGTATAATCTTTTAACCATTTATTGTTTATCTGAATTTTAACATTGGTTTTATTAACTTTTTTACTTTTAATTGCAGCTTTGCGTTTCATGTTTGTTGTTTTTACTTACTCTATAATGTTCTACTTTAGCTGACTTGCATAAACACATATCTGTGTAATATGACCAATAATTTTTTATTATTACACATCGTTCAAATTTCAGCTATGGCTTCACACCATGGCAAGGGTCCAAGGGGTCTATGTGTTAATAAGTTTGCCTATGGATTCGGCAAAATTTGAGCAATAGCTTCTGTTATAATAAGCTTTAGGGCATATTAACTTGGCACGTATGACTCTTCAAGAGAGAGATCGTCAAATTCGCGCGCTACTATTGACCCGCTTGCAGGATCGCAACAATAGGGTTTTCTAATGCAAGTTTTCAGATTCTTTCTGATTGAGCTATAATTGGTAAGGCTTAGAATATGGTCATTAACAAGTATTTCTGACTCACTGACACTGCACTGAAGAATCCTATAAACAAGTTTGAATGTAGTATTTCAGGTGTTTCTACTCACCACCAACTCCTGCTTTTGCAACAAATGAAACACAGTCTGTCCCTTGTTATTAACAACATCCATCTCCACGCCCATCTGCACCAAGTAACATGCCACAGCTGTTGCTAGCCTGTCTTCCTGAATGTTCTCCAGTCGCTCATAGATGGCATGGATTGCGGGGCTGTGTTCCGCAATGCACGTGCCTGACAGACGACCGCGTTTCAGTAAGATAATGTGCAACGCGGTGTTGTTGTCTTCGTCCTTGGCGGTGATATCGGAGTGGAAACGTAGGAGAAGTTCGATCACGGCACAATGTCCTGGAGCAAAAATCATGTTGTCAACATCGATCCTTTAACGACCTCTGGGCTTTATCCAGAGGGCGTTAAAAATTACAGTACAGTGAAACCTGCACAACTAAATACGATTTTCCAAGCAGGCAGGCTTGAGATGGCATTTATCTTAATTACAGAGGGTCCCGCTAGGACATCAAAATGCACCGCTTTTCATTCATAGAGTTGGAAAGATATCTAAAGTTGATAAAATGTCTTACGGCAGGGGTTTTTGAGCTACGGAGTCCTAATAATAGAGATATCATCGAAAAAATGAATCAAATCTCAATTAAAAAAGTTGGATCTATTTAAATGCAAACGGGTCTGGACATTGAAAATGTTTCTGTTCTCACATATCCAGTGCCCACTTCACAAGATTTCACTGTAATGTACAAGGTATATTTTCAATGAGCTAACAAATCAAGTTTAAGTACTGATAGGTATTAAGACAGAAAAAGCTGAACTAGCCTGAAAAGATAGACAGTCTTGCGCTGTAATTGGCTTCCATATACAATTTTATTCGTCATAGTCATGTTGGGAAGTAGCATCTCAGTAATTCCATCAGAAGCAATAAAAACAGTTTCTATTTTATTTCTACAGAGAATTGCTTATCCGTTAATAAAACATCAACCTTTCGAGGAAATATCGCATTTGCATCCCTATTCGTAATTATTCTAGCCCCTTAATTCAATACTTGAAGGTCTCGAATCCAACGAAAGAGATCAAGTGACAGAGAGCATGAAAAATCATTATTGCACCTATTTGACCACTATGAAAACCTGGCACAGCCAGTTTTAGATATTAGTAACAAAAAAGCTACATTATGTATTGTTTGACTGTAAGTAACGACGTTTGAATGTCCAGAGGTTGAAGTACCGGCACTAGGCTACAAATGTTCGATAAAAGAAAGCTTAAGATGCATCTCTGCCTTATATTGAATATTTTTGCAGCCACAATATGTTATTATAGAAACCAAATCGATTATTGAAAATGCAAGCAGTGAAGTCATTTTTGGTATACCTTGGCTAACAGCCAAGAGCAGTGCCGTTTGGTTCCTATTATTCCTTCTATCTAGTTCCACATGTCCAATGGTGATAAGTGTGTCCACCACGTCTCTGTGTCCATTGAGGGCAGCCAAATGTAGACAGGAGAACCCGTCATCCTTCCTAACTTCTACAAGTTGTCGAGCCATAGCTAAGAGTTTCTTCAGAGATTCATTTTTTCCTTTCAAAGCTGCGTGATGTAGGACGTTGAAACCTCGGTTGTTGCGAATCGTGAAATCTATGCCTGAAAATCAAAACAGGAAATTGATCATAGACAGAGATTCAAGTTCAAAATTGACGACGTTTAAAATACTAAGGATATGTAAAAATCATCTTCATATGATCACAAACTGTGACAATCACATTTCCATAGTATTGTCCACCATGAGACATTAGTTTAAGACAAATGATACCAACTGCAAAGGAAGCAAATAAAACTAGGTAAGAAAATCGACTTCTCTTTAAAGTTCGTACGAAAATGACCTAGTATCTACCAAGATAGTTAGGGAAATGGCGGTTCTTCAGATTGTCATTCTTGAAGTTACCAGTCCTCAAACATCAGTACCTTCATCGCTGGCGATTATAGTGAGTGAGTAACATAAAAAGCAAAAATATATCTCAATGACATTCTTATTACTTACCTCTAGCCTTGCAGAGCATCTCTACCACCTCTATATTATCCTTCCCAATAGCATCATGTAAAGGTGTGTCTCCATAAGAATCCTGCTTATTAGGATCGGCCCCAGCATCGATAAGGATGCGCGCGCAATCTGCAGGTTTTTTGTGAGCTGCGATATGCAAAGGAGTGCATCCGCTTCGATTTTGGAGGTTCAGTTCGACGCCTGATTGAAGGCAGAATAACTCCATGATCTGAAAAAAAAGAACTCTAAAATCATGAACGAAGTTAATAAGACAACGTAACTGTACAATTCAAATTACGTACATCGAGAAATTCGGAAAATCTTGAAGTTAAAATAAAATGCTCGGTGGATTATAGAAACCTTAAAACCTGATAATCTGCATCTTGAGAGATAACTGTGATTTGTAATTCTTCAATGTTATAAAAATATTTAAAAACTGATCATGTGAATCTTGGATGTCATCAAATCTTTATCATAAAACTTGATAAAAATGCATTGTCTCGTTTTTAAAATACTCAGCTCGATGGTTGACAAATCCGTGATTTCCTTCTTATTGTTATTTTTTCATATTATTTCATCTCATAGTTAAATTGATAAAAACTGACTGTATGAAACAAACAGAATCACAACGTTAGTACAGAACCTTACGTTAAGTCAATTATAAATAGTTTTTGAAATATTTAACCAGCTGATAAAACCAAAGTTTCCGTGGTATTCGGGCGATCGGTATAGAAACTGAGTGCGGTCCACGTACAGTCCGATTCCGTTGCTATGAGGTGTCTGGTATGAGTTGGTATGGTCTGCGGTTGGAAAAAAATGTATCTCCAATTGCCGAATAAGATATTTGTTTGCAAAAATGTTTTTTGTTTGTTTGTTTAAGATTTATTTAGCTTCAATGCTACAATGTCAATTTTGTATAGTTATTCGTTTCCACATTTTTTTAATCAATGTTTTGTAATATTACATTCTTGTCTATTCAAATTATATCACTATGTTTTTGAGTATTCATAAAATATTTTTTTTAATTTCACCTTAAATATTTTGAAATTTGTACAATGAATTTACTAAAGTCAAATACTCCCTTTTAAAATACAGATTTGCTATAGCTGTAGTCACAGTTCTTGGCGGGTAAGACTACCAGTATCCCTTTATATATCTCCATCTCCCTCATACATATACATGCAACCCACCCCTGTGTGTGAACGTTTGTTCGGTAGGCTCAAAGACGTTTTTTAGTTGTGTATCTCCGTCTCGAAAACTTTGTCGTTAAGTATGAGTGCTCTTCAATCATATTTGTCATAATGACACTTTTGTCAATTTTAATTTCAAAATAATGTCTGGTTTTCTAGCTTTGTCAATTTCGAATAAGTCAGTTGATTATTAAAAAACATTGATTATATAATTTGATTTGTTTCATTAAGTTCCGTCAGAAGTTATAAATTATTTGCGAAGTTTTATTATTCATGCGGGATCCAGCACATACCTGGGATCGAAAATGTCCAGTTCCGCAAATACCGGGATTGAGAATCTCCTGCGGGATTGCATTCCCTAATCCAGATACTTGAATGACTCGACTACTTCTATTTTTTCATCATTAATCATGAGCTTAATTATATTATCACCTGAGTGTTTCCCTATGGACATACATTTTGTTTTATTATTCATGTTTATTAACATGTAACCAATTCAAAATTTTCACTAGTTAACAGTTCTAAAGCAGTGTCCAAATGTTTTTGTGCTATATATACATCAATGTGTCGTCCGCAAATATTTGAATTTTGCAGTGGTTTAAAATATCAGAGATATCATTTATACCATATATATATATATATATATATATATATATATATATATATATATATAACTTGAGACGTGGTCATTGTCGTCTAGACCAGTTAGGTGAAAAATTGAAATTAAAGCTTCCGCCTTTTGTTGGGTACTTCGACAAAATTTAAGCAAAAGTGTAAAATGAATTTAAATTGACTCAACTTACAGTAGTATGTGAGGATGTTGCTAATTGTTGTTTACGTATAGGATGAGGGAAACGTCCAGTAACATGGTGAGAGCTGGATAGATGGCACAATGGTCAAAATTATATAAAATATGACAAGAACAAGTTAAAAACAGATTAAAAATTATTTAAAAAACATTAGAGCATTACATCGTGAAACCACTTGATGATTGCACAAAATGGTGGTCATGGAATAATGAGTGAGATGAACCCTTTGACAGAAGGCCGAAGGTTGTCAATGTCTTCATAAAAAATACGTAGATGACATTATTTTATGCCTCCCCTCCATAGGTCTGGATGGTATTGTCAGAGAATTCAACAGCTATGACCCCTACATCCAATTTATCATTGAAAAAGAAGATGAGAACCTGTCTGTCCCCTTTCTAGACACAAGACTCATCCGCAACAACAACAACAGTTTATTGGTAGACTGGTACCAGAAACCTATGGCTTCAGGTCGGTTTCTCAATTTTAGGTCATACCATAAGCTAGGGATTAAAATCAATTTGGTAAAACAGATGAAAACAAGGGTAATCAGCATCTCAGATAATACCTTCCACACCTCAAATTTACGTAAACTATCAAAACTGTTCATCAATTGCAACAACTGCAACCAAATATACATAGGTCAGACCTCCAGATCTCTTAAAGGAAGGATTACATCACACAAAAGTGATGCTAGGCTTCATCCTGAAAGATGCGCTCTAGCATCTCATGTTAACACAACAGGGCATTCTATGAATTACACAAGTATCAAAGTTCTTGATAAAGAAAAACACCTTTCCAAACGTTTATTCCTGGAAATGTCCCACATTTTCATGAATAACAACTGTATCAACAAAAAGACAGATGTTAAACAATTGAGTGTCATTTACTCATATTTGCTAAACTGCGAAAAATTGGAGAACTTACATATCTCCCCAAATTTCGACTCTTCACAACCATAAATACAATCTGTGTTTTTGGCCGATTCCACCAGTAAATTTCATTCCACTCAAAATATAATATGTAATTCTCTTCTCACGATTTATTAATAATTGTTAATTTAAATTCCCATTAATTAAAATATAGTTTATTCAATTGCCTCTGGTCGGTTTAACAATTTCTTACATAACATTCTGAAAATCACATCATCTGAAGTGATTTGGCAACGTTTGGCACACGCCATCTCACTCATTATTCCATGACCATTTTGTGCAATCATCAAGTGGCTTCACGATGTAATGCTCTAATGTTTTTTAAATAATTTTTAATCTGTTTTTAACTTGTTCTTGTCATATTTTATATAATTTTGACCATTGTACCATCTATCCAGCTCTCACCATGTTACTGGACGTTTCCCTCATCCTATACGTAAACAACAATTAGCAACATCCTCACATACTAAGTTGAGTCAATTTAAATTCATTTTACACTTTTGTTGCTACTGTTATCATTGTAATTGCAGCAGATGATGATGGCAAAGTCCATTGAAAGCTAGAGAGAATTAAAAAAGTATAGAGTCCTTTTTGCTTAAATTTTGTCGAAGTACCCAACAAAAGGCGGAAGCTTTAATTTTTCACCTATATATATATATATATATATATATATATATATATATATATATATATATATATATATATATATATAATGATTAATAACGACCCTCTCCTGTGGCATCCCTACTGATATATTTTGAAGACTTGACATAATATTTCCAATGTTAGTTTTTTGATTTCTATTTACTAAATAATTTTGTAAAATGTTGAATACTGATCCCGTAAAACCATATTGATGTAATTTCATTAAACATTTTTTTCCTATCTATAGTCTCAAATGCCCTTTTGAAGTCTAAAAATACTGTTACAATACATTCTTTCTTATCTAAACTTTTACTTCTACTCTACATCTATAGCTCAGAAAGACATTTTCTGTCCAGACATTTCAATTCTGAGATAAGTTTTCTTAGATTGTTGATGTTTATTGTCCTAAATTGATTCATTGATGAACTGTGATATATTTGTAATGAACATAAGTTGGGATCACCGTTATCAATCGTTTTCACTATTAGATTTATACTGGCTATAAAATAAGTGTTCAATCTTTCACTATAATTAATTTTTCTGTCACTACCCCATCTTCGAAACTTCTGAATTTCCACTTGGGCTTACCTCTGGCCTATTCCCAAATGTAGCATAATGGAAACATGTATCTCCATCGTTATCCCTCGCGTTGACATTGGCCCCTTTGTCCAACAGCAACCGCACTAGGTTGACATACCCCTGATGCGCCGCGACCTGCATGGCGGTTTTACCGCCTTGCCCTCTCGCGTCCACGTGGAGTTTATGGGCCTCCAAGTGCTGTTGGACGGCATGGAGTTCACCTTGGGTGGCCAAGCGGACTAGTTGATCGGCTACTGGGTTGAAGGGGATGGAACCGTGACGTGAGTCTTCTTGGACGGGAGACCATAACACTGGAAGGAAAAGAAAATCATCTCCAATTCCATCATGTGGATAAAATTCTTTCTTTATTTATTTTATCAACGGGTACAACGCTTGTTACAGATACAAAACTGTGCTGATTAGAAAGATTTACGAAAATGGTAAGCAGTCTAGGAAACGTTGAAAAACAGTTTGAGAAAACTTACGATGTGGATCTATTCTTTGGTTCTGCACAGCTTGCATAGTGTTTGCTAATTCGGCAGCACCTTCAGGTAGAAGTTTCACACACGCAGGATGCAACGTCCAAGCTAGATCATCCAACTGCACTCTCAAGTCACCATCAGAGTAGACTCTTAGCACCTTGCCTAGTTTTCCGATGGACTGAAATAAATAAATCACATAAAACAGCCACCAAAAACGTTAATAACTTAAACCACTGGATATACGATAACATCAATATATCAAGAAGCAAGTGATCAAAATCGTTTGAAAAGCATTTTTTCAACTTTACAGTATAAATAAAGGTAGACTAGTCGAAGACTCTTACATTGCTCATGAAGTCAATCCATCCTCCATGCTCTTTTTGCAGCTCCTTCAACATTTCCAAGTCCGTGATCATGGTGACGATATCTCCCACAGCGAAGCTAGTAACTTTTTTCAAAGCTGCTTGATTAAATGTCCATCTGTTGTTACATCCCTCGTATTGCACCCTTATGTCACCTTTGTCTGTTATTCTATGCACTGTCCCAACTTTGTCAATAAACTGAAACGGATTACGTCTTTACAGATAACTGAGGAGTAGAATGTCATAAATGAATTGATTAAAAAATGCTACTTAAAGATTTAAAGTACAGCTCCAATAGCTATGGTGTTTGTGTTGTCTATTCCTACTTCGACCATACATTAAAGAAAATGGATTATGTCTCTATAGATAATTGTGGAGTCGAGTATCGTAAATGAATTTAAAAAAAAAAACGATACTTTATTCTTAAAGCACTCAAAGTAGGATGAATTTGCCCAAGTGCTTGAGATGATTTTCTAGGGCAAACCTTTTTTACAAGAACAATGTGATAAAACACTTTAAATTCAACATTATAGCATACCTCAGCCATTCTTGGATTCCAGCCTCCATGTCCTTGCTGCATTCTTTTCAGCTCCTCTACAGTAACCATTACTTTTACTTTATCACCAAATACGAAAGGACAAGTACCTTGTCTGTAAGCTTTTGGAGGGTGTTCTTCAATAGCGTGTCCTGGAAAAAAATGTTACAGATAAAGCATTCTATTTGGAATGAGATGTATTTTTTCAAAGAACAAAGACTGACACAATCACTTACCCAAAACTGGAAGGTGTTCTGGATAATAAGAACCTCCCGAAGCGGGTTCGACAAACTTCAGATCCACTTCTCCTTTGTGTCCTAATCTATAAATATTGGTAGAACCACACATCCACTGTACACTCGCCACAGATCTACTGCATCCCACACTGTCCCAACCTCGAATATCTATGACGCGACCAACTTGCCCTAAAAAGATAAATCAACATTTTGATCTCATTCAATTTTTGGACGTCAGCAGAAACTCTTATCACAAAAACTACTCAAGAGGTATGTAACAATCTAAGTATTCAGCTTTGACTCTTTAATGAAATACGAATTCAAAAACCGATAATTTTACATACCTTCTCCACCATCTTGATCACCCCATTCCCAATTAAATCCTCGAACTACTTTAGCTCCAGCAAAAATTCCTTTGAGTTCACATTTTCTACCATTTGTGCGAGGAGGTAAGTCAATTCTGTAGGAAAGAATTTAGTAAAAAATGTGACACAAAATTTAAATTGATCTTTAATAAGCTCTGTCATTAAAATAAAGCCCACGGTGTAAAGATGTAAATATAAAGAATATGTGTTGTTTTTTTAAAAACTCAACAACTGACATTGATTAACGTAAACGAACGTAGCTAGATACTGAATTCCGGCGTCCAAAAGACTATAAAAGATTAAATGAACTATATGAGCATATACTTGCTACAGCGCCATCTATGAGACTAGCTATGACATATATGACGCCATGGTATCTCATTTCATCACAAATATTTTTTGCAGGAAGAAATGGCTGTCTATTTTCAGGTAGAATATCACTGAATATTGACCGACACGTCAATATTAGCGACGACATGTCGCGGTAGACTTTTGTCCCCATATGAAAAATTGCATCAAATTATCTTGATTTGACTGGCAGTAGTGATTTCTGATTTTGAAAAGGAGATATTAAACAAAATTCATAATTACCCGACTGAAGTTGCAGTGTCATATCTCCTAAAGGGGTGATGTAAGTTATGTTTGTCGCCATGATAACAGATGTAACATAGGTTGTAGTCAGTGCATAACAAACATTTGTATCGCATACCGCAAATGCCTTGACTCTCGCAACTGTTGCATATTATGTTTGATTTCTTCACGCCTGTAAAAAAATAAAATAAATGGATCAAGTCAGTCAAACAACGATGTGGTCTAGAAATTTATCTCCTGCCCTACCGATTGTACCATCTGGCATGGTTGCTATGACTAACCTCGACAGACTCGACTACGAATCACAGACATCCATCCGTCAAATGGCGACGCAAGTATATCCAGAGAAGCGCTTTGAAAATATTTCTCTATCATTCCTAATTTTAAGGGTAAACGTACGGGGAAATCTATGATGTGCGATATATGTCTAATAGTTGCGTAGAATTACCGTGATTGGAAGCATTTAAATATAAAGCCAAGAAAGTCCGATATACCCTTCCCAACTCCCTACAAACATTTTTCTGAAAATGATCAGGAGCTTCCGAAACATAAAAAATTGAATAATGAAGGATTTTATTCTTTTCGTTTGAGGCCCCTAGCTTCGCCATTCAAGGACCAATTTTTAAAAACTACAAAGTGATTTCGCCCTTTCGTCCTTTGCATAGTAGTAACACCCGAAAAACAACAATTCTATATTACAATACTTCCTTGCCAGCGGCGACATCGTTGATACTATGTATGACTCAATAAACATGGATTCCAAGATATGTAACTTCATTATCAGACTCATCTGGCAAATCCAGTTTTTGTGATCCCCCGCTTACGTTTACGAATTTAGTCTATATTTATACAGGTGTTTCACTTTATTGTTGCATAAGATCAGATTCGATAGAACTTTTAAAATTAATGCATAAAGTCTATATAAACATTGGTCGAAAAATGCGTGGCTTCCGAAATACAGGGTGTTTAAATATTTGATGTATAACAGTGAAAATTGGTATGCAAGGGTTTTTTGGTACGACAAAACGAACCATGGGCATAGTTTTACTGTAGCCGCTAGAGGGCGCTCTCTACTGTACCTGTAGTGTATTAAAATGACAGAAAATTTTTTCTTAGTGCAATTTTTTGCTATTTGAATAAAAAAACTGATTCTTAGCACTTTTCAACATAAAAAAGCTCTCCTGTGAGTTTTCGTTATAGTTAGCCGTTTTTGAGATATTTCGATTTTTAAGGTTCGATGCATTTTTAATTATTTATGGGAAAATAATATTTTTTTTACATTTTCGATTTGAGCATTATAAGTAATTAAGATGATCGTTTAGATTGTGTTTTTAAACACAGCAATAATTCCTAAATCCAAATAAACACAAAAAAACAGAATATTAATTTGTTGTTCCAATATTATTTTTAACAAATTAAATTAATTATTTACCACTAAAATGCTATTGGATAGTTAGGAAAAACATACAAAATCTAAAGTAGTTGCTCGAAATGTAAACCCAATTGTTCAATACGAATGATCGAACGTGGTATAGCATTATTCAAATAAGGCCTTATTTCATCACATGCATTCCTGATTCTGTCTATTAGCATATCTCTTGTGGTTACGGGAGTCTGGTACACTTTTTCTTTTAGAAATCCCCACACAAAGAAATCTAATGGATTTAGGTCAGGGGATCGTGGAGGCCAGGCGACTGGTCCTCCACGGCCGATCCATCTTTCTGGATAATTTTCGTCCAGCCAGTTTCTAACTATTCTCGAATAATGAGCTGGACAGCCATCAAGCTGGAACCAGGCCAATCTTCTTAAATCTAACAACATCATCCCACATATTTGCATGTTCAGCCTTTAAAAATTCCAAGAAGGTCGCAGCATTTAACCTTGCAGGCAAAAGGTAGGGTCCAAATAGTCGATTACGGTAGATACCAATCCACACGTTCACACTAAATTCATGCTGAAAATTTCATTCCCGAACTGCATGTGGATTTTCATGGGACCAAATATGTTGATTATGAAAATTTACCACTCCACGTCTAGTGAAGCATGACTCATCGGTCCATAAAACGTTACTTAAAAGCTCCCTATTATTATCAGTTCTATCAAGAATCCACTGACAAAATGTGATTCTTCGTTCTCCGTCCGCTGGCTGTAGTCCTTGCACAGGTTGCAAATGGTAAGGACGTCTATGGTTATTTCTAAGAACACGGTGAACATGGCTTGCTGAAATTCCCAAGGTACCAGAAAGTCTCCTAACACTTGTGGTCGGATCTCTATCAAACTCGCGCAGAATTATACGTCTAAATCTGCGCTGACGAACATTTATGTTTTGATCCCTTTGGAGATTTCCAAAACCATTTTCAATTATTTGGCGATGCACTCTTACAAATACTGAGCGAGTTGGATGTCGTCTGTTTGGAAATCTTCGTGCGTATTCTCTGGCTGCTTCTGCTGCGTTTCCATTTACAAAGCCATACACAAAATGAATATCCGCTAACTCTTGATTGGAGAATAAAAATGGCATTTTTATAAAACTTACAAAAAAAAAAACAGGTAAAAGAAACTAAATTTCGTGCATTCACAATTGCAAAAAAACGTTTCAGGTTTCAACAGACAACAAAACTAACTGTCAACTAATTGACGTTTAACCTTATTCTGCTTTCAATTTCAAAAATATTTGCAGGCACAGCCTACTTCTAAAAATTATCGAGACTGACTTTTTAACGTTATTTTATCATAAATAATTAAAAATGCATCGAACCTTAAAAATCGAAATATCTCAAAAACGGCTATTTATAATGAAAATTCACAAGAGAGCTTTTTTTATGTTGAAAAGTGCGAAGAATCAATTTTTTTATTCAAAAAGCAAAAAATTGCACTAATAAAAAACTATTTTAGAAAGTAAATTTAAACACCCTGTATTTCGGAAGCCACGCATTTTTCGACCCATGTTTATATAGACTTTATGCATTAATTTTAAAAGTTCTACCGAAACTTAAAGTTATGCAACAATAAACTGAAACACCCTGTATCTGAATAAAAACTTAAAATGTTTAATCCTTGTGGAAGCTCGTTAATGTTCCGAGTAATTAACGATAGTGTCGACTAATTAGAAGTTTGATGTTTCCATGATAATTATTGTAGCCACAATTAATTACAACGAACATGATTATTCATCAATTGGGATTTGTGAATATAAATTGCACTATTATCGTTTGACAACAAATTTGTTACAAGGAACTGGAACCCGTACAACCGAAAATTTAAATTGATTTCACAGATTTTGATATAAGTACTGAAAATGAGGTTCTGCATACTTTTAAACTTCATGGCCATTTAAACATTAGTACAGAGACTTAAAATAAGAGGAAACTTAGAAATGCACAATATTATTTTTGAATTTGCGAAACATTCTTTCAAACAAAACATCTGAGGTACGATTAGCAATAATCAGGATTCTAAAAATTTACAAATGGGGATACATCATAGTATATATAAAATATCATATTTTCTCTAAATTATCTAGTCACCCAAACAGATTTAAATATAATAATATTTTTGTGAACCGGTAATATAACGCGCTTTAAATTTCAAAAACCGGGGTTGAATCTACAGGGATTGAGATAAGTACGCCAATGAAATGACAAGCTGACGAAAATGGATGGAAATATGGGTTTTCGCGACGAGAATATTATGTATTATGTAATGTCTCATATTGGAAAATTTCCACGACCGCGACATTGCACACAAGCGCGGGAAATAAAATATGTAAGAGTAAAAGCGTAAAAAACATGTGATGCAGACAATGCTGATATGTTAGAATAAATCCGTAATCGTAATCGAAAACTGCTACATAAAATGCATCTTACATACAAAAGAGTTGCAACGAATTATTTATTATTAATTTGTGTACGTCTGGTCTTGCCAGAGAATTTAATTCTTTTAATTTTTCCTTGAAATTATTCCCAAAGCGAGACCGTTATATAGTCAGGTAAATTTACGTTAAAGTTTTGACACAAATCATTTAGAAATCAGAAGGACTCCAACTCAAAATCCATAGACATTTCTTGTATGCAAAGTCATTTTACATCAAGAATCAGATACTCACTTTTAAACTATTTGAATGTTCAATACCAGTGCACCACACTCAACTACAAACTATATCGATACAAACCAACCACTTGTGTCACAAAAAACAACTTTCGAACAATTATTAATATAGTTGAGTTATTCCTCTACTTGTTAATCAGGTCTGATGGAAGATTAATAAATAATAATGAATGTTGTTATTGATCGATAAAGACATAAGATTTCCAATCATGTTCAAAAATTAAAGGCAAAAAAAATCGAAAGAACTGGTTATAAAACGATTATATATAAATGATACATCAGCATCCATGGAAAAGACAAATTGTTTTTCTTGAATATTAGATACCGCAAAAATTTCCAAAATGTAAAAATTTATCAATGTAAAAATATTCTCAGCTGACATAAAAGCGACAAACTAAACTTCCAAATCCATATCCATTCCTCAGAAATTTCCATTCACTACCAACAATCAGGTAATCACTTTTAAACTATTGGTTAATTTATTAATTCATGGATAATGACGTACGATTTCCAATCATGTCCAAAAATAAAAAAACTGGTTTCAAAATGATTACATATCAAGGACACTTTAACATCCATGAAAAAAAGACAAATTGTTTTTATCCAACATAAGATACTGCAAAAATTAATATATCTATATTTCCAAAATGCAAAAATTCGCCAACTTAAAAATATTCTCGGCCAGTATAAAACGATAAACCTAAACCAACCTTCCAAATCCATTCCTAAGAAATTTCAATTCACTATCAACCATCAGATAATTACTATAAAACTATTGGCAAGTTCAATGCCACTGCATCACATTAAACAACAACAAAACAATTTCAACCGCTTGTGTCAGGACATCTGACGTGAGAATGCAACCCAGAACATTACTATCATCTGTCGCGTCATTCGCAAACGTGCTGGGTTTTTACGGAAACCACCCGGCGGCGGCCTAGATATTTGGGAAAACCTATAAACTCTTGTATCTGCTTGCGATATTATGGTAATGGCCTTAAGATAGGATAAAGGTACCTACAAGGGAAAGTACGATTAATTAGGTACTAACACATTTTTCACAGAGGTTCATTTATCATTCAAATGGATTAGTGCTAAGAACAAGCATCCTTTATTTACGAGGGAACTCCAGGCTTGAGGTGGTAGGTACCTCGATTATGTCCTGTTCTGTAAGATTTTTGAAATAAATTCTAACATACTTTTAATTTTGACGGTGATCGCAAAAAACGGCTACATAATGAAAATCCACGTCTTTCATTTACGCCAGTCGGCATTTTTCTATCTGCGTAATATCAGAAGCGGCTATACCGACTTTTATGAAATTTGGATAGGGTGGGTTTGTGCGGTCCTGACACTCAAAAACAATTTCTTCAGCGAAGATTTTTAATGCGTGCGTACATATGGAAAATTCGAAATTAAGAAAGTGTATAAAGTACTTCGTCAATATACTTAGTATTATTTTTGTTATAGAAGCATTAAATTATACTAATTTTGTACTTGCAAATTTGAAGGAAAGTCAATTAAGACACATTTTGACAAAAATTAGTGTAAAAAATGTTAACTTTCTAATATGATTTTTCGCGGTATTTCTATCGGATTGTCAAATTATTTCTGTTAAAGTTTATTACAGGGTTGAAAAAAAAAACATGCATTTTTTTATTTGATACAAAACACATGCTTATTGTGTTGAACCATTTTTTTTTGTTTTAAACGGTCTTTTTTGTTTTTAAATTCCATGTTTTAATAATCTTAATTGAAACACACTATTTAATATTGAAACTAAATATTTTAATAATTACAATAAGGTCCGTAAGCTGGGAATCTTAAGATCAATCTGTCGCATGTTCCAGATTTTCGAGAATTGGATTTTCCAACCACTAATAAGGATCTTCTGACAGCATAAACGTTCCTTGATAAACATCTGTTTCAAGTATGTTGGTGTTTACGGTTATTTGCCGTATTTTCCAATGAAGAAACGTGGGAACTAAACCCTTCATCTAATTCGGAATCTTTGGGTTTACCCATGAATCCTGTTACCTGATAATTAAGTAAAATTGTCTGAATAATGCTCTATAATCACAGCATATTATTATATCATGCCTAAGCACTCATTAATTTAAAAATAATATACGGGGCTTTCCAAAAAGCCCTACTTTTTTTAAACGGGTCAAGTTAAAAAGCTGAAATTTGGGCTAATGGAATTGTTGCATGTATACTATGTGTTAACATAAAATGGACAGTTAAAGATTTCAAGATGGCGGCTGGGCACCATTTTGGAACATTTTTTAAATGACATCAGTGATCGTGTGACACCTGTGTTGACGTTCCTTTAAAACCCCAGAATATAAAATCACCATCTTTCAAAATGGAGATCTGGCAGGCTGTCGGAGTTGAGCATTTTTGTACACTGAGCCGCTTATAACTCATTACCCAATCAAGATGATACATCAATGTGTTTCTCTTGAAACTCTAACCAAATATGTAATACAGGGCCCATCCATGTGTGGACGGAATACAGGGTGCGCCATCTTTTATATCGGTATGTAAACATCAAATAACTTTGAAAACGTAAAACTGATTTATATATATATATATATATATATATATATATATATATCGGGTATTTTTATAAAATATGGTCCTTTACAATTTATTGGGACCAGTTTTTGAACACAACATCTATCAAGTGGCAAACCTTTATTGGCCAAAACAAAATGTGACCGTTTTGCTGCGATTTTCATTTTTTTCGAGCATCTCTGGTGGTATAGCGGCGATTGCGGTACGAATGTTTGCCTTGAGTTCTTCAGTGGTCTGGGGCTTGCTGGCGTACACTTGACTTGATGAACTGTATGTTGACGATCTCCCACTGTCCCATATTCAAGAAAATTCGAAACCAAACGACGGATAGTGTTGTCAGACGGTGCCTGTTTGCCACGATATTTTCGACGATATGCATGTTGCGTTAACACAACTGAACGACGATTTTCAATGTATATTGTGATTATTTCGGCGCGTTGTTTCGGTGTAAAGCGATTCATGACTAAAATTGTAGAAAATTAACGTTTCAGAAACACGTATAACCAAATCACTCTTTGGTAAATATCAAAGTCATTCGATGTTTCAATACCGACATAAAACATGGCGCACCCGGTATTACTCATAAACAAATATATTTTGGGAAAATCTATTTATAGGCGGCTACAGACACACGCTTATGACTTAATACATAAACGCGCACTGAATAACGTCAGATGTGTATGCAGATATCGGCAGCGTTCATAATTGGCGTGGCGGGCAAATTTCAGTTCTCGACAGAAATCTTAAATGCACGTGCAGAGATGCGCATGCAAGACTCAACGTGTAGAGGCAAAAGTACGTGCGAATTCCGCAGACAATCAGAGGTCAGTGCCGTTGATCAACGAAGTACGAATTATCTTCGAGTAAATAATTTTTATTGATTGTAGAGATATCTGACATCAGAACAGTGACTCAAGACTTCACCAGAAAATTCATTGAATTGTAAGGGGCACATTCTTGTCTCTGGCAAATGAAAGCAAAAGAATATCTGGATAAAAATCAAAAAAATGCAGCATACACATTGTTAATGGAAAAGTTACAAAGTATTCAACTTAATGCTACAAAATAATCAGTCATAACAAAAATTAATACTCTGCGTGGTGGTTTCCGATGAGAATATAAAAAAGTACAAAACTCGAAAAGAAGTGGATCTGCGTTGGAAGATGTATATGTACCAGCCCTATGGTATTATGAAATACTGCTATTTCTTAAATATCTGGAGATACCAAGACAGTCTGTTTCAAATATTGAAAGAAGAAGTGCATGACGACGTGGAAGAGACGCAAATAGATGAAGAGGAGAGAGGTAGGTCAATAAATAAATAAAGTATATTTTTAATATTTATTTTACTGATATGTATAAAGTAGGTGGTGTACAATCTTCCAAATTGTAGCAGCTAACTTTAATTTTTAAGTGATAATTCAGAAAACTACTTGTTAACCTGACGACAAACGCAAACATTTTGATTGTTATGACTGCACCATTAATTACTATTGTATCATTCGTTCTTTGACGCACATGACTTGCTTCGCTACTGAAGTTTGTAAGACTGACTGCATTTGCGACTTAAGAAATTATGCAGGACGCAGCAAGCCATTACGACCTTGTCTATCGATTCTACCTGTAGACCGATAGCTGTCTGAAGTACTTGAAATCTTGCTGATAGTATGCCAAATGAATTTTCAATTTTGCATCGTGCTCTTGATAATCGGTAATTATAAATTTTTCGATCATGATTCAGGTGATGTTGACTGTAAGGTCTTAAGAAATCACTACGTAATGCAAATGGTAGCTCTCTGTTACTGTTTTGTGGGCATGTTGCAGGTGGCAGCTTTAATGTTTTATTTTTTAATTTTGTGTAGAAATGAGTGCATGCTATGACTCCTCGATCCAATATTCGACCATCGGACCAAAATTACAAATTATAAATTCATAATTTGCATTACATATAACCATGAGAACTAAACTGTTATAACCCTTGTAATTATAATAAAATGCTCCGCTGCTCGGTGGTGGTTTGATTTGAACATGCTTGCCATCTGCGGCTCCTACACAATTAGGAAAGTTGCATACTTCCTCAAAGCCCCCAGAGATTCTTTTCCATTCTGTTTCTATTGTAGGAAACTGTAAAAAATATATATCAATTAATAAAATGTATAAATATGTAATATAATACGTGTGTATTATTTTCAGGCAGGTGATGACGAATCTGAACAAACTGAAATGGAGGCACATTTAGAACATAGTATGGCGAGCACGTCAAGACTTTCCACATCAGTACTATCCAGTCAATCATCACAACCTTTACCCCAAAGCACACCATCAAAATATTAATAAAGCAGATCACATATCAGACATGTCGGTACTCGATTCAATAATCCGGCAGACGAGTTCGACCTTATAGGAAAATCGATAGCAATTAAATTACGGCGATTTCCAAGAGAAATACGACTTTATTCAGAAAAATTAATAAACAATGTCCTATTTCAAGCGGAGCTAGGAAAAGTTAACGAACGTACAAGAATTACGTTCAAACCCAATCAACTCCAACCAACACCAATTAGTAATAGTAATACATTATTCCCTCCGCCACCAAACTGTGATCCCATCTGGACTCAGTCTACACCAACCAACGACAATTAATAATAGTAATACAGCTGCTGCGTATTACGGCTCTTATAATCGTTTACAATAATTAATAATATACTGTTATGAATGTGCTGTTATATTTTTCGTTATTTAATGAAAATATATTTTATGTTTTTCTTACCTTCATGTATTTTTGCTGTAGTACTTGGTATATGGCTGAGCACGTTTCAGGAATTATTTCGCTCAACGCTTGCGGAGATATTATCCTGGGATCTTAATTCGTGATAATTTCGTCCAGTCGCTAAATATCGAACGGTTGCGGTTAACCGTTCGTGTGCACTTATTGCAGATCTCATAACTGTGTCCTGACGTTTTATTAGCGAGTAACAATTTCTAACAATTCTACATAGGTATCCTCATCCATTCGCCAATCATCGGGTTCTCCTTTCAATTCGTCCAATAAGTTAATATGTGAAAATGACTGCCTTTTTAAAAGCCATTTCTTAGACCACAGGCGACGACTCTTTTCGACTTTTTGGCACTTTTTAAAACGAAATCGGACGCCACTGCCATAACAGCAAGCTCTCCATCGGACGACAAAACAACTTCTTTCGTTGCGCACATCGATTAAAAGTAGGCAGAAAAGTTTGAGCGTCTGTACATAAAGCAAGTTTGCGTCGATGCATGGACGTTAATGCACGCGCGTTCATGAATTCAGTCATGAACGTGTGTCTGTAGCCGCCTTATGGGATGTTATACGTGACATTTGAGGGCACATTTCTAAAATATTGGCCATTATACAGGGTGTCCCAATTTCGACCTACATATCAAAGTTGTCATTTTTCAATTGGAATGCCTCAAATTTTATTGCATATTTGGATAAACCAATTCAAAAGAAGAAAATTGATATAACATACTATGGGGTTTTGGAAATTAGCTACTAAGATATAAGGTGTTTTGTCTAGAAAACCTCCCAATTTGGCAACCCCTCAGTCCACTATTTTGAAATTTGGAGTGCTGAATTTTGTATCAAAAAAAAACTTGTACACCTCAATTTTTATCTTATTTGTTACTTTTTCGAATTTTAATTTTTGCTCATACAAGGTAGTCAAAAACGCAAATTGTAGTTTTATTCAAAAACTTCAAATGCAATTTTTTATAAAAAAAATGTTGATACTACACACATAAGGATTTTTACGGCTATTTTTTCGGTTATTATCACGTCTTTTATGGAACGGCTTAATTCCCTAAAATATTGCATCATCCTTGGAAACCAATAAATTGTTGACTAGTTACAAACTGTCAAAATTAGCTTTGTGAGCATTATAATAAATACGTGTTTGAAAATGAATTTTTATAAAGAAGAAATGGTGAATATGGCGTTCGTTTTGGGCGAAGCCCAAAGAAATAGTTTCCTAGCATCTCGTATTTATAAGCAACAATACCCTAATATGCGACATCCAAGGTCGGAAACATTTTCCACACTACAAGAACGTTTTGAATTCAGTGGAGAAGTGGAATATAGTCAAAAATGTATAAATAATCCAAGTGTCACCAATGAGGCGAATTAGTTGGAGGTTCTATTAAAGTTGCAGGAACATCCCCAAAGGATTATTCACAAGCATAGGTACCATCCAAATCACCTATGCCTACATCACGGCCTTCGTCCTCGGGATTTCGCAGCTCGAATGGAGTTTAGTAGAATAATGCTAAATACAGTGAGTGAAGACACAACTTTCCTGGATAAGGTTCTTTTTAGCGATGAGGCAACTTTTAACAGCATAGGTGTTGTCAATAGGCATGACATGCAGTATTATGCGATGGAAAACCCTTACTGGGTTAGGCAAATAGATTTCCAAAATAAATGGAGCTTGAATGTTTGGGGACAAGTTATTGGCAGACAAGTTATCGGGCCTTTTTTTTTCGACAACAGATTAATAGGTACAGAATACTTGAATTTTTTCGAGCATTTGCCTTTGCTTTTGGAGGATGTCAACCTGCAAACTCGGATGCATATGTATTTCCAACATGACGACGCTCCTGCGCATTATCATAATCGTGTGCGTAACTATTTGGACACCTGGAGTAACAATTGTTGGATCGGTCATGATGGGCCTATATCTTGGCCTCCTAGATCATCAGATATGGCACCGATAGACTTATTTCGATGGGGCTACGTTAAGCAAGAGGTTTATACATATCCACCATCTACCCTGGAAAATATGAAGGATGCTTTTCTGAACATAAGGGAACACATGCTGAGGGATGTGTAACAGTCATTTATTCAAAGACTACAGCTGTGTATTCAACATGGTGGAGATATTTTCGAGCAGTTTGTGTAGATTAGGTCTTGAGTAGTGATAGTTGTTTTTTTATGTTGTTGTTATAGTTGTTTTGCTCTATCACGCTTGAAGCTGATTTATACTGTTCTGATTGATATTAGTTTTCACATCAAATCTGTACTCTTAGTGGTAATATGGAACTAGCCCACTGTTTGTCTTTTGTTTCCATGGATGATGTGATTTTTTTCCTTAATTTTGGTGTATTGTTCTGTTAAAAGCTTAATGGCTCAAAATCGAGTAATTTTATCAAAATCGAGTCATTTTATCTGAATCAAACCATATACCAAAAAGAAGCTTATAAAAAATTTAACTGAAAATGTACAATTCGCGTTTTTGACCACCCTGAGCAAAATGAAAATTCGAAAAAGTAAGTAAGCTTTTTTTTATACAAAATTCATCACTCCAAATTACAAAATGACGGATTGAGGGGTTGCCGAAGTTGACGGTTTTAATGGACAAAGCACCCTACAACTCAGTAGCTAATTACCAAAACCGCATAGTATGTTATATCAATCTTCTTCTTTTGAATTGGTCTATCCAAATAAGGAATAAAATCTGAGGCGTTTCATTTAAAAAATCACAACTTTGATATTTAGGTCAAAATTGGGACACCCTGTATAATTGCCAATATTTTAGAAATGTGCCCTCAAATGTCATGTATAACATCCCATAAATAGATTTTCCCAAAATGTATTTGTTTATGAGTAATATTCCATCCACACATTGATGGGCCACCCAGTGTACAGATGCAATAGTTGGTTCTCATCCTGCTCATCAGTAAAATAATTGTGATAAATTACTATATCTTTTCTCTATAATCCCTATTAACTTGTTTAAAGCAGTCACTGTCACAACATTAGTCTTTACACTTGTTCAGGTTCAACAGAAAACTATTCCAGAACCATTCTGATTCTGCTAGCAGACAATCACAAATTCTGACATTCTGAGATCCTACTATGCAGAATCAGAGAGGGGGACAGTGCTTTGTAAAACCAGAGCAGCTTTTGTGGTTCTCGTTTGTTGCCAAACACTCAAGTGTAAAAAAAAAACAGTATACATCTGAGTATATCTAATTCTAGTAACACAGATGCATACAATAAGTTAAAAGTCATGCACATTAATAATCCAAACATTTAATCCTTACCAATTTGTGCATTATCAATGACCCTAAGATCATATTTGTTGAGGTATCCTACTCTGTAGTTTGTGCGAGCCCCACTGTCCCATTGGACAACAACTGTCTTTTCAGGTGATCCAACAGGCCCAGGTCTACCAACTTCACAGACTGTACCCACAAATCCTTCTCCTCCATCTGAAATGAACAAGTACAAGTATTCCATGTTCAAAGCTGAATGCAATCAGTGCCTGGTTATACACAAACAAAAATGTTTTCGAATAGGTAATTTATATTGTTACAAGATAAGTGATAATCTTGTTACTCCATACACAGAGTATCCTAGTAAAAACACAATATTTTATATTGATTTCAAAATGAAGCGAAAATAAAAGGAAATCTAGGTAATGACACTAAGTAGCTGCCAAAAATTTTAAGCTTGTGCAACCCATTGTGTGATTCTCATGATACTATTTCTTTTATTAACCAATTGGCAAAGCCTTACTCATGAATATCAAGAACAACATAATAATATGATTCTTCAGATAAACATGCAACTTTTTGAGAAAATTTACCTTGGTCACTCCAGCTCCAGTCAGGTCCCCTTACAACACGAAGTCCTGGTAATAACATTTTTGAGCGATTGATACAATTTTTAATATGGAAACACACATATATTAGCAATTAAAAGTTGCTAATGACTTTAGAACAAGATTAGCGATTACAATCTTCGGACCAAATGAAACATTTTTGTAGCTACATAGTTGGAGTCGAGGCATTTATACACGCGGACCTCTGAAAAAAAGTTTAGCAATCACTTCTTGATTGGCACTTATTAAGTTTTCAGCATGTTTTACCAATAAATTAAAAATATTTTCAATATTTTTTGCACACTTTACTGTCATATTATTTGTTCACACTTTGTGTAACACAGAACACAAACACATAACATTGCAATGTCATTTTTTGACATTTGAACATTGCTTGAGAAGAGATGGAAGAGAAGCTTTTGTATACACACCATGTTGGTTAACTAGGTGGCTGCCATATTCTAGGCTAACTGTATAGCTCCACATTCGACAGACAACACACATATGTTAAGCATTAATAAAATAAATAGCAGTTCTTGATGTCTGCGTGACCCGAAATAGTGTTGTGTGTCGGATTGCGAGATCATGCACTCTAGCACCGCTTTTTGTTGGATAAAAATAAAGTTGTAAACTGTTCAATTAGCTGACTTACTTTGTAACAATTTTAGCGTTCGTAATTGTTTGACGTACCTGTTACATGCGTTCGGAAGTAGTACAAAATAATCCTCTGGAACGTCAAAAGTGTGCTTTCCTTAGTCAGCTCAAAATCTTGAGAATAAGGGTGCTGTCACTTGTCATTGGTTCATTGTTTGTTTATTTTAGTTGGCTATCAAGAACTGCTCAAAATTGGCAGAATATATAACTATTTTTCATGATAAATGCTACCTCGTACCGCTAGGGTCTCTTTTAATAACAACAATGGTCACATAAAACGTGGTTAGAAATTAGTCGACTGCCATCAAATGTCATTACATGACTGTACTAATTTAAACCAGGGCCGTATGCTCCGCTGTTCGATTTTCGTCCGCCGGCGCGCATGAAGTCACGCGGAGAGTGATTATCATTTGGGTTGATATGGATAACGTGCATATTTTCACCTACAGGCCAAACGGCTGGACGGATTTTCACCTATGAGGTGTCGTTGGATTCATCTTAGCGGTGCGAGTGACACTAGCTACATTGAAATTTTATAAATAAGAAAGTGACGGATTTTAATAAAAGATTTCAACCTTGCAATTCCAACTTCATAGGCTACAGATCAAACGGCTTGATAGATTTTCATATATGAGGTATGGTTGGATTCGTATTAGCGGTGCGAGTGACACTGGCTACATTAAAATTTTATACAAAACAAAATGGTGGATTTTAATAAAAGATTTCAACCCTGTAATTCCTATTTCACAGGCTATAGCTTAAACGGCTTATACCTCCGCAATAGAGCGTATCGTCTCTTCACTGTAAAAACAAGAAAACTCCATTTTTCTACATTATCTATATTTAAGTATGTTCTATGGCGCAGGATTAACATGTTCATGTCATAATACTGTATGTACTACATTTATCCTTATTCCACAGATCATCCTAAGTACATGTAAGTGTGAAAATGTACGCAACTCGAAAAGTAGAAAAATCTTCATTTTGCAGTAAGATGGTGGTATAACAATAAATGGAAATGACTTAGTCTAAGCAACAATTTTTTCCATTTCCTTTTACGTCTTTCAAACTTTTATTCAGTCCTTTGATCCGGAAGAACATCATTGACCTGAAAAACAGTTTTTTAGCTTTTTCAGGGCAGTCAATGTTGCTGATCTTCAACAGAAGTTCACCTATAAAATTTTGTTTTTTTTTCACTCTTCCGTCGCCCATTGAATGTAGTAAATACCTTGTTCTCAATTTGATTTATGAAAGTGGCGAAAGGTTTTAATAATCCACCCTCACTAAGATGGTCTATCCATGAATAAGTTTCATTTGAGGAACTTTTCAACCTCTTTTCCTGCAATTTTCCAGCCCGTCATACTCGAGCTAGCTCATCTATTTCTTCCACTAAAACTTGCTCGGTATAATAGTCAGCTGATACTTCAGGTGCATTCAGTTTATTCTCGTTAATGATGCGGTGAGTGGTTAGTGGAATGTCTGGAGTATCCTCTGACTCTACGCTGCAATAGGTACTCTGAGTTTGCGCCTTCGTTTCGCCCCAACATATATGACCTTATTCTATAACTACTTAAACTCTAGACTTGTATGGTCATGAAGACCATCTTTTGCCCTAATTACTCCGAAAAAGTTTTCTATCACGTCTTGATTAAGGCGTTTTGTTAACAGGTATTGAACGCTGAAGCATCGTTTCAGATCCTCTAGAGCAGGGCTGTCCAACTCCTTTCTTGCGGTCCGCTTCACGGGTCATGTATACATCACATGTATAAATTACTCTCAAATACCGAATAGGTATGCACAATTCTTACAAACTCAGTAATAATGTTGTATAGAAAGATTTTATAATGCGGCCCTCCAAATTGCATTTTTTTTTTTTTGAAGTGGCCCTTGGGCCACATTAAGTTGGACAGCCTTGCTCTAAAGCATTTTTTAGCAAACCATAGCGCTTTTCAAATTGACTTTGTCTTATCTTTTTGTGAGATGTAGTCATTTTTTTGCTAAAGTTTGGGTCTTGAGGAAAACTGTGGAACTTCATGTCTTTGCAAAGATTCCGTTTAGATTGATTGTTGGAATTACATCCCACAACAGCACACCGCATTTTTATCAATTTATCAACCACACAGGTATATAAGGTATGTATAACTAATACAACAAGTCACAAAACCACCAAAAAACCCCAACAAATCGCACTATAGTATTAACCACGATACACGTGAACTGCAGTAACGTTACGACAATCCTGCCGCTGGTAACAACCAGCCGATAACTCTCCGGGTGACGTCGCGAAGCTCCGCCCACATGCGCAATATCCTATCTTCAGAGTAAGTGCCTCGTGAATTTAAACGTTCAAAAAAAAGTTTCACAAGAGTAAAATTTCCTCTGTCAATCTACATTCCATTACTGTGTACGGTATTACATTGTCAAGTGTTTTACAAACGTATCCCTGTATCCCTGACACATGCATACCTGAATTCCTTATTTCATGAGTATCCATCACGCTTTGACTTATACTGACGTGAATAGCTGATCAGCAAGTGACATTTTTGTGTCTAGCAAAACTTGTTTGTGGCGTTTTGTTTTTTGTATGCAAATGAACTCTTCTAAATAAAAGTGCTTTTAGCAAGTACAAAATGAATCTGTAGCGTACAAAAAAAAACAAAACAAAATACGGCTCTGACTATCTGACGTTGACGGATCCGTCAGAATGGTGTGTCCTGTGTCGATATGGGGAATTTTGAAATATGACTAGACAATCAGCTGTCATTCTACCGTGATGGATACTCGTGAAATAGGATATATTACATATTACATAATGTTATGATGGGGTAAAATTTTATAAAATGATGCTTAATCTAGTGATGTTCAGAATAACGAATACATTTTTAACATTATTCTTATTTTATTTCTCAATAGATGTTCAAATAGTTTGCCATTATTTTCTAAAGTTAAATATGATCTTGTAACAGTAGAATTTAAAATATCACGTAATATTTCTGGCATAATGATACTAAAAGCTTCCATTACATTCTCGTAACTGTTGCTCAATTTCAAAAGTATGCTGATAAACTTGTTTTTTTTAAAAACCCCAAACAAAAAAGTCCAGATGGGTTAAATACGGGGAACGCGCTGACCAGGATATTTCACTTGAGGTTCCAATACACCTTCCGTGAAATCGCTGAGAAAAATACCCTCGAACATGTCTAGAGTTATGTGGAGGAGCACCGTCTTGTTGAAACCAACAGCTATGAACCTGTGCCAAAAGTATCCAGGCAGTCGTCTAGATCATGTTGCAACAATTGAAGGTACCGTTCTGCAGTTTATGAGTTGTTTGTAATAAATGGACTTAATATGTTGGTCCCTAGAATTCCACTCAACATATTAAAACCAAAACGTTCTTGATGTCTGGATACTTACTGAACTATACTTTAGCGCATATCGAAAATATTTTATTTCTTATTTTAAAATGGAAGATTAGGATGTAAATTACAGGAAAATGTCATTTTTGTCTTTAAGGAACCCTCTGCTTGCTATTTTCTAGAACTCCAAAGTTGCATTTTGGGTGGTAATACTGTGGTACAGAATACTGCTTTACAAGCTGTTATTTTTTCTTGTTTACACAACAGATTGCTCAAAATTATATGAATGTAACATGCACAGTAAATAACTGAGACACTGTTCATCGCAATAATGCAATTTTGCACTATTTTAGTGATGAAAATAGTTCATTGTTAAGGAGTCACTTCTTTTATTTTAGATATATATTCCCATCACTACACCACGATCACTATCATACTCTCTCCAAATAGTTGCGATGTTGCCAAATCATAGATAGTAATATACCTTAATTTGGTCTGTCAAATTCTTACTTATATACTAGCGCAATTTCATCAATTCTTCGGTAAATATTGTGACAAATTCTCATAAAACAAGCCATTTACAATACATTAAAACATTTATTTTGCAAATAACCTCATTTTTTCTTACGAAATTTTTCCAAAAAAAGGTACAATTTGGCAACTATGGACATCATTTATCTCATATGTCAAGAAATGAACTTTATAAATATGGCCATTGAGAATTGTTTGTACTTTCAAATATTTCTACAAACGCAAAAACTTTGATGACATTGAAAAAGGTACGCGAAAAAAATGGTTAAGGTATTTCAAGAAGACTTGAATCCAATTCAAGCGAATAACCAAATGAAAATGGTAGCAGAGAGTTCCTTAAAGAAAAAATGATATTTTCGTAAAAGTTACATCCTAATCTTTCATTTTAAAGTAAGAATTGAAGTATTTGCGATATGCGCTAAAGTGTAGTCTTACATTAGTGACCATACTCTCGTCGGATCATATTATTTTTGCTGTTGCCGCTCGCTATCTACTGGTCTATTTTCACGCAATATAAATTGGGCTGTGGATTTGGTTATTCCTACATTTTTCTCAATTTGCCTAGTTGATATCTCAGAGATCTCAGCAACTACTTGTAAAATACTATTCTGAGTTTCCTTTAAAGATTGCTTTATTCGAGACGTAATAGGCTCTTTGATACCATGGGAAAATTCTGATAAGTATCTCGGTGTCACTTTTGATAAGGGGATGACCTGGCAGAAGCATACTGAAACGTTAAAAACTAAGTTCCAAATCTCATTTCGGCAACTCTACCCTATGCTATGATAGAACCTTAAAATCGCAAGTGTGGGACTACATCAAACAACATGCTACCTACGTTATAGTCAAGCGGAATCGTATAGCAACCCTTTGTTGCGCGAGTCAGTAGACTACAGATTCGAGCAAGTTCGCAAGCACACAAGACCGCGACTCGCACTGTGAACAAAATTAAATCGTGCGACTTTAGCGCAATTTAAAATTACCGAATACTAGTTAGCAATGCCAAGGCACCACTCAAATTGACGCACTTCTTCCCTTCTTTCTCCCCGACTTTGTTTGCTATCTGGGCAACCAGACCTGACAGACCCACTAACCTTCAAGACTTTAACCAAGAGCAGAGGTCCTATGGACCGCTCTGAAAGACAATGACGAATAGAGAGGCTTTTTGAATGAACCATGTTAATTTAAATTTGGAGCCAAATCTAAGAAAATGGGCTTACATCGCTGCCTTTTTTCCGGAAATTTATCAAGACACGTTTCTGCAGCATTTTTATAGCACAAAATGTAGCACCAGCATTTCTAACTTTCTTTCATTGCTAAAATGACCGCCTGGCATCTTTGATGATAATAAGGCAATACAGATTAACAATATACAGTAATAACAATATATACTCGGTGACAGGATTTACGTTAACTGTTTGTACGCAACGCCTACTTGAAAAAAATATAAAAAATCGGATAAAACGCAAAAAATGCTATGCTACTTTTGACGGACCATATAAAAAATTAAAGTTGATGGTTTCTCAAAAACAAACCGTCGGGCACAAAATTTAAAACGCATTATTTAGTGGGTAATAAGTGCCAATGGGAAAGTTTCATTAGTTTTTTGATATGCCTTAAGATAATGTCAGAAAAAAATAAAAACGATTTGGCCAAATTTTAGTTTTCCCGAATATCTCAGTAAACCATTAAATGTTTACAGTTTCTCAACGGCATGCAAGTACGAAACTTTTTCTTAATTTAACCTAAGCTGTATCTCCCACAGGTATTGAGATCCCCACGCATATGATCCTTATCTTGGACATCTTTTAGATGGACAATATGTTTGTATGTTATAACTAACAGGTGCGTGATATTACCGAGGGTATCAGTACCTCCTTAATATTCAAAATCCAGCATGTACAAAGAAAATTTCTGATAATATCTATGAAACGTCAAAATACGAGGATTGAACGTCTTCAATGTTTCGTTTTTTCATTTTTTATCAGTAACGCTGCTGCCAATGGCTGGATTTTCAAAACTTATAAAGCTTTTTGTCCTTTGCGCAGTTGTATCTATGAGTCAGAAATTCATCATGACCTAGATAGTTCCTTCCCCAGTGGCGTACCTAAGATCTCCTGTGTCAGAAGCAAAAACTTTGTAGGGGACTCTTGAAGGGCCAGGCGAAAGAGCGAAATTGAGTTACTACTATACTGCTGGTGATAACTAGAGAGGGGAGGGGGAGCATATCATTATTTTCAAAACAATTTCTTTCCAAGGACGCTTGGAACCGCATTGAAAGTTTCATTCCGAGGACCGACGCACAGTGCGCCATCCTAGATCCGCCCCTGTATTTCAAGTTATAGGGAGGTCAGACCTACAGATGAACAAACAGAGCGACAGAAATGTGAAATGTATATGTCATGTTACACAGAAAACAATACACATATTCAAATGTAACATCTAAAACTTGTACTGTGGTTTCATCTTGATATCCCCCATGTTTTTGACAATAAGTATAATGTCAATTATACTAAGAGGGTCCCGTTTGGACGAAATGACGTGAAATAAACAGCATATGTGTGATGTGATATACGAGCCCTAACACAAAAATGTCAAATGTGATGAGTCCTCGAATGCAAAGATCTCCTGTCCGTATTAGTAAAGCTGATCGTCGAGGTAAGGGACATAACAGTAAAATGGAATGAAGAAACAGTAGGAAATGTTTCACGGGAAATGTGCCGTCAGTGGCATCATAAGTCTGGTTTACATTTTCATAAGGTACGCATTCAACGGACATATGGCATATTTATTCAGTAAAATCATTAAAATCATTGCTTTAGGCAAAAGAAAAACGGTTGCTTACGGAAAAACAAAAGAGAAAGCGATTAGCGTGGGCTAAGGAACGGGCAATGGGGACTTACGAAAACTGGAAAAATACCATTTTTAGCGATGAATCGAAATTTGATGTGTGAGTGACCACCGATCCCGGGTTATAAGAAACAAAAATGAAGCGATGTATTAAAACTACCTAAACAGAAAAGAAAACTTTCAAATGATGGTATGGGGAAGCATGTCTGGATTTGGAGTTGGAAAACTTCACTTCATAGGCGGAATTGTAAACGTAGCTAAATATCAAAATATCATTGAAACCAATTTGCTAGAGTCAATTCTAATGTTATCACCTGATAGAAACTTTATTTTTCAAAAAGATGTGCGTCATGTCATACGGCCAAAATCACAAAAAATAGTTGCAGGTTAATAATATTTCGGTCCTTGACTGGCCTTCAGTAGCCCTGATTTAAATATTATCGAAACTGTACGGCTCAAAATGAAGCAGCAGTCAGCAGTTAAGAAATGATCCACAACGAAACATTTCTGATTTATGAGTAAGATCACAAAATAAATGGGATTCTTTTTTAGGCGGAACACCGCAAAAACTTGTTGAAACCATGCAAGTCAGAATATCAAGGCAAAGGAAGATGTAACGAGCTATTAAAATGGTTTGTCCGAACATTTACGTGTCGGTCAAATATTGCGTTATTATCAATATTAGTTTAGTTTTATAGTTTAATATCATATTACTTGATAATAATTTGATGTCCAAACAACATATTTCAATATCTTATAAAAGAAAACATATTTTTTAACCTGAAAATAATTAACAAACTTTAAGATGAAATAAGATAATGTCCGAACTATTTTGTGTTAGGGCTCGTATGACAATACTTTTTTACCACTTGGCGTGTAAAGTAAAATTTTCAACTACCCTGTTAAAATCAAACGTACGCGCGCCGAATCGATCCCACTTCTGATACCAATCCAACGCACACCGGCAACATCGCTTGGGCGCCGCGGCGTCCACCCGACCGTAGGGCCGTCGCAAGTGCGTCGCGCGCACCCTTTCCCTTCCGCTAAGGTGGGCTTTATCGCTCCCTTCGCGCGGCATGCGTCAGGTGCAACGCAACCAGCATACCACACAGCGGCGGGCGAGTGTTGCTTGCAAGCGCTGCTCAAGCAGCTACAAGAGAAGCATCAGAGGTAGTCTAGCTTCAGCGCACCATGCTGCCACAGTTATGCCGCTTTTCCGCCGCTGGTGCTCTTAAAGCCGGGCTCATACGGAAATGTCGACGCGATAACTAGGTTAAGAGGCGTCAAATTCGCGAATAAAAACATATAACGTACCTGATATAACGCTGTGCATTTATTGTTAGATGGAGAGGGAGTAGGAAGAAGTAGCGGATAGACAGATATAGAGGTAAGTGATGCAGTTTTACCCTGTTCACCCATTCTGCACATGGGCGCCACCGCAGCTGAGATTTTGGAATGTGGGAATTACGCAAAGACAAAGGTTTAGAATGCAGATTATTTTATATTTCCTCGCCGCAAACGATTGATTTTTGTATATGGTTCTATTATCGACAATTTTATATCAAAGCAGACATAGGTATTGAATGCCGTTTTAACTATTTTCGCGCATTTTATACATAGGTGCTACCATCGAGATTCTGGAATGTGAGAATCTCGCAAAAACAATGATGCAGATGACAGTTTTTGTCCTTTTTGTTTACGATGTTTATCATTGCTATGCTTCTTTTTCGTTGCTTTTACCGTTTTGTTTCATAATAAATGGGTATAGGTCTGCATCATCTTCAATCGGAGAATGATTGCTAGATGCATTTTGAAATGGTACATTATTATGTTCGGTTCTTCACTGTGACAGGTTCAAAATTTAATGCGAGCTCTGATTATAAGACCCCAAATTTTCATTTCCGTAGTACTTTGTCCTATTACTACGAATTAGGCATATTTGGTAGTGTTATTTTCAATATACATCATCTTAAATCTATTGCTTTTGAGTGCAATAATATTTTACAGACATTTTTTGAGAAATACTCGATAAACATTGCTTTTTCTTCCTTTTTTCCCCTGAAAAATGCTTGCTACTATTATACCGCCACGTAAAGTTAACAATACTAATTTTCGCTTTGACATTTTATGATAATTTTAAGCGTTCAGACAACGTAAAGCGGTACAGCGCGTCTAGGCTGAATAGCAGCTGCCATGGAATAGCTTTGACAGTTTGCAACATTAACCAACATGCTATCAAATCTCGCGGTCAAGTGAAAACTGCTATCAAGCTGACATGGCTACTGCTACTCAACATGAAAGCCATGCACCACTGGACTGGTTTACATCGGCTGAACGCTCCCAGTATCATCTTCATAAAACTTCGTATTTCTACCGTTTATAAACTTTACTAACAAGGACACCTATTTACATCACCTTGGCAATCCTTTTTTGTTGCTTACTTCAGTTTTCAACCCAAATTTTGCTAAATAATAACCTCATCACAAGCTTCAGAAATAAGAATACCAGTAAAACAGTTTTCTAGGAATGCGAATAGACTGGCCACCTCGACCTGGCGTCTTAATTACCATTACTGAATTTTTGGTTTCATTTTTCATAGCTACTATGATAGGAAAATATATTCATTGGGACCTACAAATGTATTAAATAAAGGGAGTATTCGCAAACTTTTTAAGGTATATTGAATGAAAATAATAATGCCAAAACTCAAAATGAGTAAGTTTGAAGTTTATTCTAAGTTTGCAGGGTTTAAATTAACTGAATAAAAAGTGAACAGTGAACATGCAGAACCTATGAAAATAGCAGCCTTTTATTAATTGCATTATGAATCCGTAGTAAAATTACATAATATGCTTAAGATAATTAGATTTTCAGAATATATGGTTTCCTTTGCATGCTAACACTGCCATTATACAATTTTTGATCGTCAGAATGATGTAGAATGTAGTCTTTTCTGGGTTTGCGAATAAGTTCCATTTACAAAAAAATGCGAATAATTATCTAGTGACATCTATTAGAGGTAAAAAATGAGCACATTTCGAAAAAACTATTTTATCACTTTCTTGATTGTTAAAATAATGTTTGGTAATTGCACTTTTCGAGGAGCTGATTTTTGTCTATTTTTGCCTCGTTGAACCTGTCCTTAAGTGACCAGGAAAACAAAACAAAACCAAAATTTAGATAACATACGATCGTTCGAGCCAGATCAAGTCCTCGGGGATCTGGACTTCGACGAGTTGCAGTGAACGGCTCTTTGGCAGAAGAAATCTTAGTGTTTTTTATCTTACTACATTAACCGGTAGTGTCGCATAAACACTTTATTATTGCAATTTTCCATCAGACAAAAAAATGTTAGTGGTCGATCTCGATTGGGTGGTAAGGGGTCAAACTGGGATTTGCCGCATCTCACAGAAATACTCCTCATCAACTATGCGTTACTGCATAAAACCGTCTTATCTTCACTAATCTAGAATGTTTGGTTGCTTGATAACAATCCTATTGGATTTGATTTTCGTTTACACCAACTGTGAGTACTCACTATACGCACACAAGGAGAGATTCTGCATATTATTAGGAAGGTAAGTGCAACTTTCACTTCCTGTTGCCGTTACTGCTGGACGTTTATTTACAAAATCTCAACGTTCGTAACACTTTCAGAAATGCACGGTCACACACTCCACGTGCGCTAGGTTGCATTCATTCATCCGTTCATGCATACATTAAAGAAAACGCTGGAATTTTAAGCATGTTTGGCAAGATTTGAATAGATCCTTTACTCTTTTTTGCGCATTTATCTCCGGTGTATTTTGAGTCAGCAAATTCAGGAAACTATACGTTTTGGGTTGCTGCAGGTACTTTTTACTTTTTTACGTCCTACGCCAGTAGTCGATTTTATTATGATATGTACATCATGAAAAACAATACCTCTTATTTTAGTCGGTTTGTCTGTCTGTCAGTGTGTCCGCTATAACTTGAGAAGTACCGCTCGGATTTTAATGATATTCTTAAACAAGGTTGTTAGTATCCAAGGACAAAAAGCTTTTTAATTTTCAAAAATCAGTCTAATTGACGTTTCAGAAGAGGTTCCTGATCATTTTCAGAAAAAATGTTTGTAGGGGTTGAAATTCGGGGCGTGGAGTTGTAGGGGGTGTGAGGGGGTATATGAAAACTTTTTGACCTTAGTATATTTATATGCTCCCAACCTCGGTAAGTTTATGCATCTATTTGCCACACATCATAGATTACCTTTCAAGTGCCCTAACATCAGTCTGTCTTACAATTGTAGGTCGCCTTTACGGCCTCCTTGATTTTCATAGAATTTTCTATCCTTCATAAAGGTATTTCTACTGTGAGGCTATGTCTTCTTTTTGAATTGTAAGAAATTTCAGTCTGATATAACAGGGGTGCGTTTGTAAATCACTTGGCAATGTAATACCGTACACAGTAATGGAATAGATTGACAGATGAAATTTTACTCTGGAATACTGTGACACTTTATTTTTTAAAATGCCCAAATTATTATAGTCATGTAATGACTCTTGATGGCAGCCGACTAATTTCTAACCACGTTTTCTAGGACCATTGTTGTAATTATAAGGGACCCTAGGGCTACGAGGTAGGATTCATCAAGAAACGTATATATTCTGCCAATTTTGAACAGTTTTTGATAACCAAATAAAATAAAGAAACAATGAATCACGAGAATGACAAGTATAGTATCTTTCACGAGTATCCATTACGGTGGAATGACAGCTGATTATCTAGTAATATTCCAAAACTCCCCATATCGGCAAAGGACACATAATTCTGATGGATCGGTCGATGCCAGGTAGACAGAGCCATATTTTGTTTTGTTTTTTTTGTACGCTGTAGATGTATTTTGTACTTGCTAGAAGCTCTTTTATTTAGTTCATTTGCATACAAAAACCAAAACCCTACAAACAAGTTTTACTAGATTTACACCCGATTCTTTATTACCAACGTTGCAGACTAACACAAAAATGTCACTTGCTGTTCACCTCAGTAGACGTCAAAGCGTGATGGATACTCGTGAAATAGGGTATAACAGAACTCTTATTCCCAAGGGTTTGAGCTTGGGAAGAAAAGCACACTTTTGTCGTTCCAGAGGGATTCTATTTCCGAACGCATGTAACGGGTACGTCTAACAATTATGAACGCTAAAATTGTCACAGAGTAGTACAAAGTACACTCTGTAACAATTTACGAACGCAGCCCAGATGATGTAAATGAAAAGCATGAACAACTTGATGCAAATCTATTTCTAACAAAACCTCAAAATGCTTTATTGACCTTTCAAATATTTAGTTTAATTAGTTTGTCATCTTGTTTTTGTAACAAAGTAATTACAGAATGAAGCTTAAGGTTAGTTCAATGCTAAAAAGCAATTTAAAAAAATGTCACATGACACCTTTATGCACTTGTGTCTTCAATTGTAGGAACGACTGACGATATGGCCCTAAGACTCAGAAGGTTTTCGATCCTCGTAGTCGTGCTATCTAAGTTCACCGTCTGGCGAACCGGTTCTGCTGACAAATCTATCCCTACTGCAGCGCAAAAAACATACATATACAGACAAACCACGGAATGAATGATGCAGAGATGCTGCGCAGATTTGGAAAGGGACAACGTTGCCAGATGGACAGTAACTACCAGTAGGGCAGGGAAAGAATGTCTATGGACTAATTGACTGACCGAATCCGTTTAATTTCCCTGCTGGACATATTCGTAACTGGCTTATTTCTCAGGTGGCTTAAATTGCGAGGAATTTAATCCCTCATGTACTGACGATGTCGTAGGAAGTGGAGAGTAAACCTACTTGATGTCATTTTTCATTCTTTATGAATAATTTATCCTTTCAAGAGGATCTAGATATGTACGCTATAAACTGACCCCCCCATCTAACTTCTTTATAAGGCTTTCCAGAAAAAGTTTTATATAAAAGGTATCAAATATGAAGTTTTTCATGTAATATTTTTTTGTGTATAGGATGTATCAAAAAAGTGCTATCGGATAAAGTTGTAATTTTTAAATACCATATATTTTTTGTGACCATGAAACTTATTTTGATTCAAAATATATAATATGGTTCATTATAAAAATGTCCAAAAACTTAAACTTTGAGTGTCATTTACTCATGTATACTAGAGTTCGAACCAGTTTGCATTTGGTTTACATCTAGCTGCCTATGCAATCTGGTTTAGGACCGGCAAGCTCTGCGATATTTCTAGACTTTTACGGTTCCGTGTCAGCGTCAGCGCTTTCCTCTTGTCAGGCTATGTTATCTTCTTGAATTGCAGGAAAGTTCAGGCTATATAACGAATGATATAAATCAAAAGCAGGAACAGTTTGTCGCAAATAGATATTTGGAATATAACCTCAAAATAGAGCGCTGATACGGATCATTAGAAAACTATGAAAATCAAGTAGGCGTCCTACAATTGTAGGAAGGACTGACGATACGGCCTTAAAGTAATAAAAATAAGTTTAACAAGCCACATGTATTTGGAATCAGACAAAAAGGAACTATCAGTTTCACTGGAAATATATAGGATTTTCCATTAAAAAAATACTTTATTCGATATCACTTTTCTGAGACACACGTTTTACAAAAAATATATAAACTTCATATTGAACTCTATAACTTTTAATTACAACTTTTTCTTCTAGAAGGCCATATAAGAAGTTAGAGGGAAATCAATTTATAGCTGGACATTTTGTACTAACACACAGTGCATCGGTGTGATAATAACTTTCACCTTTTAAATATTTCTAAATTAAGGTTTGTTCATATAATAGCAAAATGAACCCGATCATCTTTGATTATATCATAAATAATGTGGTCGTGAAGAGACCAACAGAGATTAAAGATCTTGGTGTAACGTTTTCCTACAGCTTGATCTTTTCAGCACACGGAGCCAAGCATCAGGTTAGAAGCGATAGGGATTCTAGATTTTATAACGAGTAGCTGCCGTGCATTCTTTAGCGAATCAGTATTTAAAACGCTTTTTATTTCGACGGTATGATTACAAGTACGTTTTTCAAAATGGAGTCCCTTGTATGCATATCACATGAATATTTAGAAAGTGTCATCAATCTATTCTGCTACGCCGTTACAATCTAGAATCTGTACAATTAAAACGTTCCATGGCCGAACTGACATTCCTGCATAAGATTTTGCATAAAGGGAGATGCACCACAACTTTCTCAGAGGTTACATTTTTATATACCCCATTTAATTTCGGATTCTTGCTTTTTAATGCAATACTTACTGTACCAAAATATGTATTATTGAATTAACCGTTATATTCTATATGTAACTAGTTGACCGACAGACGTTGTCCTGCAATGAATGATGAATAATAAAAGGGTAAATATATGGAATATAGGTGATTATGTAGCGAAGTGATTGTACCGCCATGTGGCTAGAAAAATACGTTGGCATCACTATCATTCCCCGATCAACTTACCTTGAAAGTCGAACTAGGCATAAAATTATGTGGGATGAATTTTGTTGCGCCAAATAACGTCATTTGAAAGCAATTATTGTATTGCTGGATATAAGTCAAAAAATTTATAGAATCTGGCCCATTTTTTCTTTCATGTCACTGATCGGTAACCAGTGCAACTTGAATTTAAATCCAATAATAACATTGTAGTGTGTGTCAGTCACTTACAGAAGCAGCTATCACTTTTTTTATTCCAAATAGTACGTGTGCTGCCTTTCTGAAATCTGTATTCAATGAGCAATCTTTTATTCAATATAATGCAGTTATAGCCCAGTGCATTTTTGTTTCACCACATATGGTCAAAGTTGAGAAACAAATATCAGAAGGTTACAAATCCCAAAATAGTCCTTATTTGATCATGGTTCCTTAATATCTCTTAACTACATTGCATTTGTATATGATAAGGCAACTATCTAGAAGTATTTTATAGAAAAAATGAACAAAGTATAGCCTTATTTGTACATGCAGTTAAAGACCACAGATGAAAAGGCTCTCCGCAATGACTAAAAATCTACTTTGAAAAGGTTAGTGTCTCACAGATGGCTTGTACCAACCAGATGCTCATATACTTATACTCGGTGACTCCTGTTCCTTTTTGGAAAATGGAAGAGTTGAAAATTGGAGTTTGAGGGTTGTAGGGGGTGGGGTGTGGTAAATGTTGCATCTTTGGTATCAGCGAAATACGTTCTATAGAGAATCTTCTCATTGCAGTAATACTATGCATCTATTGACCTGTTAGACACATGCATAGTAGACACACATATTATTTTTTATATTTTATAGTTTGAAATACAGAAGCTCACGATATATATCTTAAGTAAACATACCTACCCAGGTTTAGATTCTATTTGAGTGTTTTGCATAGATAGGAAGTTTAAACCAATTGCATAATTCTCGTGCCAATAGATGAAGTAATACAATAACAATGAGATGAAAATCTGGCATTCTTGGGTGAAATTTACTAACCAATTTTTTTTACAGTAATATTTGTTGGACGCTCGTTAACTTGAACGAAGAGCTCACCGGAGGGTTACCTGATTCAAATTTCCTTAGACATTTTTTTAAATTACAATAAATATTTCTTTACTCCAAAGACAGGTTTTTTAGCATTTCTGAATCATTCTGAAAAAAATATCATTGGTAACTCTTATCTCAATTAGGCCGTTTGCGGGTTATAATCTATTAGAACTTATTACTAGAAAACACTAAGAATGAGCATTTTTAATGCTCAACACTTGGCTAAAAATCATCATTAGTTTTTTCAGACCTCAAATCACCTTAAAGTAGGAAAAAGGTCCACTTTACAGAAAAGTTACTAAATACATACCTTTTATATTTGGAACGATGAAAAAAACTTTGTTTGGTGTAAAAAACAATTTTTAGTAATTACTTGAAAAAAAATGAGTTGAAAAATTTGTGCCGCGAATGCCACGTTTTCTCCGATTTTAAATATACTTTTTCAATGATGTAAGCTTTACAAGTCTATATACTCAATGATATATCGTAATTACTGGCGCATTCTTGAACCAAATCTAGGTAGAAAAGTTCATACAAACATGTGTCCTAACAAGTCTGATTTCCTGATTTTAAAAAATCCTTTTGACAGAGGAAAAATAATAGCAAACTGTCATGGAAATTCAAATATCTGTTTACAACAACATGACAACAGACCCTAGCAACTATCAAACTTGATTTGATTTTGTTTTAACATTTTTTCTACATGTAATCAAGTTTTAATTTTTTGTTTCGAAAACGAAGTAAGATAGATAAGATACCAACAAACAAAAAAATTGTATTATCTGCTGACTAATCCGAAAAACGTATACATTTTTTAAAAAGACAGTGGGGTACATCTTTTATAAATATTATTTCTGAGACTGCCCCGCAGGACTCTATACTGAAATTTATTATGTTTTGTAGCATTGATTAAAGTATTCTACCTATATCTAACCTAATGCTATATTCGCACACCCAAAAATTTCTCCAGAAGATAAAATGAGATACCGTAGCGTCATCTATTAAAAATTATCACTGCTGTTTCTCTAATTACTGTACATATATATAATGTGTAGGTTGGCTCTTGTTGTGGACTTCGTGTGTGATTTTTTCCCTCTCCATCTTCGTTTCCTCAGGTTACACCCGTATCCGGATGTATGGGCATGTGTATCTACTTTTGTAGTTGCATATGTGTATTTATTTCGGGCCTGATGAAGCCAACCAACAGAAATAAGTATCGCTCGGGTTACCGTTCCTATTTTCTGCTCGAATCCACTTTCCTTCTTTTTGCGGATTTTGCCCATTATTTTCCTATTTTTTTCATATACCTTTCTCCGCAGGATCATTTTCTCTTTATATATATATACTTTGAAAATGCTAGTGTATCATAGTTGGCATTGTATCCAACTCTATGAGAATATAGGCAGCGCTGTCTATGAGATACTAACATTTTCAAAGTATATGTAGTAAATAGATGTCAGTATGTCATTTCAGGTACAATCTCTTAATCAGTGTTTCTTTTCAGTGATAAATAAGCGGCTTATATCATTAAAAAACACTGCCAAAATTCAACAAAATCGGTACAAGAATCTTTGAGATGTAATTAATATAAACATTTTTTTTCTAAATTTTAACACACTGTATCTTGAAGATAAGACTTTTTAGAACACACGTTTATATGAAGCTTTCTAGTAAAATTTGTTTTAAGAACGCGCCCTTGTAATTACGGCCTATCATTAAGTAGCACCCTGTATAAAGCTGTATCTCACCCTGTATCGATTGCACCTGTATGTCCTTTTTCCCATCAAAGTCTCTCGCAGATCGCGAAAAACAAAAGCCTAGACTAAATACATACATGATACACACCCATCTACCTATCATCCTTCATCTAATACGACAGCGAAGCATGAACAGGCATAGAGGAAGCAGTGCTCTGAAAGTTATCCTGGTGTGCATAATCTGAAATTCACCCCTTTCGGAATGAAGTCCTTTGTGTATGTAAAGCGGAAGGGTAGATGGTATGGTAGAGCGGTGGCAGCACTGCTGCTCTGGCTGCGGCGCATAGCGCATATACAGGGGGGTCCATGATGTCTTCCTCTTCTGGTGCTATGTGCAATGCCGCATTTCGACGATCCGTTGTCCATTGTCAATGGCTATTGAACGAATACAACAGATAGGAGGTCAAACTGCGTAAAAGGGATACATGTATTCCTATAAAGCCAATCTTTTCGCCAAAGATGCTGTAGCTCTCGGAAATCTAGTGAGCGTAGAACATAGCGAATAGAATCTGCGCATTGAAAAGTGTCAACATAACCTGCCGCGATCTTTATGTCTATTTCACGTATCTTTTGTCATGTTTTGTAGGTTTGTTATTACGAGGATTATTAATATTATCCAATCTTTCGTCCTGCAACTTATTCGAACTGTCAAAATTGGAGTTGTTTACAGTCATGATGACAGCAACAGAGAGAGGCGTCACATGCGCTCAACCTGAAATTCATTTTCTACACAGTGTACACACGAAAGAGATGACCTATGCGCAGCATCTGATATTCATTTGCTGCGCAGTGAAGCAACCCACTTCATCGTCGCCATTTTTGACTTCATCTCCACTGCATGTGTTTGACCTCTTATCTCTAGTCTTCATGGGCTATTGGCTGTGTGCACCATGACCTTGATTGTTCGGGACATTGAATGTGTCTCTGTCGATTCTTAGCAAAGCCTATCAAACTAAGTAATTTACCTTAACAATAAATTAATGTGATAATACGTTACGGAATTTGAATTTCCGGTAAAGTTACTTAATACTTCTGGTCATATGACAGAAGAGAAAAACCAATATTTCCTTATCTATTTCTCGGAAATCTGTGAAGTAGCCAACCTTATACAAAATTAACCTTATTTCCTTGATACGACGAAATTATAAAAAGGTGATTTCAAAATAAAAAAAAAATACTTTTTTCAAATCTTGTCGTCATTTTCTTTTACAGAACACTATTTGTCGTCAAAATCTGGAATAAAATATACTGTTCTGAAAATGTTTCACCCGAATTGCTCACATGAGTCACACTATAACCCCGAACTTTCATAATTGAGACACCCTGTATGCGATATACGGCACTGACATGCATGCGTTGCTCTAAACGTGAGCTGCTGCTGTTGCTGTTATCGATTGCTTAATTGACTACAGGACAGCGGAGAGGAAGCTCTAACCGCCCTTTGCTATGTTGCCAGACACATAGAGGTCTCATTTTTAGGTAATTTCTTTGTTTTTCAAACGTAGACCGCATTCCCTGATCTAGTGGACTGTAGTGTATACCCGGTGTTTCAAATTCGACCCTTACCATTGAGGTCTTGGAAACGGTAAGAAATAAGTCGATTAAATGGAGCAAAGTTGCGTATTTAGGTAACCAATGAAAAGCCGATTAGAAAGTTTCGAAATTCAAAGTACTTCCGGAGAGAGACAAAATAAACAAATTTGCCTAAAATCGTTCAAATTTTTTTGTCATTTTCTTTGTAGAGGGATTTCAAAATAAATTGCACATTAAGATTGCCACTTTTTCTCGACTAACATATAATTTAAATTCCAATATGACGAGAGACGAAATCAGCATCAATTTTTATTTTTCTTAAGTACCTACGGCATATTGGATTTTTGGTAAATAGAGTTTTTGATTCTGATTCCAAAAATGTACTATATGTCATATATTGACATTGCCAAACCTTAGTTATTAAAAGAACGGAATTTTCTGGGTATAGGACTTGAAATTATCAGATAGTCTTCTGGTCCACTAGATTAATTGCCAGATAAAACCCATTTTTTTCCAGACTTTATTTGAGATAGCATTTCAAAATAAATTGCTAAATTATCGAGGAAATTATGTAGTTTTGTAATAACTAAAGTTTTGCAATGTCTATGTATGACACATTATACATTTTTGGAATCAGAATTAAAACTTCTATTCACCTATGCAAAAATCCAATATGGTGTCTCTGAGAAAAAATAAATTTGATAGTGGAGGACAAGAGACGGAAATTCTAAATATTCATCTTGTAGAGGAGAAAAGAAAAAGTGTCAATCTTAACATGCAATTTATTTTGGAATCCCACTAAAAATAAAATTAAGAAAAAAATTTGTGAAAATATGTTTTTTCTGTTCTTCCCGGAAGTACTTTGAATTTCGACACTTCTAAGCGTATTTTGTTAGTTACCTAAATTCGCGACTGCGTATGTCTTGACTATTCCGAGATTCCAGAGTGTCGAATTTGAAACACAAGGTATACTTTTTTCCATACCGAGCCATTATATATGATGTAAAAATCGAATATTTAAAAAAGAAAACTAAATAAAAATAAAAGTTTCTTACGGATATTTTTAGAATTATTCTCTTATAAAATATGAAATGAATGAGAATGAGAAAACACGGAAATTATGGATTTATCAGCCTAGAATCAACTATTTGAAACATGAGTCCATTGATTTTTTTTAAATTGTAACGTTTTAATAATGCCGTTCAAGTTTTATATGAGGAGATAGGTAATCGATAAAAATATGGAAAACTTTCCAGTATCATAAGTTCCAAAGCAAATTTCAAGCATTTACATAAATTACAACTACTACCTTAAGCTAGTATACTAGACCTGTAATTATAGCTATGTGCACTGTAGTTACATGATGTATTTATGTAGATTTGACCCAGAAGTAAGAATATATAAATCAATATTCCTACAAACAGTACATGGAGTCGTTACAGCCGAAGATGTGCATTTCTCCAGAAAACAAGAATGTATGAATCAAATATTTAAAATCGCGGAGAAAAATGTACTGAATTCAGAAGACAAAATTAAGCGTATTTTCAGAGACAAACTAATGCTTTCTCATGAAGAGTCTAAAAACTCTTCAAAGCACCTAGTACATGGGATCTACTACTACTATTCCTAAAAACCCTACGTATGTTGACACAATTGTATCTCAAATTATAGTGATTTTTCTGAATTTGATATGTACTGATTTCACTGATCCCAAACAATAAAAATGCGTGCATATCTATCTTATCTGCACATACATTGTTACATTTAGAATTTTCCTAAAGATGTTATCAGTTTTCCTTTTCTGCTTCGTTTCATCACAGTAATCTGTGAAGTGTGGGAATAGAAAATTTGAATGCTGCTGCTTGCAGACAATACGCCCGCCAGGTTTCTATTGCCTAATAAGCAACATCAATGGAAACGCAGGATACAGGATGGCCCTGCAAACAATGTACAATATGCATGGAAATTATACCATAACCATCTTACTTCCTGTGACACTGGTACCGTACTGACCTCTTTGACTGACTGTTATCTCACAGGGTCTAGCTTGTGCTGAACATAATCGTTCATAAACTGTCATCAGATCGTAAAGGATTATGTTTGGCACAAGTTAGTCCTTCTAAGAAAATAGTTAGCAAGGAACAATATAACAAAAAATTAAATGACCTTCCTTTTACCGCTGAAAGGAATTCCTGCAGGCCCATATGATCGTTGTGATGAAAAATCCCGCGTGAATGACGATTTGGCATTCACCAATCACCATGCACAGTGCGCAGTACAGAGCAGTGCAGAAGCGTTTGCAAACTGTGACGTGCGACCACCGACGACGGTTGTCCATCGGAGGACCACGTCGCACGTATCGACACCCAACTGTTGGAGATATTTCTAGGTTTTACGGATAAATGTACCGACACATGTATTATGAGTGAAATATGCCTAATATGTGCGTAGACTCATTGGGACTGGAAGCGTATGAATATACCAACGTCAAAAAATTACGACCCCCTACAATACCTAACCCTCAATTTTTAAGACCTACAAAAAATTTTCCGATTTTTATTTTTGTGTTTTTGGCTTTTTTCTCCACCGCTACTAAACCGATTTTCAAAAACTTCAAAACTTTTCAGTCGTTGACATAGTGTGAAAATTTCATCGAAATCCAAGCGGTACTTCTCAAGTTATACGCGGTTATAAGATTAGCGGACAGGCAGACCGACAGAAATGTTCCCGATTGCATTACATCCCCGCCAGTAGGCGTGGAAAAAAACAATTTGGAGACAGATAAACAAAATACGAGTATGCACTTATTGTGAAAAGTGTCAATTGTACTTGAAGAACGTCATTGTTTGGACGGAAACGTCATTAAATAAAGAGGAATTTTAAACCTAAATGTGAATTGATGTGAAGTTACTCTAATAATTTGATATTTAATATTTTTTTTCGGATCCGCCCTGTATACTAACGTAGTTTCAGAATGCATTCGTGTTTCCGCTGCGGGCGAGCTCAGAAGATGTAATTATCCTCAAGATTCTTTTTTTGATTTATTACGCGTAATTTTCCTAATTACAGCGGCGTTGGTTCAAACTTCGGATTTCACTACTACAGAATTCATTGAGATAGCAGTGGTATACAATAGAAGTCAGATGCGTGTGGCATGTCTGCACGTTCAGATCGAAGATGTAGATAGATATGGTAATATGGGTAACACACTTAACGGGTGTTGAAAACAAAGAGATTCACCTGGCAGCTGAGGAATGTGTGTAATATGCAGGAGTAACGTTGATAAGATGCTATGAGTAATCTTGATTCAGAAAGCGGATCTTTTTCCTGTGAAAAGGGTGGCGTTAACTTCAGAAGATAGATCATATGCCCTAATTTAATCAAATTGGAGCTAAAATGAAAAGTACTCTTAAGGAGTACCAACTATGAGAATTCAAAACTAAATTAGTATGTTGCTGATAATATATAAAATTGGTGAATTCAGGGGTTCTGTATATGAAAGCTTGGATATTTTCAGTTCTTAGTCTACATTGTTCTACTACATTCGTATATGGAATAACTAGAGTCGCACATTTCATATATTTCCAGCAACATACTACTAGTTTTGACTACTCGTCAACCTAAAGGCTACAAGTATATTCATAGTCCTTTTTTAAGAGTACGCGTTAGGGTAGCTAAATGAGTGTATCATTCCCTCATATGCCCAGACCCAGCATTAAGTATTTCATATAGGTTTACAGGAAACCTCCTGCAGGTGATACATTCCAAGAAAATA